CTGGAGCTCTGATGCTGGATCATGTGTGTGTCACCAACGACTGGTGGTGGTTACAACCCACAGCTGTCGCCAATGTTTAATACTGGTGACATCAGATGTTATCATAATTCTATAATTCTGTTATGCAGGAAAAGCATTTGTGTACAATGAGTTTTACTGTCGTCATCATGGAGAACATTTGAGGGCGTGTTCGATGTTTTGTGGGATTCAGTTTCGCATCTGTAACAGACAGCCATTTTGGTGTGTTTGTGTATATTCTTTGACAGGACTGGTAGTTGGAATATATATGGTTGATGCACATAGAGATTTCTGTGGATTAAGTTATCTTGTTGAAATCAAATGAGGACGCTTGGTGGATATTTGTTTATATGGTTGCCATAGTTACAGTGATGATGACTTCGGACCTCTTGCCAGGTAGGAGTGCTACATTTGGTTATTCATGTGTTACCACTTACCAGGGTTATTCTATACCTGGACGCTCAGTGTAGCATGTCAGTGGCACATCTTCCTGGATTTGTGTGTGTGTGTGTCTGTTTGGTTATTTTGCTCAAACTGTGTGATGAATTGCTTGTCTCTTCAACAACTTAAAAAATCCTTCGACCCGTGAAAATCCGGGTTAGAATATTGATCTTCAGTAACCCATGCTTGTCGTAAGAGGCGACTAACAGGATCAGGTGGTCAGGCTCGCTGACTTGGTTGACACATGTCATCGGTTCCCAATTGCGCAGATCGATGCTCATGCTGTTGATCACTGGATTGTCTGGTCTAGACTCAATTATTTACAGACCTCTGCCATATAGCTGGAATATTGCTGAGTGCGGCGTAAAACTAAACTCACTAAGAAAACCTTTACAGTTTTAAAACAGGAATTGTGAATCGGTCGCTGCATAATTGGTTTTTGAATGGGTCCAAATAAATTCTTGTGTACCTGAAATAAACCGAATAATGTCAGATCTATATGGTCTCTGGTGGGATTTAATGTCATTTCCATGATGATAGTAAGATATGTTTTTGACCTGCAGCAATCTGATTTCTCTGTTATTTACAGCTACCCTCCCTATTTACCATGTTAACATCACATCTATGTTTATTCTGGTTGTACTGAACATGACAACCCAGGTTTCAGAACGACATAGGCATCTGCCACTCGTGTAGTAACCACGAAACTGTGTTTACTCAATGCTGATATATTTGTTCAAAGATTTCAGAAGTAAATGATTCTTGATAATCACACAAAGCAGTGATATCCGGATTCCAGAAGTGTTTCCCTCTTGTTATCAGCAGAACATCACCATACTGACCAGGGGAGGTATCAGTGGTTTAGGGCAACAATTTGACGAAGTAATGGCATTTCTAGATAGTGTACATGCTGCATGATTGGCCAGATTACAACACTATATATATGTCAGCATATTATAAGTGATGTGGTGATTGTTTTATGTCCCTTTTCATTTACAGCAATATCTCATCAGGATCACCTGTTGAATATAGTTAGGGCTTTCACCATGTTGACTACAATGCGTACAGAGCTGTGCCATCTTTCATGTTACCTTGGTATGAGATGATTACTTGTTTTCTTTGCTTTACAAATTCATAACACCTATCAATATAATATAAATAAATGGATGATTAAAATTGCATGAAGATAGTTTAAGTTTTGTTTATTTGTCTGATCACACTATGTTTACTGAATAACATCCGGAAGCTAATAATTCATAAGTGAGACCTAAGGAAGCTAGAGGTATATAATATATCACTGTCGCTGTAAAAGAAGATACTGCTGCCTTGTGTATGGTATACACTGTTTATCACACTATATGATGTGAACAAAGATCCACGTATCACACATGATACAGGGACACATGGTGACATGGAGCAAGGAGCATGCACAGAAATGACTGACTGACTGACTGAGTTTGGTTTTACGCCGCTTTTAGCAATATTCCAGCAATATCACGGCGGGGGACACCAGAAATGGGCTTCACACACAGAAATGAGTGGTATTGCTGGTAACAGTAGGCAGTCAGCGGTAGTGGTGTTCTGATGATCGAAAATAATCGAAATTCGATCGAAAGAAAGATTAAAAATAATTATCGATTGTAAAAAAACATTTTTGATTAACTGGAATTTTCTTGTTTTAGTATAACACTTGACTGAAGTAAACTAACCATTAAATTTGTCGAATATTGAGGACACTCATGAATGATTGTATTTATATTTAATGATATAGAATGAAGTAATCGAGTAATGAAACGAAGACAGTCAGAATTGTAAAATTTTAACCACTTTTATTGTTTAATTACAATTCCAGTGTCATTCTTGCATACGTGCATTTCATTGCATGACAGTATTAGTTATAAAAAAAAATTAAATAGAAAAAAACTGGGGAAAAACCCTTAAAATTAGTGATTACATTAAAAATGTAGATTATCGTTCACCACAAGTCCTCCGATAATCGATAGTGGACTTCTTTTCCGATTCCCAACACTAGTCAGCAGATCCCCTTGGTGTGTCAATCTTACTGAGGTAGAGTTGATATTTTATAATTAAGCATGGAGACAGTGATGATATGCAGTGTATGCCCAGAGGTGAATCGAAAATGCATGACTCCATGAATTATTGAAATCAATTCATTTGCAGCAGCATTTTTTGAAAATGTTAGAGATATATGATATATTATTCTGGATCTGGTTCAACATGTTAGAGATCAGAATATTTGCTTGGTCGTGCTTGATCTGTGTCCAATTTTCTTCACTCAGTAACCAAATTTCTTTTCAAACATTTTTCTATGAATAATTACTAATGAGGCCTAATTGGTGACATTGTGACTTGATAATGGTTATCAGAGTGGTTTGAGTTTGGCGTCACAGTGGCATGAAACTGGTCCACAGCTCTTTCCAGACAAGTGGTTTATGCAAGAAAATGCTTTCTCACAGAATCTAGTTATTGTGCATAAACCACTTGTCTGGAAAGAGCTGTGGACCAGTTTCATGCCACTGTGATGATCATTTCAAACTAGAGATGTATTTCTCCACAAATATTACCATTTCAATTTCAGTAATTGTTATTCCATGCCATTCCAAACTCTACTTGACATATTACATGTCAGAGGCCCAGATAAACTGAGTATCCGGGTAAAATACGCGCATAGAAAATTTCCAAATACGCATTGAAAAAATAATTGTTGCGTACCATTTACGCATTTACAATGTTAGATACGCAAAATGTTTAAAACAAATGCGTACAGAGTATATTTATAAAAATCGCTTGCGTAATGAAAAAGACATCGATTGCTATCAAGTTGTACTGTTAGTATAGGACAAGTGTTGTACTGTCAGTATAGGATGAGTGATTTTTTTATGAAATCATTTCCATTATATTTAAGTTGGTTTTGATTAGGTATGACATGAGGCAGGACATACCTGCTTAGTAAACTTACTCAACGACGTAATACTTAGGTGAGTGAAATGACTGAAATACGCACATATTTGAAAGCAGTGGGTGACGGAAAATGAAATACTCACTCAACATTCATAATACCCACTCCAAAAAAAATGCAGTGGGTACAGTACCCACATGACCTAAATCTTATCTGGAGCTCTGCATGTGTAAGGTTACCATGGTTACAGGCAGTGTTGGAAATTAAAGTGATTCTTTGAGGTCTGTGTTCTTTGAATATGTGCTTAGTACGTCGTAAACACACTAAATCTTTAAATTGTAGCAGTGTTATGACAAGGTCCCTGTGACTTTCATGCACTGAACCTACTGAATTGTTGCAAAAGTTTTGAGATGTGCCCTCAACCAGGAAATGAGATGTTAAGCAGCTCACAACACCTGCTCTGTAAACATTAATGGTGGAAGCGTCATACTTTCAGGAAAATAACGCGTGTTAAACCATAGCTGTGGCTATTGTTAACAGGTGCTTGGAAAGTTATTGTTGGACAGGAATGAGGAAACTCAGGTGAAATTGTACTGATTATTTTAAGCTTTCTACGTGGTGATGATACATGGGTCCTAGTCAAAAGGGCCGCATGACGAAATGATAAGTGTGTTGTTACTTAGATGAAATAAATAACCATCACATACATCTAATTTTTGTCAGCATTTTCTTTCAAATATTGAAAAAAATATCTATTAAAAACTTAACTAGTATTTATAAAGTATACATTGTATAGATGTATAACCTTTTACTATAATACACTTTTAAAAAAAGGGGCCCTTTTGACTAGGGGTCTGAGGCCCTTTTGACTGTTTGATGGGGCCCTTTTGACTAGGGGTTTGCGGCCCGTTTGACTGGGGCCCTTTTGACTAGGGTCTGAGGCCCTTTGACTGTTTGATGGGGCCCTTTTGACTAGGGTCTGAGGCCCTTTGACTGTTTGATGGGGCCCTTTTGACTAGGGTCTGAGGCCCTTTGACTGTTTGATGGGGCCCTTTTGACTAGGGTCTGAGGCCCTTTGACTGTTTGATGGGGCCCTTTTGACTAGGGTCTGAGGCCCTTTGACTGTTTGATGGGGCCCTTTTGACTAGGGTCTGAGGCCCTTTGACTGTTTGATGGGGCCCTTTTGACTAGGGTCTGAGGCCCTTTGACTGTTTGATGGGGCCCTTTTGACTAGGGTCTGAGGCCCTTTGACTGTTTGATGGGGCCCTTTTGACTAGGGTCTGAGGCCCTTTGACTGTTTGATGGGGCCCTTTTGACTAGGGTCTGAGGCCCTTTGACTGTTTGATGGGGCCCTTTTGACTAGGGTCTGAGGCCCTTTGACTGTTTGATGGGGCCCTTTTGACTAGGGTCTGATGCCAATTGAGTAGATAGATGCCCATGCTATTGATCACTGGATTGTCTGGTCCAAACATGATTATTTACAGACCGCCGCCATATAGTTTGAATATTGCTGAGTGTGGTGTAAAACTAAACTCCCATGGTTTCAGCTCCCTATCCTGGCTTTGTTAAGCTACCCTGTGCCAACTGCGATCATGACTCTACACTGTTTCCATGGTTTCAGCTCCCTGCCCCGACTATGAACGCGACTCTACTGCGCTGCTGATATGGAGGATGCCGTGAGCCGAGAGTCTGTGGATTCCTCCTCAACAGGTGATGACTTCGTGGTTGTCAATGCTGACCCAAAGTTCAAGTTGACCGGTGATATTAACGACCTAGACGAAGAGGTTGGTGCCGGCAAGTTCCTATCCCCCAAAATGGCTGCGTCTGCTGCTACCACCCCTGAACAAAATGGCATGGAATTGGAGAAGGTGGAGCATGCGATACGTGGTAGCCAGTCGGCTGATGTCCTCATCCCTGATGCGTCCAACATCGTAGGGCCCATCAGTCACTCGGAGAACATGTCTGTGATGGGTCTGGGGTCTGCAGATGTCGGGCTCAACCAGATTACTGCCAGTGAGTACCGAAGTATCCTACATTTGGTGACTGTCTTGTGGAAACATTTTTTGATACCATTCTTTTTAGTGTCATTGATGAAAGGGAATAACTTTTGTGGATTGTGTATATAAACACAAATTTGATAAATGGTATTAACAACCTAGGACCAATAATCTGTCATATGTTCATTTTGAGCCTCAGTGAAACAGCCAGACTGTAAACAAGCATCCATTCCACTTACGTCAAAGATGACCAGTTCATCGACAGACGATACTTTTGTTTGTGAGATTGATGGGGTGGGGATTGTGTGAGGTGAAATGGGGTTCAGTTTCACATTCACGACATTTCACTTCCATAGTGATGTGCATGCATGTGTGTGTGTCTTGTCTGTTCAAATCCGAACTGGGTGGTAGGGTAGCCTAGTGGTTAAGCGTTTGCTCGACACGCCAAGAACCTAGGTTCGATTTCCCACATGGGTACAATGTGTGAAACCCATTTCTGGTGTCCCCCGCTGTGATATTGCTGCAATATTGCTAAAAGCAGTGTAATCTAAACTCACACACTCACTCACTCAAATCTGAACTTTCGACGGTTTTCTAGTTGTATCCCACTGAGATACCTTTCCAACATTTATCATTGATACCCTCACAGATACATTATACTGACTGTGGGCCGACCAGTCCTTCTTTTATTCTCTTAATGCAAAGCACCATGCAGGGTAACAATAAGTACCATCTTTTATAACACCTGCACAAGATTGTACCTGCTATATACATTCAGTATGACTCATTATTTTTCCTTATCCTGACTCATGATCTTTTGCTTATCTCCCTTTCCTCTTCGAATGGTAGTGGAACACTTGAATCCCTTGAAGTTCCCGAAGCAGACGTATAAATACTCACCCACGAGTTACCTCCCTTGCCCTTTCCCGCACAAACTTACCATGTGACTTGCCCATACTTGTCACTCTTTCCCTTTACTTAAAAAATTACATGATGTTTTAGTGTACTCACTTGAACTAGCGACCTACAATATTCTGTGTTGATGATGACTAATCCCTTCAGATCGTGGCCGATCGACCTCGCTTCCTACAATTCCCGGCACAGACTGTACGGTGTTTGATGGAGTCACCTACCTTGGTTGCGCTACTGTCAACGCACCTCGCAGTGAGGTGGAGATCTACCGCAACATGGCAGTGCTGAATGACCAATCACAGATGGCTATCCCTGTCACTCTCACCGTGCCCAGTACGTCGGAGGGATTTGTAGGGTAAGCCAGTTATCTCCCTTTGATTAAGGTTACAGTAAATACAACATGGTAGTTGACCAAAACAGTTGATACATTACAATCTATAGAAAAACATCTTTCTTTATTTTTGACACATACATACTTTGGTGATTTTTTAAGATACAAGATATTTTTTTAGCTTTACACGATATTTGAAACATTCTTGAGCATAATAGTAATGAAACAAATTACAACAAAATTGACTAAAAGTTTGTCCGTTGGATTAAAGCAAATCAACTGTCAACTGCCATTCTCTATATGCTGTTTCCTTTGTGACATGATGTGAAGGAATATGTAGATTATGTAGTGGTTAGAGAGATATGAGCCTGTATGACATGTTAGATAGTTTTGTTGTTGTCCAATCATCAGTTGTGTTATACCTCAGTGGTTGTAGGAATGTCGTGTTATCACATGTGTAGGACGTAATACAGTTTATGATGTTATTTTGGGTAGTGGAATAACACAAAGAAAGAAATATGCATCTAAACACAGGGACATACGTTTGTATAAAACTGCCATGTGGATAGTGACCTCATCTGTGCCCAAATTTGAAGAATGTGCTCCTAGCATCATTTTCAAATTTTACATTTTATTTTGACATGAATTCTTATTGGCTCAGGTTTCTACGTTTAACAAAGCCAGTGTCCCGTGCTGTGATATTGCTGGAATAGTGCTAAAAGCTTCATAAAATGATACTCACTCACTCTAGACCTAGAAGAACTGTTTCTTGGACTGGTGGATAATGTAGCACACTTGATTGTTATGACATGTCCAGTTTTCATTCTTCACCACCATGGTGGCGTTAGTAATGCAAGTATTTTAACAAGTATATATTAAGTCATGGGGTTGAGATTGATGGCCAGCATCCCGACTTTGGCTCCTTAATAATCAGTGATTATGGTGTCAACATTTGGTGCAAGCATTTTTGCATGCAGATTATTTTTTAGTATCTGTTTTTTTGGTGGTGTTTTTGAGTTCTATTGATTTCCGTATCTACTAAATCTGTTTGATAGCCTCCTGTACTGCTGTCTTTGTAATATGTATGATGTGTAAGGTATATATTTGGTTATACCGGAAATACAAAGAGTTCCACAGATCAGAAAGAACCATTAATGTGAAAGTGATGCACACTGTTGGTGATGTTGCAATGAATATTGATGAAATTTGATCACATTCAATGAAATCAACCTCCTTCCAAATCTAAAAAATACGTCACTTTGATAAAAGGTAGTGTGTTTTAACTGTAATTATAGCATTTGATTCCAAAACATCTGAGGTGATCGACATAGTTTAGTTTTGAATAAAGCTAGATCTAGTATGTGTAAACATGGCAGTCGTCTGAAACTAGACAAATCATGAAATAGCTTTCGAGGAAATTCCTGAGTTTTAAATGACAAAACTATTTCAAAGAAAACTAATAGTTGTAACCGTGGTAAGATTCTGGTCGAGTTTTGTGGTTTAGACTAGTTTTCAATATTTTATAAGTTTGAAGAATTAAGTTAATGGTCACATCATGTAAATGGAAGAATGATTATGTAGTAGCTTTTCATGTTAAGTAAGAGAAGGAACTTTAACTGTGCACAGAATTTTATTGATGCATTACAGCATTATGCATAAAGCATTAAAACATAAAAGCATAACATGTTAACATGAAAATACAGATGTAAGGATAACATACATTATATTTCTACAATAGTTTGTTCTGTTGACATGGTAACAACGTTTGATGGCTTTCTACTTTGTTGCAGCCCTGCCGATGGAATGGTTCGGTATGCCCATATGCTTGGCTCCATTGTCTCAGTGACTCTCATGCTTGCTACATTACGTTTGCTTCATATGCTAGTCAACAGACCAACACATAAGGCTTGGGAGGGTGTGGGGGGTGTCTTCCACTCGCGTTAAATGGGGACATTGCTTTTTTATTTTGCTCTAAATTCAAAACATAATGCTTACGGATTTGTGCTAGTGATGCACATATTACGACCTTGGGGCATTTTCCAGACGTATAGAATGTTTTTTTTCCTTTTCTTAAAAAAGCAAGATCAAATCCAACTGTAGTAAAACATGATACTTTTGGATATGCAAAGTTGGACTGAGCTAGGGCCCTTCTCAACTTAAACAGATCTGAAATTGGAGACACTGATTATTTTTAAGTCCTTTATCATGTCCAAAACACAACACTTGTTCACACAGTTATACTAATCTTCAGGCACACATACAAAATTTATAATTTGCTTTTTCTTTCGCCTTGACACACTTTTAATAGTTTTCAGACAAGTACTGTTAGATTTTGCATATTTTTTCTCACACGAAAAGTCGGACATAAATTGTTTTTGTAGATAGTATTGTAAAAAATAAGGTGTAGCTGAGTAGCTTTCAATAATTGAGACAAATTGTGTTACATCATGACGGTTGAAGTAATTTGGACATTTTTGCGGAAAATACAAGAAAGGATTCTTGGGACATGTATTCATGATATAAATGTTTCTCTGTCTTACTTGGAAAAATAGAGACTACCATTCGTCATGGTTAACAGCAGTGTAAAACTGCCCGAGAATATGGAGGAGATAGGTTCACTTCATTGAGGCCCTAGGATGCTGTCATCTAATACTGGCATCCACTTCTCACTATTGTTTGCTGTGGATGTGTTGTTGTGTTGTCATTAAATCAGTATTTTGGATTTTGTTTTACGCTTTTCCTCAGATTTATTTAGCACGTCTGTTTTTATTCTAATTTTATTCATTTGCATGCCTGTCTAATCATTGCACTGCGACCACGTTTGACAACTAATATTGTTGATGTTACCATGGTAACGGGGTAATCTTTACCACTTACACATATTTTGCTGTCGAGAATTGAAACCAAAGTTTGAAATCTCCATGGTAACATGGTAGAATCTTTGTAGATGTAGAAAGCACCCATATAACATTTTCAAAAATTTCATTCATTGTGTTATTTACTGTGTGAATTAGCCATGGTAACAGGTTAAAATATATATGGAAAATATGACCAGTGTCACCAGGAATGTTTTTGATAGGTTCTGATAACCATGATAACAGTGTATCTTCATGTGTAGATCTAGGGGCGGTGGGGTAGCCTAATGGTTAAAGCGTTGGCTCGTCACACCGAAGACCCAGGTTCGAATCCCCACATGGGCACAATGTGTGAAGCCCATTTCTGGTGTCCCCCGCCGTGATGTTGCTGTAATATTGCTAAAAGCGGCGTAAAACCAAACTCAGTCAGTCAGTCAGTGATGTGTAGATCAGACCAAACATGGATAATTAATCTTATATTGTAAATGGGGCTATATACAGGGTTTCACATAGCTTATGAAAATATTGCATAGTTTGCATGAACTTTTTAATCTACGAGATAATGATGTCAAGAAATTACATAGACATGGCAGACATGTTGATAGAAAATGGGAATAATGGTAAACTAATCAATTTCATCCCTTTCCCCGTCACAAGCCGACACCCTGCCTCACATCATTTAAGTGTCCATGTAGACAAAGGAAGTCATTACATGTGTTCCCTTCTTCGTTTGATGATGTACAAAGTATATATAATTGAAACTTCCAGTTAAGCACATTCAATAACTGTTGATCAGTGTGCAACGATAACTTGGACGCTTGCTTTTAGAACATAAAATATTGAATGGTCAAACCAAATATTCATGCTTCAAGTGAATCAAATCCATTCACACTGATGCTGGAAACAGTTTCTTTAAAAATAATTAAGCATGTTAAAATGTCAAAAGTGCATTTTGAGGATTTTTTAAATGAAATTGTTTGAGTTAATTTTTTGTATGTGAGCTGACTGCTGACACTCCGTCAGATGTGTAGGCGTTGACATTCTGGTACTGAGGGGGGCGTTGGGGTAGCCTAGTGGTTAAAGCGTTATTCGTGGTTCAAATCCCCACATGGGTACAATGTGTGAAGCCCATTTCTGGTGTCCCCCGCCGTGATGTTGCTGGAATATTGCTAAAAGCGGCGTAAAACCAAACTCAGTCAGTCAGTCTGGTACTGAGTAATACAATTAGATTGAGTCAAATATTAGTCAGTGAAGAATACTCAATCAAAATTCAAAATGGAATATGCCTTATTCAGCTGTTAATCATGTGAAACCCTGCGGATAGATCATCGAATGTACGTGTATTAACATCTTTCATCTTTCCAGTTTGTACAGAGCAGACATGATCCAACAAAGCAACGACACAAAAACCCATACCTTTTATGCTTTGTTAATGTCTTTTTGATTGTTGGTTACTCTTTCAAAGACATTTAGAAATAATACATGTAAAGAGTGAGTGAGCAAGTTGGGCTTTAAGCCGCTTTTAGCAATATTCCAGCAATATCACGTCGGGGGACACCAGAAATGGGCTTCATGCATTGTACCCATGTGGGGAATTGAACTCGGGTCTTTGGCATGACGAGTGAACGCCTTAACCACTAGGCTACCCCACCGGCCCGATACTTAAAGAGAAATATGTTATGGATGTGGACTTGTGTAATATGAGGAACACGTTTTCCCGGGTATATTCTTTATCCTTCTCCTCCTCGTATCATTGTCTCCTTCTTCCCCCTTAATTTGTGAAAACATAATGTGGACTCGCAGATGATGCTAACAATTTGTGGACTCTCAGGCCATGAAAGTAATTTGTGGACTTTTAGATGATGAAGACAGTGTGGGGACTCTCAAATCATGAAAATAATGTGTTGGCTCTCAGATGATGAATACAGAGTGTGGATTCTCAGAACATGAAATTAATTTGTGAAATGTCTGGCTATGAAATTAGTTTGTGGACTCTGAGATCATGACAATGAATTGTTGACTGTCATATTTTATTAGTATTCTATGGACTCTTAGATTATGAAAGAAATTTGCAGACACTCATGGAATGGCCACAATTTGTGCACTGACTAGCTGATCATGAAAGCAATTTGTGGATACTCTTGGGTAGCCTAGTGGTTCATGACACTGAAGACCCGGGTTTCGATTCCCAACATGGGCACAATGTGTTATGCCCATTTCTGGTGTCCCCTGCTGTGATCTTGCTGTGATCTTGCTGTAATATTGCTAAAAGTGGAGCATGACCATACTCACTCTCTCTTCATGATGAAAAGAGTTTGTGAAGAGTCACAATGATGTAGACAAAGCCACTTTGTGTATCTGATTGTTGATTTTGATGTCATGATGCTTTGGTAAATCATTTCTGTCCAAACTGTTCACTGGTAGTCGTCATAATCATATTGATGTTACATGTGTTTATAAAACACAATGGCGAAAATAGACTGTCAAATATTAATACAAAATGCTAATTGGTTTGTCTGATTAATTGTGTTTTAGTGAATTAATGTTATTGTGTGATAGTTTTTGATAAGTGTATAAGTATAACAGTGTCTTCATGTTTGTAATGTTTGCGTTACATTTTGAAAATAGCCTTAAGAAACTCATTCGGGAGGCTGACCCAAGGATGGCTGTATCCTGACCTTGACCTTTGTTTCAGATTGATCGATCCAGCAAGCAGCACAGAGATTGCCAGTTACCGTATTCACCGCATTCTGTTCTGTGCAAGAGGTCCGACTGACAGCAGCGAAAAGAAGTGCTTTGCATTCACGTGTAGCCATGGCGATACAGCTGAGACCGCCATTTTCCAGTGTCATGTGTTCCGCTGTGACCTTCCGGAAGCAGTAAGTTGATGACATTATTAGATCTGGGCTAGAATTGGCCTTCAGCAACCCATGCCTTTGTAAGAGACTAGTAATGATAGTGTTTCCTTACGCATTTTTAGCAGGGTGCAGTGCCCTGCCCTATTCATTTGGTTCCCTGACTTCTTTTAATACAATAATTGATGTTAACATTTGATGGTTTTAGTTTCTATTTAATGGTAACGTAATGTGAAATGTCTGTGCTCTTTGAACCTGGAATAATCACTATGCATGAATAACTTGACATAATACTTGGAAATCTGTTATTGTGTACCCTTTTTAAAATTCTGTCACCTTGCCCTTTTTGGATCCTGGGGGAAACGCTAAATGGGATTGGATGGTTAGGTTCTCTTGGCTGATGCTTGTAATGGTGTCCCAGTTGTGTGCAGTCTGATGCTCATATTGTCAATAACATTTTGCAACCTGATGCATTAAATAGAAATCACAGAATTGAAACAAGATTTTGGGGGGCTGAATTTGAATTAATTCATACTGAATCTGATTAATATTTAAATTCATTCACTGTGCAGGTGGCAAAAATCCTGTACAGCTTTGCGACAACATTCCGCCGGGTTCCCCGCAGCACACGGACTACAGCCTCAGCAGTTTTGCCTGAGATCGATCAGAACTATGTATTCACTGTGGGCATTGAGTTCAAGGAAGATGATGGCAAGGGGAACTACTCTGCTGTACCGAAGGACAAGTCAGTGTTCAAGTTCCGCTCTAACGTCGAGAAGAGGATTAGTATCTGTGTCACTCACACTGGTCCGATTGAGCTAAAGATTGAACGGTGAGGTTCTGAATGAGGCAACATCAATCCTTACCATATCATGATCAGATATGGAGACCTCTTGTGTACGCAGCTTCCCATAGTTTGGTTGAAGAATTGAAAGCAGACGTTTTGTCCTTATTTTTCCTTATCCTGACTCATGCTCTTTTGCTTGTCTTCTTCTTCTTGCGAACATAGTGGAACACTTGTATCTCCTTAATTGAAGCTCCCTTCAATGTAAAATCACTAATTAGTACTCACCAAGAGTTGCCTCCCTTTGCCTTCACGCGGGAAAGGTGGCGCCACCCTCTGGCCTCATGCTTCACTCTCTCCTTCTTCGCCCAGTGAGCAGGATGTGAGAGCGCCTGTGTCTCCTTACACACTATATCCTTGGTTTTTCTTAGTTAGTTACCTCCTATAGGTTACTATAGAGGTATAGCTAGTATCCTTCATTAATATGTATTGATAATTAATCGTATTTCTACTGTTTATTCACGTGAGTTCGTGATTGTTCAGCTAGTATTACGTTGATGAAAATCTGTACTATTTGTAGATTACGTTTTTCTGCTGCTGACCCGCATGTAATATGCCCTAGTTGTTCTACGCCTTGTGCGTTTGATTCACGTTGCAGTTACTGCATTAATCTATCTAATTCTGCTTTTAATAAGTATCATCTTTGCGTCTTGAGACGTGCAGCAGATAGGTCAGACAAACAAGGGTTAGACTTGGCCGATACATCGGAATCCCCATCCAGTCACCTGCTGTTGGTTGACCCCCTCCCGTCTGGTGTTCCGCTAGAGTTTCCCTCGGAGGAGGGGCGTGGGATGCAGTCCGCCGCCTCCAAGAAGCGTCCTGCCTCCCCAGACATGCCGTCATCGCAGCCAAAGTCTAAGAGGGCCTCGACGTCTACTCAACTCCTCCAAGGGAAAGTCTACGAAGTCGTCAAGAACTTTCTCAGCCGAGATCGTTCCAGCCGCCGAACTGGGCCTCTACGGTGATCAACCGATCATCATCCCCGACCTACGCCACAAGAAGCGACCGGTGACAGCTACAGTGACGTCAGCAGAGATCGCCATGCAGCCTGATGTGTCTACACCGATGTCGGACGATCTCCCTGAGGGCCCCGCCGCTAACATCGCAGAGAGGGCACCGACTACTTCGTCGCAGACCGTCCCAGATGAACTGATGCGGCAAATCATGATCATGATGGAAGACCACTACAGACTGCAGAAGCAGCCAGCCCAGGGCCTGAGCCTTAGCGAAGGCTCCAACGCAGACGACACCCCAGAGGGACCCCCTGTCAACGTAGCGGCCACGACGAAGCCACCTTCGCGAAGGAAGTCACAGACCACCTCGACGAAGGACCCAGATGTACAGCCTTTGCGAAGGCCTTCGCGAAGGCGGGATAGATCATCACCTTCCTTGGCTTCATCCTTAGATGCGGACTCAGACCACCAGACTTCACGGAAGCCTTCGCGAAGGTCAAGTCGCCGTTCCCCAGGACCGGACGCAGAGGAAGCTGGTCACCTGCCTCCAGATCATCTTCGTCCAGAAGGACATCGAGGGACTCCACAAGAGCTCCGCGAAGCTATCAACATTCACCTCAAAGGTCTCCGCGAAGGTCAACCCATAGACGCAGATCACCAAGACGATCACCTCGCCGTTCACCGCGCCGATCTCCTCGTACATCACCACGTCGATCTCCTCGCAGGTCACCACACAAGTCTGCACAGAAGTCTACAGTCAGGTCTCCCCTATCGTCACCCGGCACAGTGGTAGAAGCACACAGTCCACCATCTGAAGAGCATCAACCTCTCATCAGCGATCCTGGGGTAGAAGATGATGGAGGCATCATTTTCTCAGACGCTGAGATACGATATTGGATGGTAAACAACCTAGACCTTTCTTCACCTTCCAAGAGTGGCAACTCGGCGCATACCTACCTGATGAAAGAAGACGATGCAGACGCCGTCACCTTACCTCCGATTGACCCGATTGCTGCGGTGCCACAGAATCTAGATACAGCCTTCCATAAAGCCATGAAAGTTCAGACGCCACACCTTCCGAACTTTCACGCTAAGAAGTTCTCAACTCATAACATGGACCCCTTCTTCAAGGCACAAGACATCGATGACAACTACAAGCTGATCAGCGATGTCAAGAACAAGAACTACAAGATTGACGATCGCAAGCTGGTGCAGATAGAAACCATGACGAGACGCATGTTCTTTGGCCTTAATAGATCTAGAACGATCAATGAGACACATATCACCAGATTTCGTGACACGACTTCTGAAGATGATAGGATGATCTACTCGGCCCTACTGATGCAAAAGAAGGACCAGCAGTTCCTAACGGATCATCTCACATCAGTCTCAGCAGCGCTAACCTTAGCCGTCGTCAAGGCCTCCTCGCTTCCTGCAGCTGGGGTGAGAACTTTACAGCTCCACTCTATACAGCCCCGTGGTCCTCCCCATCCATCTTTGACGGAGGAATAGAGAAAGTCTCCAAGGAAGTCACTAAGGATTCCAGAGAAGTCCTTATGATTAAGTCGATGGACACGCTAGCCAGCGTCATCAGGCAGACTTCTCAAAGATATTCAGGGAGATCTAAATTCACTGGATTACAGAGAGCACGGGATAGGAAGATGGCCAGCTCCAGGGGAAAAGATTCTTTTCGTCGCCCATATGGCAACTATAGAGGAGGATCAGGAAGAGGCAGGGCACCCAGAGGTTCCCGCAACTATAAACGCTGAAAGACAGGTTCGGAACGACTGGAGTCATCCACCCCCAGCCGTTCCAGTACAACCGTCACAAGTGGGTGGACGCCTTCAACTACACTGGGAGTACTGGGAAATGTTACAAGACCCTTATGTCTCCAACATTCTTCAACACAGATTTCGTATCCCACTACAGGCCACGCCTCCGCTGACAGTCAACCCTCACAAGATATAACAAGTTTTATGGATAACAACTTCTTTATTTTCGTGAGTGCGACGTTTAGATACAGATTCTTGTACCGTTGTCAAGCACTTCATGTATCACTCTTGCTTGACAACGGTACAAGAATCTGTATCGAAACGTCGCACTCACGAAAATAAAGAAGTTGTTATCCATAAAACTTGTTATATATTGTACGTCTCAACTTCTAAAATGCCACTCAAACAAGTAACCCTCACAAGTTCGACTTCCAGGCACAACAACTACCAAAGTTAAGAGAGGCTGTTACATCGCTCTTAACCAAGCAGGCCATAGAAGTACTAGATCAAGTAAACATCGAACCAGGCTTCTACTCCCCAGTTTTCCTAGTACCCAAGAAAAACTCCAAGGAGAAATACAGACTCATTTACAACATGAACATATTCAACAGAAATTATCTACGCAAACCGCCAAAGTTTCGCATGATACATCTACCTCAGTTACGGCAGTTGATTCGTCCCATGGATTACATGGCCAGTATAGATCTGCAAGACGCATATCTACACATCCCGATACATCCCGAATCCAGGAAATACCTACGATTTACACTAGACGGGCTGCATTACCAATGGAAAGTACTCCCATTCGGAATATCATCAGCCCCCTGGCTATTCACAAGAATAACGAAACCTATCGTCACCTATCTACATCGTCTAGGGCTACGCAGTGTGTTCTACCTCGACGACGGGATACAAGTAGATCAAGATCCACAGCGTCTCAAACTACAGTTAAACTACATCATAAAGCTACTAACACAGCTAGGATGGTTAGTAAACTTACTCAAGTCGGACCTAGTACCCTCGCAAGATCTGCAATTCCTAGGCATTCGATTTATCACGACTCTCAACCGTATCGTCGTACCAGAAGACCGTTGGCTCAAGATCCAACAGACCATTCCGCCAGCTCTACTCTCTCCGTTACCACTACGACATTGGCAGAGCCTGTTGGGTCTCCTCACGTCAGCCCAAGACATGACACTCAGAGGCAGAATACAGTTACGTCCGTTACAGGTCTTCATCAATGCACATCTCAACGACCTACAACCATTCAGTCTACCGAAACACCTCAGACCTCATCTACTATGGTGGACCAGGAGGTCGAATGTCTGCGAAGGTATTTGTTTAACAGAGCAGGAATTCAAAACCCATCTATATGTAGGCAGCATGCCGCTCCAGGGTTGGGGAGCTCATCTCGCCAACCGGACGGCATCAGGGTTATGGAATCAGCAAGAAAGCAAGCTCCATATAAACATGTTAGAGATGAAAGCGGTAATCAGCGCCATACTTCATTGGAGCACCATTCTACAAAATCGCATCTGATGATTCATACCGACAACTTCGACAGTGGCGTTTTATGTGAACAAACAAGGCTCAAGCGAGATCACTGAACCTATTGACTTTAAGCTTTCAACTGTTCGATCTAATCCACGATCTCAACTTACATGTCAGAGCATGTCACATTTCCGGAGCCAAGAATGTACTAGCAGACGCACTCTCTCGGCCACATCAACCGTCACCGACAGAATGTATGCTCAATACAGAAATCTTTGCACAGATTATCAAGCAAATAGGAGCTCCGCTAGTAGATCTATTCGCCACACGCTTCAACAATCAGCTACTGACATTCGTGTCACCAGTCCCGGACCCACAAGCATGGGCAACGGACGCTCTAAGCATATCCTGGGAAGGCCTCAATGCGTATGCGTTTCTGCCGCCAGCAATAATCCCTCAAGTGTTACAGAAAATCAGACAAACACAGAGCCTCCAACTTACTTTGGTCGCGCCCTACTGGCCAGCCAGAACGTGGTTTCCCATTCTAATTCAAGAAATCGGTCAACCAACACTAGAGCTACCAAAGCGCTTGAATCTATTAGTACATCCACACACCAAACAGGTGCACGGAAGCCCAGGAGTATTCCAACTTCACGTATGGACTGTATTAAAATGTGTTTAAACAAGAGAGGATATTCAACCAGAGCGGCAAAAGCAGTCACGCTTGCCTTACGCTATTCTACACGTAACTTGTACGACGACAAGTGGCACAGTTTCGAAAATTACGCAGCAAATAAGGGATTTACGGCGAGATGCTACTCATCCACAAGTAGCAGATTATTTGTGTTACCTACGCCAAAACAAACATTTAAAAGGCTCGACATTGTCAACATATCTTGCGGCTTAGTTCTGTGATAACTATGAGAGCGGGTGTCAAGTTAACCAAGGCGCCAGAGTTACTGGCCTTACTACGTGCTTTCCGATTGGAGGATCAAAGCGGAAGTTCCGCCCAGCTTGGGATCTGAATATAGTGCTCCAACACCTCACAAGTGAGGCTTATGAACCGTTGGAATCGACAACCTTTGAATTTCTCTCACAGAAAGCGGCTTTTCCTGTTATCTCTAGCCACGGCAGCCAGGATGTCAGAAATTCACGCACTAGATTATGAGAGGATACAGTTTGATGACAATCAAAACACAGCGCACCTGGGATTAAGATGGGATTTCATCGCCAAAAATCAATTGCCAGGTCAACCAGACAGGTTATTCCATATTCCTGCACTCTCCTCGATTCTCGGATCTCAGGATACATTGGACTTATCTCTATGCCCAGTCAGAGCTCTCAAAATCTATTTACGACGTTCCAAAACAAGGCGAAGATTTCTCAAACGATTATTCATCCCCTTATCGGCAACAACTCAAACAGAAGTCTCTCGTACCACCATATCTATATGGATAAGAACTGTCATACTTCGCGCCTACAAGGCAGCAGGACTGGACCCTCCAACAGCATGAAATCCCCATGAGATCAGGGCATTGGCTTCCACACTCGCTCTACACGGTAACTGTTCATTGAATACAATTATGGAAGGATGCTTTTGGAAATCTAACATGGTGTTTGCTAATCACTATCTGAGAGATATCACCACCGAGGATGTCTCAGGTATTCACCATTTCGGTCCCTTGGTCCTCGCCCAGCAGTTGACAGTCCCTTGTAGACGTTAACACATAGTCTTACGAGATTATTATGTATATTTCATACCTGCATTATCTAGCTTATAACTCTACGGAGTTCTAGGGCTATGTATATACTTAGCTTAGGTCTACTCAGCCTTAAGCTCATACTGATGATCATGTTCAGTTGTATTTGTCAGAGTCGCTTTTATATCTTTATTTGCTAATATCATAGTATATTATTATTGTAATACCCCATTTATGGCAATGTATAAACTTATGGTTTATAGTAGAGGAATTATCCTAAGTCAGTGCCTTTATGAAGTTCCCGTTAGGGGGTTATTACAGTTATATCTATATAAATCACTAATTTTATAAATCCAAAGTATTCTGTTCTTTCCCACCTCCGTTTCTGTAGGATTCTACAAGCAAAAGAGCATGAGTCAGGATAAGGAAAAATATGTAATTTTTAGAGTAAAATTGATATTTTATACTTATCCTGACTCATGAGGTCAGCCCTCCCATCCTCCCCACATAACACTTTGGATTTCCCTGTAAATTCAAGTGTTGGGCTCGCAAAATCAGGAGAGAGTGAAGCATGAGGCCAGAGGGTGGCGCCACCTTTCCCGCGTGAAGGCAAAGGGAGGCAACTCTTGGTGAGTACTAATTAGTGATTTTACATTGAAGGGAGCTTCAATTAAGGAGATACAAGTGTTCCACTATGTTCGCAAGAAGAAGAAGACAAGCAAAAGAGCATGAGTCAGGATAAGTATAAAATATCAATTTTACTCTAAAAATTACATTTTTGTTTTCAGTGAAGTGAATCATTTAAAGACCTAAAGAGTAAAGTACATTCATTATGTTTGTATCTATTTACTTTGGGAAATAAATATCTGTAATTATGACTTAAAAAGAGAAAAATATTGTAGAAAAGTTAAATAAGGGAGATAATCTCATCTGGATTCTGCAATTCTCACAGACTGAATGGTGTATATAAAGATATAATTGGAATCACAAATAATGAAAAAATGCTATGAATTTTGTGGGGAATTATTTTGCCAAAATCCATGCGTACTGCAAAGTATATCTTACTTGCAAAAAAATTAAAAAAACAGAGAGATGTGTTTGAATTAGTGGATTGGATGTTCTACAGTAGCCCTGATTGTTGCTCATAATAGCAATCACCGGTTTGTCTGGTTCAGATCATGCTCTTTACAGCTACCATCAGTTTGATGGGATATTGCGTTATTCAACAAAGAAAACCCAAACATTAGACTTAAGAAAAAACTCCTGAAAATGGTTAAAACTAACATGATGTAGAACGAAAATAATATACTCATAGAAACAAATAAGGGAACACATGAAAGTACATGTGTTCCTTTATTCGTTCCCACAATTTCACTCACAGTGCAATGCATACTTTGTGAAGAAACCTGGAAAAGAATAAAGGAACACTTGTACTTTCATGTGTTCCCTTATTCGTTTCCATGAGTGAATATGAAATCATTTCTTTTCAGATGTTTTGGGCTGTTGATCTCACCAGGGAGGAACGTTAAGCATAGTGATATGCAGCTGATTGAGTTGGTAAGTAACCTTGGTAACGATCAACAGAATCATGATACATGGGGGTTAACCTGTTTCATGTCTTTAGAATCAGCTTATACAGTCAAACCTGTCTAAACAGGCACACCACGGGCCCGAAATAAAATGCTGGTTTAGACAGGGTGCCGGATTAGACAGTGACGTTCATTTTCCAACATGGCTGCAATTTACACTCGTCAATCTCTCAATCTAGTGTGCCGAGAGGAGTGATTGGATTATGGGACCCTGACTGGACTGCTCATACCCATGCCGGCTTAGAGCATTTGATTCACTGCACTATCACTACTTCCTGATTATCTAGCGTGACAAGAGGAGTAATTAGTGTATTGGATTATGGGTCCTTGATTGGACGTCTCATACCCATGCCGGTTAAGACAGTGTTAATTACAGTTAAAATTGCTTGTTGGGACCGGAAAGTCATGCTGGAATATGGAATAGACAGGTGCCAGATTAGACAATGTTTTACTGATCATAATATTGTTGTAAAATGGCGGAACCAACAGTGTGTCGGATTAGACAGGTGCCGGTGTTGGGAGGTTTAACTGTACACACAAAAGATGTTTAGGATTTGACATCGCTGTATATAAAAGTGAGTTTAGTTTAAAAACGCTTTAAGCAATATTCCAGAAATATCAAGGTGGGGGACACTAGACCGATTATATTGTATACTGAGGCAGAATGAATTTCAATAATGATGATGCACTTTTATAACTTGAGGATAATAGCCACAGTATTCTGACTGCAGCACTAGGCAGTATAGAACCATGCACACAATATACAGGTTTAACATGTTTTTGTTCAGATTTACAAACCGACTGACTTTGACAGGCATATCGCAGTGTAGGAAAGATGTAGAAAATCTAGCCTGTCCACAGGACTGGCAGGTCAAATTTTTTACCAGTCCTGCCAAAATCAAGCCAGTCCTCCAAATATAAATAAAACACCTTCGGCAGTAAATATTCAAAAAGGTTATAATCATTATATATATGTCAATGGTTTGCTAAAATTGACCTGACATGAGGACGGACTAGATATTTTTTTAACCTGTCCTCCACAAAATTCACCCGTTTCGGACGTTGGGACGGGCTATCTTTCCTACACTGCATATCGAGACATATTGTATCTTAAAGTTTGGCTCCAATTGGTCAGTGAATTTCAAATTCCCTCTACAAAGCCGCACTTTAAGTTATTACAATATGAAGTGAACTGGAAAAGTATTAAATATTTGAGGGGCATTTAGAAGTGGAATCCATGAGAAAAGCAAGATTTATGGGTATCAACTTTTTTATTGTGAATAACATGACGTTTCGGAGTGTATCCTTCAACTGAGAAAGGAGCAAGCGTATACTTCGAAATGTTGTGTTATTCACAATAAAGAAGTTGACATCCATAAATCTTGATTTTCTCATGGAATAATATTATTCATTTTGTGATTTTACAATCATTTGCTGCACAGTTTGGGCCAATATTCCCCTTTTAGTAGGTGTAGCTAAATCTTAAGGAGGTGGGGTAGCCAAGAGGTTAAGACATGAGCTCATCATGCTGAAGACCTGGGTTCGATTCCGCACATGGGTACAGTGTGTTAAGCCCATTTCTGGTGTCACTTGCTGTGATATTGCTGGAATGTTGCTAAAAGCAGCGTAAAACTAAACTCACATACTTGATAGATAAATCTTTGCTAGCTGTGTATGAGGTATGTATTGTACTGATGCTTCAGAACTCTATGGGCTATGCTGGTGATGGCCGCAGTTACACCATCTCAGGGCAGTGGGACCCCAGCGAGAAATGTTTCCTTGTGCTGAACGAGGAGACCCCAAAAGGTGAGATAAGTTCCCTTATCTTACCTCACATTGAAATTCTAGCTCGGATTGGTTAAAGAGCTGGTAATTATTTCATATACCTTTCTGGGTAATTAGTTTGAACATATCTTAGGTATGTTGTTAAAGACACTTTGGATTGTTACTAGGCAGTTCTATGTCACTAGTGCACAGCTCTTTTGTGCCAAAATATTTCTATTTTCAAGAGAATATAGAGATTGTCATGTTGCTTTTCAGTCGTGGGGGGAGTTCTTGAAAATATTTTTATCTGCTACAAAGTTTCCGTAGTCTTCATGGTAAGAATGGTAGTTCATGAAATGTCACTTCTCCTTCCTTAATTATTTTAGCGACATATTAATTTTGAATCCTGATTATATTCAGTATGGGCAATTTTGTATGTGTTTATGTTCCAGACACGCGAGTATTCCTGACTGTGGCGGTCGACCTAGTGATATTCGGTATTCAGGAACCTGTCAGGTTTGCTGTGGAGACCAAAGCACGCATCTATCCTTCCAACGAGCGGTTCTGGTACTTCACCAAGAAACCCCACTTTGAGCAGTTCCACGTTAGACTCAAACAGGTAGGCTCCACAATCCTTGTATTCTTTTTCATAGAGATCGTCCTTGGGGTACATATATGCATTTTCTGCGGCTGAAAATGTCATGTGACAGTTGTATCAATGTTTTAATAAAAATATTGTACAAAAAATAAAAATCATTTTTGTTTATTATACCGCCCCCACTACATGGAGTTACCTCCCTGCTACGCATGCGCAGCCAACCAGGTAAGCACCCAGGCCCGTATCATCATTCCTTCTGCTGTCACTGTAGCGTTCACACGTGTTTCATAGAGTTCCTAGCTGATTTACTTCTTTACGAGAAGAATGTCTGAGACTTTAACTACTGTATGTATGCTCTTTATTCGTTCTTGAGAAAAGTTTTATTGATTTTGCAGTCGGTTATTTCTCATTTATGTGACTTTGTATTAAATTTTACGCTAGCTTTCCCGTTGTTTACGCATGTGTTGCTATTCCATGGCGGGGAGTTTAGCGTGCCACGTGGTTGAAATATTGCGTTATTAACCAAGTATTTCATGTCGCGTTGTCGCATTCACGTAATTTTCAATGTTTTGTACGTGTATCTTATGCTGTTATGTTCAGCTCGGCTACTTGTGCTACTGGCACCGCTATGGCCGTCACAGAGCTGGTTTCCGATAATTGTCAGGTTTCTGGCTCAGCCTCCTGTTCTATAACCTTTGCGACTGGACATTCTCACTCAGAACTGCGCGCCACACCCCAATCCAAGGATTCAGTGGGTGGCTTGGCCTCTGTCAGGTCTAGCCTCGAAGCACGCGGAATTCCTGCAGCAGTTGCAGACACAATTCTGGCTTCAAGGCGGGGTTCGACAAACGTTCAATATGAGGATAGGTGGTCCCGCTCTGCGTGCTGGTGTTCAGATAGCGGGATTGCAGATCCCTTTTCTGCGGATTTAGTCCGAGTATTGAAGATTTTGCAAGCTCGTTTGGAAGAAGGCTTGGCGGCTTCGACCATTCGTGGCTACTCCACTGCTTTCTACTTTTCACACCCCTGTCGATGGTGCTCTTCTGGGGCAGAACCCTCTTATGCAGCACCTTTTAGCTGGCATGGATCGGGTTCGACCTGCTGTCAGGCGAACCAGCCCACCTTGGGATTTGTCAATTGTGCTAGATTGGCTGTCCGGTCCTACGTTCTCACGTCTATCGGCTATTTCCATTCAGTTGTTAACATGGAAGGCCGTATTTCTGGTGGCGGTAACATCTGGGCGTAGGGTCGGTGACTTACATGCTATGTCGGCACTGTGTTCCATCCAGATCGTGTCAGTATTCGCCTCCCGGATGTCCGTTGGATGTCCGAAAGACTCTTAAAGTCTATATCAAACGAACACAAGGGATCCGTACAGGTACCCATCTGTTCTGCTGTTACGGTGGCGGGAAGGCTGGGATGCTGGCGAGCAAACAGACCCTGTCTCGCTGGCTTGTATTGGTCATTTGTGCTGCTTATCAGGCTAAGGGCAAGGCTCCCCCTGAGGGGTTTAAGGCTCACTCGGTCAGGGCAGTGGCCACTTCAAAGGCTTTTGCATCGGCACTGCCCGTTGAAAAGACATGCTCTGCCTCTATTTGGAGCAGGCCTAGCACTTTTATCAGGCACTATCAGCTCGATACACAATCACATGATCGTGCGCGTTTTGTCCTGCCACCCTGACCGAGTGAGTCTTGGTTATCTGGACAGTTGACGCTGCTTTCAATTGAGTATTATTGATATATCTGCTGTTGTGTGATCTAGCTCCTTTCGATTCTCTCCGGAGATTATGGTCGGTTGTGAGTTCGATTTCCCCCTTTACGGTGCTATCTAATAGATCATGATGTGGGCAGGGTTCTTTATTTTCGCACTTTGTGCAATTTTCTGTGCTTAACCTATGAGGTCGGATCTAAGTACTTATCCTCCCTGTCGGTTACCCTCCCATAATGCATCTCGCGGAAGCTTCGGGACACGTGACAGGTGAGTGTTGTGGCGTCTGTTACATTCTTTTTAACGATCGCTATTTATGTGTACTTTGACAGAATTCCCTCCTCCCTGGCCTCCAGTCTTTGGGAGTCTTGAATTAATGCATATATGTACCCCAAGGATGATCTCTATGAAAAAGAATTAGATAAACCTGTAGAGGTTTCCAATTCTTTGAAAAGAATCGTCCTTGGGATAGGGCCACCCACCTCCCCGCAATTCTGTTCACTGATTTGTTCAGCAGAAGGATAGATGATACGGGCCTGGGTGCTTACCTGATTGGCTTCTCTGTTCCTTGTGCGAGGAGGTGGACAAGTGTGTATTCACTTAAGTAAGCCCTCAGGGGAGGCTCGGCTTCCTCGGGTGCAGCCCCGGCTGCCAAGCAAGGGCGTTTAGTACCACCGTTGGCCCAGTTGTGCGCCCCCTTGTGGCAGGCATACCGGACTTAAGAGGAAGTCTACCGGAATGCCCTGGTGTGACCAGTGCAACTGGCAGGTGATTCCTGTTTATCTCCCGGGGCTGGAGAACGTGCGAGCAGACGCTCTCTCTCGCCGGATCCTGGCCCCGCACGAGTGGATTCTCGACAGGCAGATATTCAGAGTTATCTCCCAGTTGTACGGATCCAAGGATTCAGTGGGTGGCTTGGCCTCTGTCAGGTCTAGCCTCGAAGCACGCGGAATTCCTGCAGCAGTTGAGTGAGTTCGATTTTCCCCCTTACGGTGCTCTCTAATAGATCATGATGTGGGCGGTTTGTTTTATTTTCGCACTTTGTGCGATTTACTGTCCTTAACCTATGAGGTCGGATCTAAGTACTTATCCTCCCTGTCGGTTACCCTCCCATAATGCATCTCGTGGAAGCTTCGGGACACGTGACAGGTGAGTGTTGTGGCGTCTGTTACATTCTTTTTAACGATCGCTATTTATGTGTACTTTGACAGAATTCCCTCCTCCCTGGCCACCGGTCTTTGGGAGTCTCTATGAAAAGGAATAAGATAAACCTGTAGAGGTTTCCAATTCTTTGAAAAGATCGTCCTTGGGGTAGGGCCACCCACCTCCCTGCAATTCTGTTCACTGATTTGTTCAGCAGAAGGATAGATGATATGGGCCTGGGTGCTTACCTGATTGGCTGCGCATGCGTAGCAGGGAGGTAACTCCATGTGGTGGGGTCCGTATAATAGATAAAAAATATATTTATATATTGTACAATGTTTTTATTAAAAAAATTGATACAACTGTCACATGACATTTTCAGCCGCAGAAAATGCATATATGTACCCCAAGGACGATTCTCTTCAAAGAATTGGAAACCTCTATAGGTTTATCTAAGTATTATTGTCCCCCGCCTCTCTGTTAACGCGATATCTCATATCTTATTTTCAAGGTCACCACGACACTTTGACCACTTTTCAAACTCTTGTTAACACGATATCTCATGAACTGTTGTACCCAATGTCTTCAAATTTGGTGACAGCCTACATTGGGGGATTACATAGATACCATTCTTCTTCATAGAGATCGTCCTTGGGGTACATATTATGCATTTTCCACGCTGAAAATGTCCTGTGACAGTTGTATCAATGTTTTTTGAATAAAAAGATTGTACAATAAATAAACTTTTTTATCTATTATACGGCCCCCACCTCGTGGAGTTACCTCCCGTTGCACATGCGCACCAACTGGATAAGCACCTAGGCCCGTATCATCGTTCCTTCTGCTGTCACTCACATGTGAAGACGTGTTCGATGTGCCGTGCAGCGCTGTTTTCTCTTAAAGAAATTGAAAGAGATATGTCTGAGACACCACCTGTATGTATGGTCTTTATTTTATGTCCTTGCAAGGACCTGTAAAGCTTTGCGGTCGGCTGTTTCATAATTGTGACTTTGTATTAATTATTTTACGCTAACATTCCCATGGTTTATGCACATTTGCTCTGCCATGGCGGGAAGTTTAGCGTGCCATGTGGTTGTAATATTGAGTATTGAACCAACTATTTCTTCCCGTGGTAGCCTTCACGTATTTTTCAATGTTTTCTACGTGTATGTTCGCTGCTGGTCCGCTGTTAGCTACATGCTTGCGTGTTTGCTTTCAGGCGTTTTCCTCCTGTACGGTCTGTGGGCAGAGTATCCCACGGGCCGACAGACACGATAAGTGTATCGTCTGTCTGGAGAAGACGGACCATGTTGCCGAAACTTGTGAAATTTGCATGGGTTTAGTCTAAGGCTAAAAAGCCGGGCTCTAAGGGAAAAAAATCCCGTAGCCAGTCCCCTTCTTCCGTTACTAGTAGCGGTTTTGATATGACTTTAATCACACAGATGTTTCAGCAGCACGCAGACTCGATGAGGTCCCATGTTCATGAGACGGTTGGAGGACTCCGGCAGGAGTTCCTCGCCCACTCTGAGCGTGGGGCGGAGAGTCTGGGGGTGGGATCGCCGAGCCCGGCTCGATCCCTCGGCCTTGACGCGTCTGTAGATCTGTTGCCTCTGGCTTTGTGTCCGGACACCTCGGCTCCCAGTCCCCCTCTCGGAGTTAGCGCAGGGACCGGATGATTCCTGGGGTTCCGATCCCTGCGCCCTCCCGCCCCATGAGAGCGGAGGCACCAGTTCTGCCTGGTCTGCCTCCAGCGTCTCGGGACCGGGGTCCGTGCATGACTGCAGGCACTGACGCGGGGCGCTCTGTCTGCTCCTCCCTCTCTGCTGTACCTAGTGCTAGGCACGCCCACCCGGGTCGGGGTTTCGGTCCTCTTGAGGAGACCCAACCTCAGACTTCGGGCACCGAGCGCCCGAGTCTACTGGATACTGGGGAGGTCGAGAACAGGATGGTGCTTCGTTTTCTTCAGCTCTGCGGGGAGGTCGGCAGCGCATTGCAGTACCTACCCCAAGCAGCGGTGCCTGCCAGCTGCTTTCGGACGGCTGAGTTCCGCCTGCCAGGCGGCGTTTGCCCCTAGGCAGCCCTCATGAGGCAGCTGCTCCGTGTTCTTCCGTCGTTGGTCCAGGGCGTGTTGGATCCCCTCCTGTCTGGGTCTGCGCTCCGTTTCGACTTGCCAGAGCTTGTCGGAGGTACCAGCTGGGGAGGATTCCCCTGATTCAGCCGGTTCCTATGGTGGATGAGTGCGTGTTCACCCGATTAAGCCCTGAGGGTGGGGAGGGTGGGAGGCGCCTCTCTCTATTCCTGCGGTGGGGGAAGGTTACAAACAACGCGGGTGCTGTCCACCATCAGTGTAGGCCATTTACCACTGTAGGCGAGGTCCGCCCGACTTCACGGCATCGCCGCACTCCGGTGCCGTCATGTCAGGCAAGAGGCGGACATATTATTGCTGCCGAAGTTCAGGCTCTGCTGGACAAGTCCGCTTGTCGGCGCATTCCACGGGAGAGAGAGGAACGGGAGGTTTTACTCCACGTACTTCCCTGCGTCGAAGAAAGCGGCAGGTTCGTCCCATTCTCAACCTCAAGGGGTTGAACCGCATGCTCGAAGTACCATCCTTCAAGATGGAGACACTGCGCTCGGTGATCTTATCTGTTCAGCCCGGCGATTGGCTCACGTCAATCGACCTCAAGGATGCGTATCTGCATGTGCCCATACATCCATCGTTCAAGCAGTACCTCAAGAAATCCGACCTGGTACCCACCCAGGACTTGGTTTTTCTTGGGGCGAGATTCCAAACACACAAGGATCTAGTTTCCTTGTCGCCCGACCGGATCACCAGAGTTCGGGAGATGGTGTCTTCGTTCCTCTCCCAGCCCCAGGCACCAGCACGGACTTGGCTCCATCTACTGGGCCATATGGTGGCGACGATCTCTGTAGTGTGGCGGGCGCGGTTGAGGATGCGCCCTATACAGCAAGCTTTGGCGAGTCTGTGGGCTCACTCGGAGGACCTGGAGCTGAGTCTCACAGTCCCGGGTGGTTGACACCTCACCTTCAGTGGTGGACCAATGTGGGAATCTCACCAGGGGTCCCCTTGGAAATCCCGGCGCCAGCTCTCACAGTTCAGACCCGTCGTCCCTCCGCGGGCTGGGGGGTGTTCTGGGCAGTCTGTGGTGTCGGACTCTGGTCGAAGCGAAGCCACCTTCACATCAGCGATGTTGGAACTGAGAGCTGTCGCGGTTGGTTTTCGGGCTTCAGAGAGCATGTCAGGGGCCAGGTTGTCCGTCTTCAGTTGGACAACCAGGCGCCATGTCGTACATCCTGAAGCAGGGCGGCACGGTGTCCCCAGCGCTCCTCCAGGAGACGTGGGACTTTCTACTCTGGTGCGACCAGTGCGATTGTCAGGTACTCCCTGTTTATCTCGCCGGATCCTGGCCCCGCACGAGTAGATGCTCGACAGGCAGATTTTCAGAGTTATCTCCCAGTTGTGCCGGTTCGTTCCAGGTGGATCTGTTTTAAGTCGGCGGGACGAATCAGAACACCGTGTTCTGCTCGAATACGGACCCAGGGGCGTTGGCTGCCGACGCCTTCCTGCTGGATTGGACGGGCAGAGTGCTCTGGGCGTTCCCGCCGTTACCACTCATTCCCCGTGTCCTTTCACAGCTGTCCACCCAGCCAGCTCGGCTGCTTATGCTACTGGCACCGCTTTGGCCGTCACAGAGCTGGTTTCCGGTAATTCTCAGGTTTCTGGCTCAGCCTCCTGTTCTATTACCTTTACGACCGGACATTTTCACTCAGAACGGAGCGCCCCACCCAAATCCAAGGATTCAGTGGGTGGCTTAGCCTCTGTCAGGTCTAGCCTCGACAAACGTTCGACAAACGTTCAGTATGAGGTATGGTGGTCCCGCTATGCGCGCTGGTGTTCAGATAGGGGGATTGCAGATCCCTTTTCTGCGGATTTAGTCCGAGTATTGGAGTTTTTGCAAGCCCGTTTGGAAGAAGGCCTGGCAGCCGACCATTAAGCTGCTACTCCACGCTATTTCCACTTTTCACACCCTGTCGATGGTGCTCTTCTGGGGCAGCACCCTCTCGTCTGGCGCTTTCTGCTGGCTGGCATGAGCGAGTTCGACCTGCTGTCAGGCGAACCAGCCCCTTAAGGATTTGTCAATTGTGCTTTCGATTGGCTGTCGGTCCAACTTTCTCACACCTATCGGCTATTTCCATTCAGTTGTTAACTTGGAAGGCTGTTTTTCTGGTGGCGGTAATGTCTGGAAGTAGAGGTCGGTGATTTACATGCTATGTCGTCCGACCTGGCTGACTTTGTTATTTCACCGCGGATCGTGTCAGTATTAAGCCTCCCGGATCGTGCAGCCGAGGGTCGATCCGCGCTTTCCATGTGACAGCTCCTATCGAACTTCCCTCTTACCCAGCCTTCCACGCCGGGGACCTCTGTAACGAGCACTCACCCGTTGGATGTCCGTAAGACCCTCAAAGTCTATATCAAGCGAGCATGAGGGAATCGTCACGGGTACCCAGCTGTTCTGTTGTTACGGTGGCGGGAAGGCTGGTGTTCCGGAGCTGGCTAGTTTCGTGTATTTGTGCCGCTTATCAGGCTAAGGGCAAGCCTCCCCCTGAGGGGTTGAAGGCTCACTCGGTCAGGGCAGTAGCTTTTGCATCGGCACTCCCCATTGAAGAGATCTGCTCTGCAGCTATTTGGAGCCGACCCTGGCGCGTTTGATTAGGCATTATCAGCTCGTCGCATTCCCGTAATCGTGCGGCGAGCTTTGGCCATTCTGTTCTCTCCAGTGGACAGTGTCCTGCCATCCTGACCGAGTGAGTCTTGGTTCATTGGTTTTGTTTGGCTGCTGTTCAATACTGAAGTTTTTATTGACATATCGCTACTGGGGCTAACTACCCACATTTGATTCTCTACAGAGTATTTAGGTCGATTGTGGCGTTTTGACATTTCCCCCTCACGGTGCTCACTAATCGAGTGCGTGGTGAGTGGGGCTTTGTTTACATTTTAAGCACCATTAATGCGATTTACTATCTTAACATTTGGAGGTGGGTCTTTGAGCACAAATCCTCCCTGTCGGTTTCCCTCCCATAATGCCTCTCGCGGGGACGTAAAACTGGGACATCACGACAGGTGAGTGTCATGGCGTCTGTTACATTATTTCAATTAGCGATAGCTATTTGTGTGTGCTTGGACAGAATTCCCTCCTCCCTGGCCTCTGGTCTTTGGCAGTCTGTGTTTATGCATAATATGTACCCCAAGGACGATCTCTATGAAGAAGAATTAACCAAACCTGAAGAGCTTTTCAATTCTTGAGAAGTAGAATCGCCTTTGGATAGGGCCTCCCGCCTCCCATAATTCTGTTCACTGATGTATTCAGCAGAAGGAATGATGATACGGGCCTAGGTGCTTACCCAGTTGGTGCGCAGTTGGTACTCCCGTCACTTTGACCACTTTTCAAACTCTTGTTAACGTTGTGTTTGTAGGTGGAAGGCAGTAACCATGATGGGGCCAACTTTGAGGTTGTCCATGTTGAGAGCCAGACAGAAATGGACAGGAAGAGCACTGGCATGAGCCTCAGTCTGAGCAGCAGCAAACACATCCCTGAGCCAGTCCAGACACCACAAGAAGAGGAGGAGTCGGGTAGGTAGAATCAGGGAATCTTAACTCTAAACAATCCTGGATGTGGCCTACACACTACAAGAGTTGGTTGGGTCAACCTCTCTAATGAGAGAAATGAGACAATCTTAACCCTGAACATTGCCTGGGTGCCGTTTTAGAAAGCGATCTAAGCACTAAGGTGACCGTAACTCCCATACCTCAACATAGACTTAAGGTAGTCTTAGCGCTAAGGTTGTTTTGTACAACGGCACCCAGGTCTGGAAATGAGACAGGTATACCTCATTTTATGGCAGTGGAACAATGGATATATGACTCTTTATGACTCTAAACCAGGCATAGATCTGGTCCATACAAGACAACAGGAGGTGGACAGTCTTAATGAGGCTGTAATGGTGGATAGATAACCTTGAAACATCCCAAGCCTGTCCAGTTGTCACAGGGGAAGGTGGGTTGGCTCTCCCAGTTGATTATATACCTTTGCTCTCCCCAGATGGCGACGAGCCGCTGCTCAGTGGGTCTGGAGTGGTGAGCAAGGAGGTGACTGACGAGAACCTGCTGGACGCCTGGCACGACGTCCTCACCAAGTGGCACGCCAACCTCACGCAGCGCCCCAAACAGGTGACCCCCCTGGCACGGAAGGGTGTACCCGAGGCTCTCCGTGGGGAAGTGTGGCAACTCATCACTGGTTGCCATGACAGCAGTGAACTACTGGAAGCTTACCGGATCCTCATCACCAAGGTACATTTGGTTTGGTGTCTGTCGTGTCAGTAACAGAAAGTTTGCTTGAAGAGTTGTAAAAGGGTAATTGTGATTTAGTCAAAACATTTGATCACTGTTGATGTTATTCAGACATTTTTGATGGATTGGTATGAAATATTAATAGGTCAAACGTTTTGTGAAGTAGTTCCTACTCTAAATATGATGTCATTGCTCATTTATTATACCCCTGTTTTATGGAGCTTAATCTTATGCTGAATGACAAATTAACCAAGAAAATGGAGAATGCATGTGTGTGATCTTTGTGTTTGTGCTATTATTCATCATTCATTATCGTCACAGGAGTCTGCATGTGAGCCGGTGATCCAACGAGACATCAACCGAACATTCCCTGCTCATGACTTCTTCAAGGAGTCTGGAGGTCTTGGGCAGGATTCTCTCTTCAAGATCAGCAAGGTGAGTCGTAGGGTCCTTAGGATGTGTATGTGGTGATAGAGTGATAGGACAACTCTGGTCTGAATTGTGGAAAGTATACTACCCATCAAAAGTTTAGACTCACTAGTGTAAATGTAGCTACTGACGTCAATCAACTGTTCTAAACTAGATTTTGCAAAATATTCCATACTGTTTAAAGGTACTGTTCACACAGGAACTGACGTATTGTTAAACAAATTCGTAACGTTGAAAAGTTCACTGTTATGAGTTCAATAAATGATGAAACTCAATGAAAATTGGTGAATTCTTACCAAACCTTTACACCAAAACGCAGCTGTTCACATGCATGATATTTGCGCATGCTTTACAGCAATTTGATGCATTCTTCTGCGATTTATCTGCATAAGGTTTGCAGTTGGTTCCCCCAAGTTAGTGGAGAAATTCATCTTCGATGTAACCATATATATACATAACATATAGTGAGTGTTTAAAGTGAGTCTAAACTTTTGATGGGTAGTATAGATACACACATGTAATCACCTTGTAGTGCTCACATACAGATGCAGCCATCCTTTGGGAAACTGTTCCATCCACAACTTCTTGACCCATCATGGCTGTCATGTTTATAAATGTCATCGGTAACTCTAAGTTCCACTTCCTTGCTCCCACCACGACAGGCGAAAGTTTGCTGGAACGACTGTCAATTGTTGCCATTGACTGCAAATAAAATTACCACAGCTTCAACTGACACAAACATTTAACTCCAAATCACCCACCGATTGATCACATATTTTGTGTAAACTAATGTAGACTTGGTTGTGTTTCAGGCATATGCGATCTATGATGAGGAGATTGGCTACGTCCAGGGTCTCTCATTCCTTGCTGCTGCACTGTTGCTACATGTAAGTATGTCCATAGTGAACCTTGTGACAGGGGACCCTTGTTGAAACCAGGTGTCTGATGTAGCCTGAAGTGCCTGATGGTGTTGCCAGGTGCCTGATGTTGTAGCAGGTGCCCCATGTTGTAGCCTTGTGCCTGATGTTGTAGCAGGTGCCCCATGTTGTAGCCTTGTGCCTGATGTTGTAGCAGGTGCCCCATGTTGTAGCCTTGTGCCTGATGTTGTAGCAGGTGCCCCATGTTGTAGCCTTGTGCCCAGGTGCCCCATTGCCTTATGTTGTAGCAGGTGCCCCAGCCTTGTGCCTGATGTTGTAGCAGGTGCCCCATGTTGTAACCTTGTGCCTGATGTTGTAGCAGGTGCCCCATGTTGTAGCCTTGTGCCTTATGTTGTAGCAGGTGCCCCATGTTGTAGCCTTGTGCCTTATGTTGTAGCTGAATGCCCCATGTTTCTAAGAGCATTTAGGGTAGCACGTAGTGTAGATATATCATTTAGGGTAGCACATAGTGTAGATATATCATTTAGGGTAGCACTTAGTGTAGATATATCATTTAGGGTAGCACATAGTGTAGATATATCATTTAGGGTAGCACATAGTGTAGATATATCATTTAGGGTAGCACATAGTGTAGATATATCATTTAGGGTAGCACATAGTGTAGATATATCATTTAGGGTAGCACATAGTGTAGATATATCATTTAGGGTAGCACATAGTGTAGATATATCATTTAGGGTAGCACATAGTGTAGATGTATCATTTAGGGTAGCACATAGTGTAGATATATCATTTAGGGTAGCACATAGTGTAGATATATCATTTAGGGTAGCACATAGTGTAGATATATCATTTAGGGTAGCATATAGTGTAGATATATCATTTAGGGTAGCACATAGTGTAGATGTATCATTTAGGGTAGCACATAGTGTAGATATATCATTTAGGGTAGCACATAATTTAGATATATCATTTAGGGTAGCACATAGTGTAGATATATCATTTAGGGTAGCACATAGTGTAGATATATCATTTATAGTAGCACATAATTTAGATGTATTACAACACTTACTTCATGATCTTCCCTATGGGATTCAGGGTGAGAACAGGTAGAAAAACCTTTTCCCATCCAGTGATATTTGCCATTATTGACAAGTAGTTTGCCTCTGACTGTAATGTCTGACCTCCAGATGCCCGAGGAACAAGCCTTCTGTGTCCTAGTGAAGATCATGTTTGACTACGGCCTGCGGGACCTGTTCAAGCAGGGTTTTGAGGAGCTACATCTCAAGTTCTACCAGCTGGAGAGACTCATGCAGGTAGGGTGGTGTTGGCATGCCTCTGATCTGGATAAGGAGGGGCAGGCAATGATGTTGCCATACTGTAGGTGGTGATGGTTAACATGTGGAGATAATGTCATCCTGGCAGTTAGGACAGGGTTGGGATGCTATAGTGTTGTTACTTTGTATAAAGGAAAGTCTAGTTGTTGGTTTGGATAGTATCAGTCATTGGGCTGTCTTGATGATTTACAGATCACTGGTATATAGCTGGAATATTGCTGGTTGTCGTGTTAATCACAACAAGCAAATCTATTGTTAGGAACTAAATATTTTGCTGAGGATGATGTAAAATGCACAAACATGAACATACACATGCACTTATTGTTGTTTATATATTGTAGAAGAAACTTATTGTTGTGTGGTTTACAGGACCAGTTGATTGACTTATATGGACATTTTGCTGACATGGGTTTGGAGATTCACATGTTTGCTTCACAATGGTTCCTGACGCTCTTCACGGCCAAGTTCCCCTTGCATGTGGTGTTCCATATCCTGGACCTATACCTCAGTGAGGTGAGTAGAGGTCATGTGACGTTCTTGAGGTGAGTTGAGGTCATGTGACATTCTTGTACCTGAGTAAGGTGAGGTGAGGTCACTTGACATTCTTGCACCTCAGTGAGATGGATTGAGGTCACGTGCTGTTCACATCCTGGACCTGCACCTCAGTGGTGTTCCCATATATCAGTGAGATGAGTTGAGGTCACATGCTGTTCACATCCTGAACCTGCACCTCAGTGGTGTTCCCATACCTCAGTGAGATGAGCTGAGGTCACATGCTGTTCACATCCTGAACCTGCACCTCAGTGGTGTTCCCATACCTCAGTGAGATGAGTTGAGGTCACATGCTGTTCACATCCTGAACCTGCACCTCAGTGGTGTTCCCATACCTCAGTGAGATGAGTTGAGGTCACATGCTGTTCACATCCTGAACCTGCACCTCAGTGGTGTTCCCATACCTCAGTGAGATGAGTTGAGGTCACATGCTGTTCACATCCTGGACCTGCACCTCAGTGATGTTCCCATACCTCAGTGAGATGAAATAACATTGTGTTCATGTAAATCAGTGAGGTAAGTTCTATTGACCTTGTTCTATTAACCTTGTAGTTGCTATTTGCTAGTACCTAGATGTTACATTTGGTCAAACTGTCAGCACTTAACTGATGGCATGTTCAACTATCAACAGTGCATTAATAGTGACCTAATATTCAGTAACATTAGGACTTTGACAGCTCTTATCTTTGGTTTTTCACCAACATCTGTCCTGTTCCCATGGTTACGTGACGGTTATATTTGTTTATTTCAGGGCAAGGATGTTATCTTCAGTGTGGCCCTGGCATTGTTGAAGGTGAGTCACCTATCTAAATACTCCAACACCGTTGGTGTAGTGGTGGAAGTAGTCTCCTGTCATGCCTCACCCCTTGGTCAATCCCCATGTGGATTCATGTGATACTCATTGTCAAGTCAAAGATGTTTATTGTACAAAACGCCTCCGGCCCATATACATTGGAGTTATACATAAACATTATACATATGGTGCAATAAGTAGTAGTTAGTGATCCAAACAGCAAATCATGATACATGCAGTAAATTATGTACAAGTAGTGAAATACGATGGACCTACAAAACTTTTTATCAGATTGTTACGTTTAATAAGAGCATAATTGATATAGTACGACAGACAGCTTTATTATTACATGCTGGTCAGTTGATGAAAGAAGTAGTTTAAATCCTAATGTAGGTGGCTTACATAGATAATATTCAGCTATATATTTCGTACGCAAATCTTTATACAAAGGACATACAAGAAAAAAATGGATTTCAGTTTCCACATCTATATGACACAGTGGGCACATTCTCTTGCGTCGTTAAATATAAAAACGTCTTCCTTCGTTTACCATTATGTTGATCAAACCTAACCTAAAACGTATAAATGGATATCTTAATTTCTTTGATGTTAAAAACGACAGATATCTCCAGCAGTCTATACTGGTTGACAGGGTCAGGTGGCCAGGTGCTATGACTGGGATTGCTTCTAAAATCATTGATTTGTCTGGTCCAGTCTTGAATATTTACAAATCAAGGCCATAGAGGACCATTGCAACCTGAAACAATTATCCCTGATTTGATGATTTCTGCAGTATTACTTTTATATTGTCAAAAGTACTGTCAAGCTTGATTTGATAATTAATATGCCTCTAGTCGTCCAGCAGTAAAAATGTGTCTGTGTGTCAGTCTGTCTGTCTGTCTGTCTGTGTCTGTGTGTTTGACTGTTACCACCTCGTGCTTATGGCAGCTAGGATTGTATATACCCGAAGTAGCTTCAAATGAAAATCACTTGATTGTCTGGTCCAGACTTGAATATTTACAGGCTGCCGCCATAATTTTTGTGTGTGCTTGCACACGAGCAATGGAGATGCAACACGTTTCATGTGGACTCATTATTGATATTACAGGTTAGAATAGATCCCCTGCAGATAATGGTGCTTGGAAAGGGTCACTAAACTGATTCGGTCGTCAGACTTGATTACTCAAGCGGTTGCATGTGGTTGTCCTCTAATGGCATGGATTGTTAATGATATCAATCACCTGATTGTCTGGTCCAGACTTGATTACTCAAGAGGTTGCATGTGGTTGTCCTCTAATGGCATGAATTGTTAATGATATCAATCACCCGATTGTCTGGTCCAGACTTGAATATTTACAGGCTGCTGCCAAATAGGCTGGATTATTGCTAAATGCATTCTTCAACAGCAACTAAATTGGCTTGAGCCAGTCAATTCCTGATCAGTTGTGCGTGTAGTGCGTGTACCATAATTTTACATGAAGCCAGTGAGTGTAATCTGTCTGGCAGACTTGATCCCGGATTCCTAGCCAGGGTCATATTGATCGATGAACTTATCTTGGCATTTATCTGGGTTTATGACTTAGTAGTCTGAGACTACATTGGAGAGAGCAGGATGTGATCACAGCATCCCTTAGAAGAACATTACATCTTCAAGTAGCTGTCTTGTGGGGTAGCCTTGTGGTTCAAGCACCCACCGCTGGGTTTGATTCCCAACATTGGTGAAGCACTTTCCTTCATTTGGAACCACATGAGTCACCTTGGGACTGGCAGGTTGCAGAAATTGGATGATATTGATGATGATATTTCTGTTGTGGGCCACAGGTGTGTAATACACGTGAGTTGTGTCCCTTAGGTTTGTCAGGAACCTATGATCATCAGTATGAATCTCAGATTTGATGTTTCTAGGTTTGACAGCACCATATTATAGTGGACACCTGCAGGATACTAATATACCTCTGTGGGATTCTGGTTTGGAATTGGAATCTGGATTGGTTCCCAACAAGCTATGCTGGTTGAAAGTGACCAAATGGATTTTGTGGTCAGGTTTGGCATTCCCCAGTGACCTGGATCATTATTGAAAGCTTTTAATCACTGGCTTGTCTGATTGCATACAGGCTGTGTGACATAGCTGGAATATTTGTGAGTGGTGCAGATGCACTCAATCTGCTTGCACATTCCTTATTATATTCTTCCCATTGGGATTTGAGGGATCCTCATCAATTCATACTTTTCGTGAGATTAGACTGAGATGAAGTGTGTGACCTGGCCAGTTGGGACGTATTCTGCCAACTAATGGACCATCTTGTCACAGCTGGGGTAGTGTGTGTAGAAGAACGTTCAGGGTCCTGACCCACAAAGCGTTCGTAACGTTACGACCCATCGTAACCCAATAGTTTACCATAAGTTTACGAATGCCATAGCGCTACGAATGCCCTGTGGATCGCGACCCTGTACATATTCCACTATCTTTTCTCCACATTGAACGTTGTCCCAGCTGACATGTTGTCTGTATTACAGGGTTCTAGGAAGGACCTTCTAGCACTGGACTTTGAGGGAGTCCTGAAATACTTCCGCGTCCAGCTGCCCAAGAAGTACCGCACTGACGACGCTGCTAAGGATCTGATGAGGACAGCAGTCAGCTCCAAGGTAAGTCTTCCAGTACATCTCATTGACAGCCATCAGTAGTTTGTGTGGTGTCCGTTAACTCAATATAAATAATGTACATAATTAAACAGGGAAGCTATAAAGTCAGTCTTTATAACTGAAGTGAGATCACTACTGCATTAACAAATTACAGAGATACCATCTGTTATAATTTTGGAATAACTGGTGCAATATAACAGCCTAAAATTATTCAGTTATGCTTGTACCCAAGTTACACTTTTACATCACAGTTTTGTTAATGATTCATATACGTATACTATAATGATAGCAGTTGTTCATGCTTTAGTTACGTAGCATTATGCAGTGACTATACAGTCCACTTAAAACCATTCTTTCTTTTTTGTTAGGGTTACATTGTCCATTACTTTGTGATATGAGGTCTGTGGTTGGTTGCTATGTTTTAAACATAGTTGATCTTTGTGGATGGAAGCAGGCAGCTAATTGAATGACTGTACACAATATTTTACCTCGGCACTTAAAACAACAAAACGTTATGTCTCTGAAAATGGCTGTTTACTGTCAAATGATAGATTGTATGAATGTATGGAGCTTTGACCACATGTTACATCTTCTGTAATCTCTCTCCACTGCCTCCAGGATTATTTGGTATGCTACATGATGATACATTGGGTTTCTAAGTGTTCATATCAGCTACTGACCCTACATCTATATATTCCTGGTGTTGACTGCCATTAAGAATTAATAGATAAACATACATGTATGTGTTACATAACACTGGATCAGTTCTATTTCTAAATTGGCTTAGTGGTTAAAGCATTTGCTTATCATGTTGAAGGCGCAGGCTTCATTCCCATGTGGGAAAAGCTCAGCTTTAAACCTCTGTCACCTTTTATACTGTTATGTGATATGATCATTTATGAAGGAAATCAATTGACAGTATTTCTGTCAGTTAAAAAAGTTATTATGTAGCAATGTAGAACATTGACCTGGATTGCATACAGTACTTTGATTACATCGATTGCATGGGTGACGGAGTGGTTCAATGTATATATGCATGTCACAACTGGAAGACAGCTTGTCTCACTGAGATATATTACGTTTCTCCCTCCCTGGGTGTGATATGGTAGTTATCACATCTCACTGAGATATGCTGTGTTTGACCCTGCCTGCGTGGGATACAGGAGTTATCACAATGTCTCCTTGGAATATATTCTGCTTCTCCCTACCTGGGGTAAAAGGGATGTTATCAGTTGATGTCTTTCTGGGATATATTGCGCTTAACCCACTTGTTTGTGATGTGGGAGTTACCACATAATGTCTCACTGGGATATATTGCGCTTAACCTACCTGCATGTGATACGGGAATTACCACATAATGTCTCACTGGGATATATTGCGCTTAACCTACCTGTGTGTGATATGGGAATTACCACATAATGTCTCACTGGGATATATTGCGCTTAACCTACCTGTATGTGATATGGGGGTTATCACATAATGTCTCACTGGGATATGGTGTGCTTCCCCTTGCGTGGGTTTCTTTGAGCATCTAGCTGGGTGAAATAGGGATATAGGGAGTTATACAGAGTTATGACATAATGTCTCACTGGGTTATTGGTCTTGTCATGATTATGCTCATTGCTGTTAGTTGTAGTAAGGAGTCCATGATCAGATTTCTGTTGATGTTATTGCTTCACAAATAAAATATGGTAAGAAGTCATTTCTGCCGGAACGGTATGTATTGTGTAATTGTTTTATGTTATCTTATATGTACAGGTAGCTTTTGATCTTGCTTGTTACACAACTAGTTACAATATTAAAATAATAGCAAACATCAAATGACATGATATTTCATCATTAATTGTTCTCTATTTATGTTGGTATATTACAGTAATTGTTTCAGATAGTTCAGTATTGCAGTGTTTTAGAAGAGAAAATGTTCATTGTTGCAGGTAACCGCTCGCAAGTTGAAGAAATACGAGCGAGAATACGTCCAGATGAAGGAACACCAGCTGCAGCAGGAGAATCCCATCGAGAGGTTTGAGGTGAGTGCAGCAGCAACTTGACCTCAGTGACCACTGAGTGAGTGAGTGAGTGAGTGAGTATGGTTTTACAATGCTTTTAGCAATATTCCCGCTATATCACAGTGGGGGACACCAGAAATGGGCTTCACATAATGTGCCTATGTGGGGAATCGAACCCAGGTCTTCAGCATGACGAGCGGAACGCTCTAACCTCTAGACTGCCCCATTGACCACAGAACACAACCAGTTTACACAGTTCATTGTTTCCTGTCTCAAGAAATACTGAAAGATAATTGGAATCAGTCTCACTCAGATTCAGATCTTTTGCTTTGAGACCTTTCTGCATGAAGACCTGAGGCCACCTCCATGTTTTTATTGGTGATGTTTAGCAACCTCATCCAGAAATTGTCTTAACATTTTTTATGTTAAGCAAGTAATAATGTTTGAAATAGTCAGATATTTAAATATTAATTTGATTTGATAATTATCCATTTCTAATGTGTCATGCCACCATATAGCTTTAATATTGCTGAGTGTGGTGTTGAACAACAGGGGCAGTGGGGTAGCCTAGTGGTTAAAGCGTTAGCTCGTCACGCCGAAGGCCAGTGTTCGATTCCCCACATGGGTACAATTTGTGAAGCCCATTTCTGGTGTCCCCCGCCGTGATATTGCTGGAATATTGCTAAAAGCGGCGTAAAACCATACTCAGTAAGTCAGTTTAACAACAACAGCAGCATTCAGTGAGTTATCACTGCGACTTCTCTAACCCAAACCGGTACTACTTTCAGCGCGAGAACAAGCGGCTCCTGGAGGACAATCTCCGTCTGGAACAGGAAAATGATGACCTCGCCCATGAACTGGTAGAGAGCAAACTGGCCCTCCGCAGTGAGCTGGATGCTGTGAGTAGATGTGTATTTGTATACGTGTTGCGATAGACTTCAAATCATTTGCTGGTAGACGTAAGAAGGAATGTAATGTGTTGTGGAAATTGTCAGGAAAGTTATTGGTGTCATTATCTATATTAACTCATATGAAAATTACAATGATGGATTTCCAAGAGGCTTCTATGGAAGTTTGAGGGTAGAAGGGGTCCCAGTGTGGTGATTATTGTACTGGAAAGAGGATCTGTTGTCACACAATAATGATGTGTGTAAAGCAACAAACAGGAACCAGTTAGATTAGTTTAAATTTTCCAACAGAGAGTCAAGTGGTGTTGTGTTTCATGTTGCTATGGTTACCTGTTGCCATGGTCACTTTTCAGCTGGAGGACTCCCACGAGGCTCTGATGAAGGATCACATGAGCACCCAGAAGATGTTGACAGAGACGGAGGAGGAGAAACGGCGACTGGAAACAGAGTCCTCACAGGTAGGAGAATGTCTTCTTTAAAGGTTGTTATAGATACCAGTTGCTGTGGTTACATACCTTGTACTGATTCTAAGATGTTATAAATGGGCAGAAGTCCTGACAAGATATTATGGCTTCCTTGATGGGCTTTTTAGAAGTTGGGATGATGAAGAATGATGATAGTTTTCATGGATATTATAATAATTATAATAGGATATTTATATAGTGCACATATCCAGGCAACTAGTGCATGCTCAAGGTGCTGGTATTTTTTCCCTCGATTATTGGATGTCAATGTCAATGGCACATCGTATTATGAATCTCAACTCCCTGGGGAGTATACAACTCTTGCTGCCACAAGGCGCACCGAGTTCTTGCGGCTTACCCATCCTTACGAGGTACCCATACACAGCTGAGTGGACTGGGACACATAGTCACAGTACTTTGTCCAAGTTCACTGCACGTTGCTGTACCCGCAACTAGGTGTTTGCACACATATTCATGTGGCCACCATCTGGTCATATACCAACGGATTTGTGGGTTCTTCTAAGTGCACAGGGTTTGTGTACTGTACACTAGGGGTTGTGACAACACTGAAAGAGTCTGCACACAAAGTTTACTCCAAGGTTTTTACATCCGGTCACAGGTGGGCTCGATCCCGACACCTCAACCTTGCTGGATCACTAGCCTGGCGCCTTAGCCAGCTCGCCCACCGCTCCCTTCTTTATTGTGAACTTCTTTATTGTGAACAGCGACATTTCGACTTAGATTCTGATGTCGTTGTCAAGCAAGTGATGACAACAACATTGGAATCTATGTCGAAACGTCGCCTACACAGAATAAAAGAAGTTGTATATCCATAAAAAAGTATCATCATTCTTCAAGATATTATGGGACAATAGACATATTAGTAAGTTATTGTTCAACAATTAATGTGTTTACAATTTTCCATGCAGAGTTCAAAAGTGTAGATCGATGATCATGTTGTTGATCACTGGATTGTCTGGTCCGGACTTGATTATTTACAGACCACTGCCATATAGCTGGAATATTGCTGAATGTGGCGTAAATCTAAACTCACTCACTCACTCACTCATTTTCATGCAGAGTTGCTTCCCTTTGTCATGCCAGAATCCTATAAGTGGGGTTTTCAGTCCTATATTTGCTCTAATCATTAGTCTTAGTTTGTCAGCAAAATGCCCTTGTGTGGTGAATGTGTAAAACCTGAGTCACTTACGTCACATTTAGATTTAACCGAAATATTGTTATTTTTCCTTATCCTGTCTCATGAGTCAGGATAAGTATAAAAATATCAAATTTACTTAAAAATTACATTTTTACTTTAAAAATTACATATTCGATTTAAAACCAACTTAGTGCATTGCTTGCTCAACAAAATGTACTTAAATCAAGTTAATTAGAAGGTGAGAAGTGATGTCTATAGCAACAATATATAAGTACTAATCTGTAAATAAAGTTGAAGGAGTTAAATGACAGATGTTCACTGTACTTAAGATGAAGGTAGGATGTTTCATGCTTACTTCTGATTCAGCTAAAGGAGATGTGTCGGCGGGAACTGGACAGGGCGGAGTCTGAGAGCCAGCGGAACTCTGCCATCATTGCTGACTACAAACAGATCTGCTCCCAGCTGAGTGAGAGACTCGAGAAGCAGCAGCCCAGCTGGGACGTATTAAGGTAAGGAGAGGTCAAGGAACCTGTATCTCTAGGGGTACCCTAAGAAAACTGACCTCACGTTGTGTGAGCTGGGACGTATTAAGGTAAGGAGAGGTCAAGGAACCTGTATCTCTAGGGGTACCCTAAGAAAACTGACCTCACATTTTGTCTTAGCTAAAGTATCATCCAGTGCATTGAAACAAACTCATCCACTCCTGAAAATGTTATGAAATCAAGTTATTCTTAGTCAGGAGGGAAGTGGTGTTCCACTGTAAGTCGAATCTGAGGAAGCAGGAAAGGTCCTTGTTTCCTTTTACTTATTGGATATCATTGGGAGCTCAAACTCCAGCTTGCCCTTACTCTGGGTTTAGGTTGCCAGCACCATACTCGTGTTTGTGGCTTGAACCAAAGTAGTGACCTGTGAAGGTCCGGGTTAGAATTGGTCTTCAGTAAGCCATAAGAGGCAACTGACTGGATCAGATGGTCAGGCTTGCTGACTTGGTTGGCACATGTCATCGTATCCCAATTGCGTTGATCAATGTTCATGCTGTTTATTACTGAATCGTCTAGTTCAGACTCAATTATTTACAGACTGCCGTCATATAGCTAGAATATTGCTGAGTGCGGCATTAAACAACAATCAATCAATCAATCAATCAATCATGAACCAAAGCAGTAAACTACTCAGGCCTGCATCACTTAAGGCTTTCCTCCTACATAAAAACCACACATTGTCATATAGCTGGAACACTGTTTTCCTAACAAACTCTAATTTTAATTTTTGAAGACCTGATAAAAATGGGAGTGATAATTTCGACTCGGTTACTGGTTGCCATGTTATAGCTGAAAGATTTGTAACAGCATGTATAAAAAAACATTCACTAACTCGCTTAAGATGTGAAACAATTTTTTAAGATATCGCGTTTCACTCTGTTGATGGCCTTTGACCTTCATATGTCCTTTAACAACTAAGTTGAAAATTCACTTGTATCATTGTCCTCTCTAATAGGGTCAAGTGAAGTCATGTGATAAATGCTCCAAGATGTTCACTGAGGATGGCAAGGTCAAACTGCCAGAGGTCAAGGCCAATCCTGAAGACAGCAACCCGTGTGTGTTGGATTTGAGGAAGCAGGTCCGGGAACTGGAGCTAGAGCTGGCCCAGACGAAGCTGGCTCTGGTAGAGTCTGAGTGCAAGACGCAGGACCTCACCCACCAGCTCAACTCGGCCATCAGCGAAATACAAGCATCCAAAAACACATGGTTCCACAAAACCATCAGCTCCATTAAGGAGGTGACAACAGTCAATAAGAAGGATCCCAAGGAATGAGCCTGTGTCGTTGTGATGCCATTGTCAGGGATGACAAAGTGGAGGTTATGTAGGACCCCTAGCAGATGATGCTTGTGACTCTTTGACAGAGAATATTACTGTGTTGATCACTGACTGAATATGTGTCATGTTGGATGTGGATGTAGTGTGCTAAATCTGTGGATGGCAGCGCTGACAGAACCAGCATGTAGTCAACCTCTTGGAGAATGACTTTGGGTGTCATTTGTACAGTTGTGTCTTTACAGAGCTGTCTTTGATACAGAGTGTCCTAAGTACAAGGATGGTCTTGGTATGGGTTGTCTCTAGCACAGGGTGTCCTTTACAGGGATTTCCACCTTTCGATGTTGTCCTGGGCTCTGACGTGTCCACAGTACATGGGTGACCTGAATAGAAAGGTTCTCTGTACAGTGGTATAGGGGTGTCCTCAGTAGAGGAGTGTCTGTTGTACAGGGTGTCCTTTACAGGGAATTCCACCTTTCGATGTTGTCCTGGGCTCTGACGTGTCCACAGTACATGGGTGACCTAAATAGAAAGGTTCTCTGTACAGTGGTATAGGGGTGTCCTCAGTAGAGGAGTGTCTGTTGTACAGGGTGTCCTTGGTTGAGGAGTATTCTTGCATGATTCTGGTGTAGAATTATTGATCTTGGCTGGGAGTGCAATGTGGATGGTCTAACTTACACTTAGACAGTGTAGGTATGTGTGCAGATCTTGTAAACTACATCACCATTTGACATGTGTAGGTGTACCAGCATAACATCAGTGTATGATGTATCAACAATGCATGGATGTACCAGCATGTATGATATATTTACTGCTATGGCATGTATAGGTGTAACAGCAAAACGCCAGTGTACAATATATATCCAATATGTGGGTGTACACGATATATCGACAACACATAGGTGGACCAGTGATAAAATGTATCCAACACGTAGCTGTACCTGCAAACATGAGTTAAGAATATATACAACATGGAAGATACCAGCGGATCAGTGCATGGTGCATCTACAACATGTAGGTGTACCAGCTAATACAAATGTACAATATATCCGAGACACTCGAGGGTGCGCCAGCAAAACAACAGTGTCCAGTGTAACATTTGCAGGTGCAGCTGCACAGAATTGGTGTGCAATATGTCTCCTGCACAGAGAGTTGGAAATATATCAAAGATCACATAGAGCTATCAGAATGTACCAGCATGGGAAAGATACATTGACCAAACCAAGTACTGATGTACTGGTAGACTGAAGAAGATGTTGCTGGCAGGATATCCAGGTCAATTTAACCTTAAGAGGAGGTTAATGTCTGAAGCAATGGCTAAAAGTTCAAGGACAGAAGTTTGAGGTCAAAAGTTCAAGGTCAGACGTTTGAGGTCAAAAGTTCAAGGTCAGAAGATAGACATTTGAATTACCAACTTCCTGTGACATATAATCAGCACTTGTGTGTAACCAGTAGATCACATTGTGATGCTGTGTCTAGTCCTTATATATATAACTTATTGTACTCACCCTCCCTGTTCAGTGAGGGGACGGATTCCACCATCAGAGCCATGGTGGCGATATACGAATATTTAAAACTCGTTTCAAAATATGCATTACCGTCATGTTTGTAATGGTTACATAGTGATCGAATTTCATAAGTTCATTGTGCATTTTCACATGATAGGCTGCAGTGGAATGAAGATATTTTATTTATCGGTTGATATTTGTTATGTTAGTGTTTCTAACTCATTCCAGTGTTGGATCCAGGTATTGCCGGTGTTATTTATGTCATATAACCCAGTAGGCGGAAACAGTTGTTCCAGGAATAAGTTCATGCGTCTGTAGAATCGGTATTGCATCCATAAATTAAAGATTTCAGAAATGAGTTCACAGTTACAAACTGTCAGTACAGGAATCAGTTTATTGCATTTCTCTGTGTTGTTTTTATGATTGGTATGACAACCATTGTGCAATATGAGTTAATACCTCACAAATACAGGATCCACCCTCTCAAGGAACACAAGCCTGACAGGCTGCAAGACCTTGTACAAGTAGAAATCCATACGCCAGCATCTTTGTGTTTTTTTAGCGTAGTTTTGTTTTTGTGGAACTTGTTTCTGTTGAAATATTAGCAATTACCACAGGGTACCATGTATTTTTTCTTTCTTTTCAAACAATATGTCAGAAAACCAGACTCAACAAAACAAATCAAGGGTCGATTGCAGCTTACCAATGATCATGCATATAGTTGCCATGGTTACTATCCATTCCTTTCTTCATCCATGTTGTGTAATTGGTGACATCAGAGGCTGACAGCTCCTCCAGACATAATGTAGCTTGCTCGTCTGAATTGGAATAGTTTGAATAATGCCATACATTCTCATTTGTGTCCTATCATATTTTGCAATGTTTGTGATGTTGATATGCAATGGAAAGTTTTTGATCCATCCTCACCAATCAAGAGCATAATAATAAATCATCTGTGAGCATAATTTATGTTGAGGTCGTGTGTGTGGTAACTGCTCCGATACCCACCTCTTCACCCTGGCATCGTATATCAAAAGATATAATCATATGGTTTCTAGGTATAACTTTATAATGATCTTTTAGTAAAGCTTCACTAATTTATCCTTCACTGTAAATATGATATAATTCAACTGAATGACAATATTGGACTTGACATTGTCTGTGGCCACTTAATACCCACAACCTAACCTCTACCCCACCTGAAGCTTAGGGCTGTGGGGTAGCCTAGTGGTTAAAGCATTTGCTTGTCATGCCGAAGACCCAGGATCAATTTCCCAAATGGGTACTATGCGTGAAGCCCATTTCTGGTGTCCCCAGCCGTGATATTGCTGGAATATTGCTTAAAGCGGTGTAAAACTATCCTCACAGACTCAGAGGAGAGTGTTTATTCACTGAGGACTTTCATCATTTACAGCTGTTTTTTGTATAGGTCGTGTTGGTCATAATCAAACTGCGCCCGCACACTATTTAGCATAAATGTGTTGCCATGGTAACTCTGGTTATTAACGCCCAGCTTGACTCTGTTAATGCATTGAATGTTGTTATTGTCAGATGTTTGTTTTGCAGGTTTTATTTGTATATGCATAAGCAATGCATTTTATTTTGTATATACAAAGCTTGAGACTGAAAAAGTCGTGTTATTTATTTTGAAATGCTGTATAGGCTAATAAAATGCTGTATATATATATATGCTAAGATTATTGTATTGACCATTCCTTGAAGGGTTCCACAATGCTGTGATCATGCTGATCATTTATTCTTGCCCACGAAAATACAAATTTCGATAGATGGGCATGGACGGCCCTGTTGTGTAATATGCTGTAGCTGTTCAGAGTTCTCTCCCTTTGGCAAGACAGGAACTTACGACCATAGATTTGAATCCTTGATTATGTTTCTAGGTTTGCCAGGGCTATTCCTGTGCTAATGAGTTTCACCGAAGACTTTCATTACTCTGGACTTGCCTCCCTCGTCTAGCTGACATGCCCTGATGTAACTGAAATCATATTCAAAGAGGTTTAGAGCCAACCCAGTCACTCACTCATAAGAATGGCCTAATATGCTGGTACCAGTACATCTGCTGATAATGTTTCGTATAGCAGGAACATTGCTGAGTGATGTTAGGCAGCAAACAAAATAATTAATTTACTTAAGTTTTAAAATCCAAAATTTGAACAATCGATAGCCAGGAAGAAGTTTATTTTGTTTCATAAATATGATTATGGGTTTGAGAAGGGTAGTACTATTTGAAGAGACAAAACATGCCTGTACATAGTATATATTGGAGAAAATACAAACTTGAAGGTTTTTTTTAGCGAGGAATCCTTCATGGACTGTTCTGCACGTGTAGTTCTTCCCTCGGAAGTTGGGATATATGTGTGTGGCTGTTCTGCACATGTGTAGTTCTTCCCTCAGAAGTTGGGATATATGTGTGTGGCTGTTCTGCACATGTGTAGTTATTCCCTCAGAAGTTGGGATATATGTGTGTGGCTGTTCTGCACATGTGTAGTTATTCCCTCAGAAGTTGGGATATATGTGTGTGGCTGTTCTGCACATGTGTAGTTCTTCCCTCAGAAGTTGAGATATATGGGTGTGGCTGTTCTGCACATGTGTAGTTCTTCCCTCAGAAGTTGGGATATATGTGTGTGGCTGTTCTGCACATGTGTAGTTATTCCCTCAGAAGTTGGGATATATGTGTGTGGCTGTTCTGCACATGTGTAGTTATTCCCTCAGAAGTTGGGATATATGTGTGTGGCTGTTCTGCACATGTGTAGTTCTTCCCTCAGAAGTTGAGATATATGGGTGTGGCTGTTCTGCACATGTGTAGTTCTTCCCTCAGAAGTTGGGATATATCTGTGTGGATGTTCTGCACATGTGTAGGTCTGCCCACAATATTGGGATATATGTGTGTGGCTGTTGCCATGATAAAGTTATGATGATGTGATGGTTGTCTGTGGCTGGTGTCTAGTTTATCAGCAGCTGTAACAAGAACGAACATCTCTTGTGTATCTATTTACTTTTGATGTTTCAGCACTCTTACTCACAGGATTTGTTTTATACAGTTCTCTTTCTCAAACTAGCATCAATGAAATATCTCTGTAGTGCAGGGTTTCAATTTGTTTTTGCAACAAAAAGTCAAAATTGACATTCTGACAAAACTTAACAGAAGCAGACCTCACAAGTATATAAAAGTCCAGAAATGTGATTATTTTTCAAGCTGCTTGTCGTATTCCACCCAGCTGATGCCTCTGATTGTCAGCTGGTCATTTGCGATGGCGGTGGCCAGATTTACCAGCCATTGTTCCAGTATCTTCTGGATAAAGTTTAGGATCTGCATGTGTCAATTTGTGAATGTTTCCACAGTTTCTATATTAAGAGCATTCCATCGACTCCTATTGCTGTTCTAAGGATAATTGACACTATCCTAGAAGCTGACATAATTTATGTTCATGGTATTGTTAACCCAATGAAAAATGATCTTCTGATTTATGACTACCTGTATACTTTACTACAGGTGTATGAAAATGGTTTTCTGTCAGTAATAGCATTATTACATTGGCTGGGTGAAATACGACTGATATTATATACTGTTTATAAATTATATATGCATGTATCGTTGGACAGCTGTCTCTTTGTTTTCTCAAACAGTGTAACAATGTTCCACTACTTTCTCCACTTAACACAGATCCGACACTTCCTCCATTATACACATGTCCAGACACATTCTATACACAGATGATCACTGTAATACCGCTTCAACAGTAGTGCTGTCCCGACAAATCTCCAAAACTACTTTCATCCCGACACTTTCCCCACAACATCTGCATCCAAACTAGAACACCTGGGGCTTCATGTACATTGCTGTAACTAGAAGCGTAACTCACATTGTGGGGACAGCCAGCAGCAGCACAGCATTGTTCCTCATACCTCCAGCAGTGCTGGTCTATATATCCCTGTCAGGCACTTATCAACCTGCCAAAAATGGTTATATATCCCAACAGGCAAAACATAACCCTTGGATAAATGGTTATATACCCCAACAAACTATGTTCAGCCTGGAACGTGGTTGTTAGTTTAGAATGACAGAAGAGAACAAGCACTTGTACAATACCTGTCAACTGTAAGCACGGCCTTGACCCTTGACTGAACTGATGTTGTAGCTAATCAGTATTTACATTCTGTTGTATGTTGTTTTCTGTGAAATCAGGGCTAATGACATCTGATATGAGAACTCTTTTAGAATGTTTATAAATATATGAATACTATCTGACTGTATATGCTTCTTGTCGTATTCAAGCTGAGTGCCATATATACTCTTGACAGAAACAGAATGTGTACATACATTATCTTCTCGTTTTCAGAAATGTGATAGCATAATGCAATATCAGATGTATGTTGTCCAGTGACTGTCCGCAAACACACATAGATTTGGACGGACAGGTCATTTTCCACAGATCAGTTAGTTTCATTATTGCTCCAGATATGCCTCGAATACTCTACAGTACAGGGGTGGAAATAACTTTAAAATTGCTAGTGTACTCCGGTACAGTGGCACATGTAAAATCACTTGCCCTGATCATTTTTCCACTATACCGGCCGTTTTTTTGTTGATATTTTAAATAAACAACATAACTAACATTGGAATATCAACTGGACACCAGTACAGTGTGATATACAAATTTGCTTGCCCGACAGAAAAAAACACTTGACTCGGGCACGGGGCAATGGGTTATTTCCACCCCTGCAGTAATAGATTGTGTGTATTGCAGGATTGCTCTTGATTTGTTTTTTGCTGAATCAGCGATTTATGCAATTTGCTTGAAATGCTTAAAAATTATTCTAAATCACGACCAGGTCATATTTTTGGACATTGATTGTTATATGTAGAGCTATCATCTATAACACAGCTACAATCATTGCTGTTAGAATTATGACAGATATTTGATATGGGTTTAGATCAAAGGAATTTGTTGTTTCTTGTGTGGTATAGAGAATGCACGTAAGGGTCACTAGTCATTATTACACACCTCTGAAAAATGTTTCCTTGTATTCACAACTAAACCATGACCTTTTGAAAAAATATGCTTGCTTAAATGAGAAACAGATGAATTTTTTTTGTAGTCTGATGCTGTCTCGCAGTATCCGCCAGCCCCTTGTGGTTGTGTACCCATAAGACATTGGGAGTGTCTAGTTAAGCATGAGAGCCACAGCACCAACCACTATAGGTCTGTACAGTAGATGTGTGTCTGTCATACGTGGTGTAAATAAAACAATCGACATATCATCTTGTCTGTCTTTCTTTACCTACCAGCTTTGTGCAATTTTTGGACCGTTTTCGTGATGTAATGGCTACAGGATCTGTTAGCAGACTACCTCCCTGGTATAGTCAATAAAGCATCTGCTAAGAGACCACCTCCTTGGATTTGACTGGAGACTGCCTCTCTGGTCTTCTTCATGAGGCATCTACCAAGAGACCGCCTCTGTGGTCCAGTTGATAGACCATCAGCCCGGACATTGCCTCTCTGGTCCAGTTGATAGACCATCAGCCCGGACACTGCCTCTGTGGTCTAGTTGATAGACCATCAGCCCGGACACTGCCTCTCTGGTCTTGTTCATGAGGCATCTGCCAAGACACCACCTCAGTGGTCCAGTTGATAGACCATCAGCCCGGACTCTGCCTCTCTGGTCTAGTTGATAGACCATCAGCCCGGACACTGCCTCTCTGGTCTTGTTCATGAGGCATCTGCCAAGACACCACCTCAAGGCACCAAGAGTAACCCTGCTCTGTACTGGCATGTATAATATAAAAGAAGTTGTTATCCCTAACATTTCTTATACCACACTGATCAGTTGTAGGACAAACCCAAGTAAATAGAAAACAAATTCAGTTCTCCATTGTCTCTGCCATTTAATGTTTGTATCAGAGCAAATAAATGTAAAGGTGACAAATTTGTAAATGGAGTCGGTCTTTAATACTGAATATCCATGCATCTGGCACACCACAGGATCTACACCTGATGGCTCCATCACCCCAAACACTATACACCAACAATACATGAGACTGGAATAACTGACCTTTTATACACTGCTGGAAAGAAGCTGAAGAACACCCAATACTAACATGCGACCACAGTCAGGTCATGACAGACTAGTGAGTGAGTGAGTTAAGTTTTACGCCGTATTAGCAATAGTCCAATGGTAGCCTAGTGGTTAAAGCATTGGCTCGTCACGCCGAAGACACGGGTTCAATTCCCCACATGGGTACAATGTGTGAAGCCCATTTTGATGTCCCCTGCCATGACATTGCTGGACTATTGCTAAAAGCGGCGTAAAACCATACTCACTCACTCACTATCGCCTTATGATTATATAATTGTCATAACACATATAGCTATAGTCAGACAAAACATCAGGCATTCTTAGCATCTTTTGAGTAGTATATTACTGTGTATACCCTAGGTGATATAAGAGTACACGGATATATGGGATGATAATTTCAAATAACACCACCAAGTCTGAAAACAAAGAATGATTTTAACCTGGATAACATTTTCTGATAAACCAGATAAAAGTGCTTGTTGTTCATAAAGCAAGCTGACAGTACCAGTCATGTCTCTTCTGGCTCTGCCAGATGGAAAACTTGGGCTGTAGTTCACAGAATAACAGTATGATATCAGATTTTTGTGGCAAAATATTCTGTTCATTACATTGTCTTATTCGGAGCTGACGTCAATATCGTTTTGCATTTAAAGATGTTTAAATGTAAGAAATAGCGTGTACCCTTCGTAAATCCAAATAGATTTATGCAAACTGTGCACACCAGTTTTGACCTTTTTATCTCCAAAAAAAAGAAGCAAAAAACATATTGGAAGTCAATTCTTATGAATAACTATGGCAACAATGCTTCAGAAACTACTTATTTTATCATTAACACATAAAACAGAGACAACAATATGAAAACAGTGACATTGTTCAGTAAATAACAACTCACAGGAACCTTATTTTACTATCAGCCAATCAGAAAGTCTGCTAGTGGGTGTGGTCTATTTGGTGGATTATGGAAACCAGCATGCAACAAAAAGCTTTTTTTGCTGATCAAATGCCATTGAATTACTTGCAATTTATTTATTATTTAAACTGTATTATTGAACTTATATAGCAATATAAAATTATAACAGTTTGAGAAAACAATTTTCACTGTACTAAGTAACAATGTAGCTGGCATTGTGAATATTCAATTTTTCAAAGTGACCCTACTAATATAACCTCAAGATCTATATAGTTCTGATATGTGTGTACCCTGTGTGTATACCACAGTATTACCTGAGTTACGCTGTGTATTCCATGGTATCAGACTGCAACATGGCCACAGTGTTCTCCATTGAAGGTCATTAACTTTGATCGGTTCCCAACTGAGCAGATCGATGTTCATGCTGTTGATCAGTGGATTGTCTGGTCCAGACTCGATTAATTACAGACCGCGCCGCCATATAGCTGGGATAATGCTGAGTGAGGCGTAAAACTAAACTCACTCACTCATTAACTTTGAACAAAAAATGCATTATTATTGTAATTATTGTTCATACTGTTAAAAACACTTGCATTCCCCAAAACTAAACTTTTCTCCTTCCAGTGAACAGATTTTACCAGATTTCTGTCCAATCAAAATGAAATGCTTTAGTTTTAGTTTTATTTGCTCACCATTCCATCCTTGATGGATTCGAGGGGCGTTGGGGTAACCTAATGGTTAAAGCGTCCGCTCGTCAACCCGGGTTCGAATCCCCACATGGGCACAATGTGTGAAGCCCATTTCTGGTGTCCCCTGCCGTGATGTTGCTGGAATATTGCTAAAAGCGGCGTAAAACCAAACTCAGTCAGTCAGTCAGTTGATGGATTCGAAAAATACAGTAATGTATTCAGGACGTTTTAACTAACAAATGCTTTGTATCCTGGACATGGCAAGTCTCTGATATATGAACAAAGCCTTTCAGAAGTGTTCAATCACATATTATTGTAAAAAGGTACCGGGTAAACCTTTGACCCTTAAAAGAGGACCTGTGAAGGTCCGGGTTAGAAGTGATCTTCAGTAACCCATGCTTTTTGTAAGAGGCAACTAATTGGATCAGGTGGTCAGGCTTGCTGACTTGGTTGACATATGACATTGTATCCCATTGTATCCCAATTGTGTATCCCGATGCTCATGATGTTGATCCCTGGATTGTATGGTTCAGACTCGATTATTTACAGACCGCCGCTAAGTAGCTGGAATATTGCTGAGAGTGGTGTAAAAATAAACTCACTCATTTTAAATTCAAGATGGTAGACAAATGAAACCAACTCATTTTAAGAGGTTGCATTTGTTTGGCCCAGAACCCACACATCCTTTAGAATTGGCAGTCACATTCCGCTCAGTGTCCCCTGCGATGGCCTTCTATAGAGGTGAGATCTTCAAGCAATGGAGGGGTAGATGGGGAGGGGGTGTTTGACAATGTCGATGGATACTGGGATACTGATCCGTTTGTTTCTTAGGACACAGCAGCTGACTGTCACCGAGAATTATAAATATCATATGAGAGTTTCACAGAAACCCTCCATGGTCTTAGGTGAGGTCAAACTGCTGTGATCTTTTTGTTAAGGTCAGATGTTCACACAAAAAGGTCCTGAGTCCACGCTGACTCGCTGACAAGATCTAGCAAACTTGTAGAAACTTCGGTACCAACCAGTTGCACAGTTCTTACAGAATACCAGTCCTCATTGACCAGCCAACAACCTACAAGCAATCTGGTTAAAACAATAACAAACTCACAAAGAAAAACTTTGTACACAAAATACTATTTCACAGTTACAAAAAGACACAGAGATCACTTCCGCACTTCATAAACAAAGTATTATGACAACATAAAAATAAATCCTTTGATCAAGGTCAATAGCACGTCAATATTGCACATGAATAATTCCGCTACATGAGATCTACTTCAGTCGCCACATCCCTCTGAGTCTCCTAATTTGTGATTTAACAAGAGTTAAGTTACAAAATGGCTTAACAAACACACACAATCAAATATTGTAAATTTGACAGTCATGTTCATCAATCAATTTCGCCTGTCAGTTACAGCTTGTTTAGACAGGCAAGTGTTACACATTGACACATTTCAGTATCGCCGGAAAACGTGTGCACAGCTGATTGTTATTTCCGGCTCTATATACGAGACAAATACACACGGTAATCGTAATCCCTGCATATAATACAATGCCTAGCAATAACAAATTAGAACTGAAAAGGTAAATAATCTTGTCTAGTGATGTTTAATTGCAAATTTGATGTCTTCACTGACAAAGTAGTTTTGTCTTGTTTGTTCACGTGAAATGATACAATGTCATTCTCTTGCTGGTCACCAGAAAAAAGGTTTGACAAAGGCTGCTTTTTGGGGTCTTCAACGGTCTAGCAACGGTCTAGCAACGTTCTCACATGCAGGCAAGCCCTAGCAATGTTCTCACATGCAGGCAAGCACTAGCAATGTTCTCACATGCAGGCAAGCACTAGCACTGTTCTCACATACAGCCAAGCACTAGCAGTGTTCTCACATACAGCCAAGCACTAGCAGTGTTCTCTCATACAGCCAAGCACTAGCAGTGTTCTCACATACAGGCAAGCACTAGCAGTGTTCTCTCATACAGCCAAGCACTAGCAGTGTTCTCACATACAGCCAAGCACTAGCACTGTTCTCACATACAGCCAAGCACTAGCAGTGTTCTCACATACAGCCAAGCACTAGCAGTGTTCTTCATACAGCCAAGCACTAGCAGTGTTCTCTCTCATACAGCCAAGCACTAGCACATACAGCCAAGCACTAGCAGTGTTCTCACATACAGGCAAGCACTAGCAATGTTCTCACATACAGCCAAGCACTAGCACTGTTCTCACATACAGCCAAGCACTAGCAGTGTTCTCACATACAGCCAAGCACTAGCAGTGTTCTCACATACAGCCAAGCACTAGCAGTGTTCTCACATACAGCCAAGCACTAGCAGTGTTCTCTCATACAGCCAAGCACTAGCAGTGTTCTCACATACAGCCAAGCACTAGCAGTGTTCTCACATACAGCCAAGCACTAGCAAGCACTATCACTGCTTATTCAATAGAGTTTTGATATAATCCTCCTGCATACATTGTTCTACTCATACTACTAATACAACAACTATGCATACAATGTTCTACTGATACAACCAATATGCATTCAATCTGCATACAATGTTCTGCTAATACAACAAATCTCATTGTTGTATAGCATACAATGTTCTACTGATACAACCAATATGCATTCAATCTGGTACTAATACAAATCTGGCATACATTGTTCTATGGATACAATTACCATGCATGCATTGTTCTATTGATAAAATAACCCCGTATACATTGATCTGTTGATACAATCACCCTGCATACGTTGTTCCATTCATACCTCCACTCTGCGTATATTTTGTACTGATCACCATACTTAGGATATTTTGATACAATCACCCTGAAAACTACTATTGATACAATGTTGTATTCATACAATCACAATGTCTTCAGAACTCTAACATGCACCTTTCCTCATATAGTCTAAACTATTGTATATAACCAATCACTCTGTCTACAATGTTGTATGAAATATACAATGTTGTACTGTAACAAGCACACAAAATCTACTTTATCGTATATCTGCATTCATATATTGACTGACATGAAAGGCAGTTCCAGTCAGACAATTCATCGAATCGGAATCATGCCTGATCACAAGAATTTGAAGTTGTGGTCAAAATATTTCATGTCAATATTGACCACACAACACTTGTCTCTGTATAAACACGAAAGAGACAAGTCACTTTCCCATTAAATATAAATCTGGTTATGAAAGTGTTGAATAAATACTGATATTCACATCCTCAAATCTCAGTCTGATTGGTTTGCTGCACCAGGGATGAGGTCATCTCCATACTTCATTCTCCAGATTACAGTCCCTTGTTAAAGTACAGAGTCATGGGGAGTCGATCACCGTACTTCTCCATTGCTTTCTCAATTCTCTGGGGCTCCATTGCTCGAAGCCTGTCAGTCTGGACAGAGCTGAGGAAATTGAAAGTAAAGTCCTTGGAAAGAGAGCTAAGAAATACTATGATCAATATGTCCATTCTGTGGCAGTTTGTTTCAGTCACTGCTACAATGTACATAGCACTGGCCGTGGCAGACAAGAACAGTGCCACAGATACAACTTCGTGGCAGCTGAGGGTCAATTAAGGGAGTGAGTAAGTATGGTTTTATGCCGCTTTTAGCAATATTCAACAATTTTACAGTGTGGGACACCAGAAATGAGCTTCACTTATTGTACCCATGTGGGGAATCGAACCCGATCTTCAGCATGACAAGCAGATGTTTTAACCATTAGGCTACTCCACCACCCCGTCAAACAAGGGAAGCTGCCTTTATATAGTCATGGCTATAACTGGTTCTTCAAGAAAATGGCCATATTGTAAAACTGGAATCAAATCTCTTTGGCAAAGTCATGGTCATCATTGCCATTAACAAGAATATCAATTTTCAGTTTCCTCGGTTGCCACAGACGACGGACAAGCAGGCCATGACATAAGCTTACTTGACTTCAGTCAGAAGCTAAAACTTCCATCTCCCTACAACACTATCAAATGTTTGAAAGTTTAATCTCTTCAACCCAAGACACCTTTCAACAGTATATATTGAACTGTCTGTTACCATTTTGATGTAATATACACTGTACTAGTGATATGTCAAAACATTCTCAGTGAAAATTTACGCTAAATTTAATTCACTCACCATTTCTGTGGGAACAAGGCACACGCAGTCGGAGTCATGAACAGCAACCTGAAAAGAAGGTGCGTTATCTGAAGGAGAATTCATTATTACAGCCCAGAGATCAGTCCACTCTCCTCTACACGTGGCCAGATTACCACTGCCACAGACCACTGCCAAGTGACGATTCATCACATCTTACGTTGATCACTGGATTGTCTGGTCCAGACTTGGTTATTTACAGACCGCCGCCATATAGCTGGAATATTGCTGAGTGCGGTGTAAAACTAGACTCACTCACTCACTCATCACATCTTACACAGTGCATTTGTCTGTTTAGTTTATGATGAATTTAGACATCTAGCTAAACATTTGTGATAGAATGGTTACCTTTCACTTAGAAAACTATTTTGATTTACGTTGCTGTCCTTTGTTTACATTAGCCCTACTGAGAGTTATGATACAGTCACTTTGATACACAAATATATATTGTCATGCTTATCACTTTTGCAGAAGCATATCTATATAATTGTGCAAAACAATAAAGAATAACATCGAAAAACTTGCATTAGGTCAGTATGAACTGATTTCAGAATAAGTGTGTTTGTTTATATGAGAGAAAAGTTTGGTCACCTGATATACAAATTAGCCTGTGTGGCAGTGGCGTTGTCATTACTGCACAGGAGGTTGACAAAGTCCTCATATCAGTTGAGGGAGCAGTCATTATTACTGTTGTGACATCAGTTCATATACCAGTTGAGGGAGCAGTCATTATTTCAGATGAGACATCAGTTTGTATACTAGCTGGGGAAGCAGTCTTTATTATAGTTTTTAGATCACTTCTTATAGCACACATTATCACAGTTTAGGGATAAGTGGATGTACTAGCTGAGGGAGCAGTCATTATGACCTTTGGGGGCTAAGTGGATATACCAGCTGAGGGAGCAGTCATTATTACTTTTGGGGGCTAAGTGGATAAACCAGCTGAGGGAGCAGTCATTATTACTTTTGGGGGCTAAGTGGATATACCAGCTGAGGGAGCAGTCATTATTACTTTTGGGGGCTAAGTGGATAAACCAGCTGAGGGATAAGTGGGAGCAGTCATTATTACTTTTGGGGCTAAGTGGATAAACCAGCTGAGGGAGCAGTCATTATTACTTTTGGGGGCTAAGTGGATATACCAGCTGAGGGAGCAGTCATTATTACTTTTGGGGGCTAAGTGGATATACTAGCTGAGGGAGCAGTCATTATTACTTTTGGGGGCTAAGTGGATATACCAGCTGAGGGAGCAGTCATTATTACTTTTGGGGGCTAAGTGGATATACTAGCTGAGGGAGCAGTCATTATTACTTTTGGGGGCTAAGTGGATATACCAGCTGAGGGAGCAGTTGTTACTTCAGTGAAAACATCACTCACACTAGTCCAGCCAGTAGCACCTGCAGAGGGGCGTTGATGTATCGGTTTTTCTTCATGAACCTTGTCTTCTCCAGAGACTCCATCAGAAATGGCAGCATCGCTAAAAAAACAACCATGGATGAAGCCAATGTTTCATACAACAAATGTTCACACATCTTATCCCTTATATTAGTGTCTAAACATTACAGGTATTTCACACACAAAAATAAAAGCAACAGTTAGCAGTGAACAGTATGCCTTCATATCAGTAGAGGATATATAGAGTGAACACCGATTATAGCAATATTCCAGCAATATCACACCAAGGACACCAGAAATGGGCTTCACACATTGTACCCATGTGGGGAATCGAACCCGGTATTCGACATGGCAAGCTAATGCTTGAACTATTAGGCTACCCTATCGCCCCAGAGGATATATGAAAAAGTATATAATGTCATATACACTGGTATACAAACACATCAAAAACATGTTTTGGCATAATGTCAGGAATTGATATTTCAACAGACCCTGACAACACATATATTTGTTCTACCCCATATCTCACAGCATGGTGATCATATATGAAATATATATTGCCAAACTAAACTAACTTACTCATGCTTGGGGTTGCCATGACGATTCTTGAAAACACCACCTGGCCAATTCCCTTTGTTGCAGCATACTGCAGAGACATTGAAATGACCAATCAGAAAAGAGTACATTTTTACTGAGGGAGGATGAGTTCTTCACAACCAGCAGAGCAGGTGAATGTTGTTTTTATGCCATAGTTTGTATATTTCCAGCTATTGATATTCATGTCAGTGCCAAACACTCCAGTGGATAATAGCAAGATCAATGTTTGACCTTCGCTAGGATAAACACTTCATTTGTCAGTTTGATGTGTCCTTACCCGAGATTCCATAACTTTGTTGTTGTTGTCATCAAACAGCTGGATCCCGTCAGCCAGCTCACTGGAGCAGAAACAGACAAATATAGAAACAGCAGCTGGCAATCAGTCACTGGATACAGATACATAGGAATACAGTTTCGTGAATAGACACAGAGGTAGAAGCAGAAACAGGATTCATGATTGGATACAGAATCAGACAGGTGTTTCAGGAGTAGAAGCAGACGACATTTAGCAGAGACACAGGATCAGACAGGCGTTTCAGGAGTAGAAGCAGAAATGTTTCAGCAAAGAAACAAATTCAGACAGATATTTCTGGAGTAGAGGCAGACACAGTTTCAAGATTTGACAAGCAGAAGATTAGAAGCAGACGACATTTAGCAAAGACACAGGTTCAGAGAGGTGTTTCAGGGGTAGAAGCAGACGACATTCAGCACAGACACAGAAGCAAACACAAAATAGATCAACAAGTAAACACAGACACAGAAAAAACAGTTCTAGAAGCAAATGCTGAGTAAGTTCAGTTTAATTGGTAGACAGAGTGTCAGCAAAGCACCAGTTCAGCCAGAGACCAAGAAGCAGAGGTAGACAAAGGCCGGAGCTGACACAACACACACCTCTGCCTCATGAGTGGGATGTTCACCATGTTAGCAGCAGCAACCGCAGCGTAGGGAACAAATCTCTGCACCAGCGGCGCCGCTCTCTGCAACATGGACAACATGATTCTTTTGTTTGTTTCTTAATGTCACACTCAGTAAAACTCCAGCTACAAGGTGGCGGTCTGTAAACAATCAAGTCAGGAACAAACATTCCAGTGATTGGCATCATGAACTTGTAGCCTTCAAAATGGCGACAAGCAGACTCTTTTTCCTGAAGCAGGTAACAATAAAAACTTAACCAAACCTGCAGAGGTTTTCAATTCTTTGAAGAGAGTCGTCCTTGGGGTACATATTATGCATTTTCCGGCTGAAAAATGTCCTGTGACAGTTGTATCAATGTTTTTTGAATAAAAAGATTGAACAATAAATAAACTCTTTTATTTATTATACGGACCCTACCTCACGGAGTTACCTCCCTTAGCGCATGCGCACCAACTGGGTAGGCTCCTAGACCCGTATCATCATTCCTTCTGCTGAATTCTTATCAGTGAACAGAATTGCGGGAGGCGGGAGGCCCCACCCAGGATCGACTCTCTTCAAAGAATTGAAAACCTCTGCAGGTTTGGTTAATTCTTTTCAGAGAGATCGCCCCTTGGGGTACATATTATGCATAAACACAGACTCCCAAAGACCGGAGGCCAGGAGGAGGGAATTCTGTCCAAGCACACAGTGAGGGGAAGTGGCAGGAGAGGGGAAGGGCCTCGATTTTTTCCCTTTTTGACGCTCATTTTGTTTTAGACGGGGAACCTGCGCCAGGTCCCTCCCGCCACACGATCTCAACGATAAAACAACGATCGGGCCGCCGCCTCTTCTGGGCCCGGGGAAAAGGCCAGACAAATAGGGCAGGAATCAGCGCCGCGGTCCCGCCTTTTCCAGACAGGCAACACAGTTTGTATGACTGTCGGCCCGGGGGGACTACTACCCCACAGACCGAACAGGATGAAAAGGCCTGAAAACAAACACGCAAGCATGTTAGTTAACGGGCGCCAGCAGCATATAAACACGTAGGAAAACATTGAAAAATACGTGAAGGTTACCACGGAAAGTAATAGTTGGTTTTAATACGCAATATTATTTACCACATGGCACGCTAAACTTCCCGCCATGGCAGAGCAACACGCGGCGTAAAACCACGGAAAGTTCGCAGATTTTGTATTAATACAAAGTCACAATTATGAAACAACCAACTGTAAAGCTTTACTGTTCCTTGTTTTAGGCAAATAAAGACCATACATACAGGTGGTGTCTCAGACATAGCGTATTCAGCTGCACGGCTCATGAATGGTTACATATAACGTCTGTTCACGGCAGTGACAGCAGAAGGAATGATGATACGGGTCTAGGAGCCTACCCAGTTGGTGCGCATGCGCTAAGGGAGGTAACTCCGTGAGGTAGGGTCCGTATAATAAATAAAAGAGTTTATTTATTGTTCAATCTTTTTATTCAAAAAACATTGATACAACTGTCACAGGACATTTTTCAGCCGGAAAATGCATAATATGTACCCCAAGGACGATCTCTCGGAAAAAGAATGTTCCTTCACTTTTTTTATTCATTGGTTGTGTAATGCTTCAGTCAGCAATATTGCCTGCAAATAACAATGTCTGGACCAGATAATCCAGTGATTGATATCAAGAGCAGCATCCCCTGATGGGGAACGATGACCTGTGATCAACAAGTCACCAAAAGTGGACACATGATCAATTATGATCTTTGTATTAGGGCTGTAATGATGCATCAAACTATCGATGGATTGCAATTGTTGAGTCTCCGATAGCAATTAATCGATGGCAGAAACAAAAAAATATTGATGCATCGATAGTGTGTGTGACTATCGATAGTTTAGTAATTGACTTCCGTTGGTAAATGCGCTACGCGATGTTTGGGTGCAGACTTGCAGCTACATTGAGTTTATGTTTTAACTGTTTACTTGATCTGGGGTTCAAGTTTCTTGTCACTCACTAAAAGTGACTGAAACTACTTCAACTTGTTTTTATTTCATATAAACTATACGTTCATTTGGGAAATGAATTCAAATGAGACAATTCAAGGAGAAAAAAACTACTGCAATAGTATTGCAATAGTTGGTCGCAATAGACTATCACTATCACAATAGTTGTTTCCCCCCGCAATAGTCACCCCTGCTTTGTATAACAAGTTTAGGTTGCTGGCGCCTGATCCACAAAGCTTTCTTAGCACTAAGCCATTTGTTATCCTATGATAAACTACATATTTATGATGCCTCATAATGCTACGAACACTTTGTAGATCAGGAACCATGCAGTCATATTCTATCCCTGACTTCTCAAAGCTGTGATAAGTAATAGACTATACAAGGTTTGAGGTTTGGGCCTGCTCGACAGTACCGGAATGGAATGATCACTGAAGTAGAATGCCTCTGACCTTGGCAAGAAGATGCTTGAGTCCGAGAGCAGTTACAAGGGCACATGATGTGGCGCTGACATATGCTACCGCCATTTGTCTGAAACATTCCACAACACTGTGCACTAGTTCTGAAAATGGTGAAATTACAATGATTCTCCTCGACACAAATGGTATAAGGTATTACCATGATTTTCATCACTGAATATATTAATCAAGTTATCGTAACATCAACCCAAAGATCCAGCATCAGCCCCTAGTGCCAGTGAAAACTGTAGGACTACATAGCTGAAGTAACGTCAACGTCATATTGTGTGTACACAGACTTAGTGTTGCCTTGGCAACAGACTGTCAATATGTCTCGTTATCGGAATGATCATACACTAAAATCAGAAATTCAAGATTCCAGATTCACAGACTGTTTCACCAGCATATAATGTAATAATGTAGAATATTTATAACACGGCTTTCCAGGCTTCATATCCTGCTCAAAGCACACAAACATAATCTTGATTATTATTACCCCAGATAACCCAAGCTGTCTGTGAGGTGCTGGAAGGTTAATAGTCACATGACTGATCCCACCAGGTACTCATTTTCTGCTGGGTGAACAGAGGCAATTTTGATCAAACTCACTTTCCTATGGTGAAACAATGTGTATCACGATGTGCTTAGTTGTGGGGTCCTAGAAACTCTCACCCATCCAAGGACTCTCCACACCCAATGTTGCTTAACGTCAACTGATTTGTGACCTGAGGTCTATGCACAGGACCACACACCACCACTGCATAGAAACCACTGACTGCCAGTGATTGCATGAGGTGAGGTGAAATGGGCTAAATTTCGCATTCAAGATTATTATACTTATAGAGCAATGGGCAAGTGACCAGCTTATCAACGAAAACACTTGACCACCTCTTGTCATGACCCTTGATGGAGTTGTCCTCAGATCTTCAAGCACAAACATGAGAGAGTTTAACTGCTTACAGGAGTTGAATGTTATGAAATGTGACAAAAGACAGACTCAGCCTCCAGTACAGACATCAGGAGGACCTAGTTTACTCACTTTGTAGAGATGTCCGACGCAGCGTTGCGGTTGGTGTAGTTGACAAGGGCATTGAAGGACTGGTTGGCCCACTGCCAAAATACCACAGCAGTGTTTGATCTGTACAAGGACGTTAAGAATTGTTACAGTGATACCAGTGTAGATGCAACATAAACGTAGAATATTACTACTGTAGATCCTACTTAAAAGTAGAACATTTTGGTTTGATTTGGTTTGGCCACACTCAGCAATATTCCAGTTACAAGGCGTAGCTACCATTATGAAAAAGAGCCCGGGCTTACACATGATTGTTGCTAAAAAGGTTGGGCAAGCCCTCAATACTATCTAAATACAAAGCTGTGCAACCTATCGGGCTTACACAAAAAAAATGGCTTGCTACACGCCTGAGCTATATGGCGGCTATCTGTAAATAATCAAGTCTGGTCCAGACAATCCAGTGATCAACAGCATGAGCATCAATCTACGCAATTGGGAGCCGATGAAATGTGTCAACCAAGTCAGCGAGTCTGACCATCCAATCCCGTTAGTCGCCTCTTATGACAAACATGGGTTACTGAAGATCAGTATTCTACCCCGGACCTTCACGGGTCGGTACATGGAGTACCGGTAGATCAAACCTACTTGTAGAATGTAATCATGGCTCCAATGAGGATCATGCCGCCAGGTACTTGGAAGGACATCCGACCAATCACATTCTGCAAATCCCCAGAGTCAGGGTGGAAGGCGGAGAGGAACATCTTCTGGGCTTGGCGGATGCTGGTAGAGGATGTGTTTGCTGGTTCTTCACCTCGCCTACAGACAATGATAATGTGAGCTGGCAAGTAACCTGTATAAATCAGGGATGGAAATAACCCATTGCCCGACTCCCCAGTCCAGTGTTTTTTTCTGTCGGGCAAGCAAATTTGTATATCACGCTGTACCGGTGTCCAGTTGACTTTCCAATGTTAATTATGTTGTTTATTTAAAAAATGAACAAGAAAATCGGCCGGTATAGTGGGAAAATTATCAGGGCAAGAGATTTTACATGTGCCACTGTACCAGAGTACACTAGCAATTTTAAAGTTATTTCCACCCCTGAATAAATACTTCCTTTTACACACGTGTTCTGAATATCATTATGAGATAATTTTGGCTATTTGAAACAGGTGTTGTGTAACCAGCGGAAAGTTATCCAACAAGTGTGTAACCAAACTAGGTTATTCAACGATAGTGACGTCATAATGCTGAATTCAATGCAAGTGACCTTTCTGTTGCCTCCTCGATATTTCAGATTAACATTATAACTCCTTTCAAGCAGGTTTTGACCAAACATGTCAACCAAACAAAACATTAGGCATGTCGATCATTAAAATTCAATTTCTGTGTCCTGGGGATAAGTTTTATTTTTCAATTGAATATTTTTAATTGTTTATTTTCATCTATAAAGTAGTCGTAACAGAGTTAGCTCCCGTTTGTTTTGTTTATATTCGGCAACGACTGCTTGATGTTCAGTTCTTTGAATACACTGTTTTCCTGTCCTGTGTGTAATAAATAGATCACAAAAATTGTGGTTGTCGAATATGTTGCTTTCGCCCGTGAATTAATTAAAACATTTAAACATATCTCGGAATATTTTCCATATTCAACACCCACTCATTTTGTAATCTCTATATACACCACAGACCTCACTAGACACACAAAATAATCTGCTTCTGATAGACCCAAACAATTCTGGAATTTTTTAAGGAGTAAGTGTTGCATCTTTGAACAGTATTTCAGTTATATCATAACATGTCCGCTGAATGGGGTAGGAAAACCTAAAGAGAAGTAGGTATTGATTGTTTACTCATGACCTAGAAACACAAGCAGGTTCAATCAGGATTGGAACCCATGTAGGTTTCTGGCATACCTAAAGGTCACCACTGACCTGGCGCATAGTAAATTTGGGATTTGAATCATTGTTCAGCGAATGCTACTTTTAGCAATATACACAGGGGTGCACCAGAAATGAGGTTCACGTTCTACCCAAGTGGGAATTGAACTTAGGTCTGTGGCATGATGAATGAATGCTGTAACCACAAGGCTACCTCATCATGTATAGATACAGGTATATGCATGTTATTAAATAGGTAATGTTCAATCAATCAAGTCTCACCTGTACTGCTCCAGCAGAGTTTCGCCTCATGGAACCGATGTGTCGGGACTACGGTCAGACGCGGGTCAGTGACCCAGAAGAAGTACTTGAGTCGTCCAAGGAATGTCCCCTGATTCCATCGTGGAGCATCCAGGTCTATCCTCTCCGACATGGCAGAGTCTGTTTCTGCAAACATAAAGATGAGATGGTAATGTGACATTCGTACACAGGCAGTGTAGGTTGTATACTAGGTGAGGTGAAATTGGGTTTAACGTCGTACTTGAGAATATTTCACTCATATGACGATGTGCATGCGTGTGTATGTGTATGTGTGGCTGCTTGTACTAGCCCAGACTTAAGCTGGTTTTATAGTGCTAGCCCACTGAGATACCATGCCGCAGTGAAGCATGAATACCCCACTCAGACACATTATACTGACTCCGAGCCGACCAGTCCTTGATGTACCCATTAATGCCGAGCGCCAGGCAGGGACCAACACGTATTTTAACGTCTTTTGGTATGACGCGGTCGGGGATCGAACACGCGACCTTCTGCTCTCCGGGCGGACGCTCTAACCACTACACCAAGGAGGCGGTCAGGTTGTATACTAACCAGTATGAACATTGAGTGCACACTGATGCGCTGAAAGCAATAATAATTAGTGCCATAGACAATTCTTTGGTGAATGGAATAAAGCAAACACAAATCAACTTATTGAATTATTATGTCTTACAGATTAAACTAAAATACAGCCGAGGGAGGTTTGGTGGACCAAGCCAAGTCGGGGTGGTAAGGCTCATCATCAGCTCAGGCAACCTTGCTGCCCCTACATGCAGCCCAGACAGCGAATGGGACTTCTCCAAGGAAGCACTGGCTAGTCGAACCCACTAAGAACTTTCAGGAGAATGTGAAGTCTCCCCAACACTGCAGCCTTCTGCATTACCAAGAATGTCAGAAGAACCGTGCCCCTGGTGGAGAACACACAGGCACTCTTGTGATCTGCGCCAACAGACCAGGGCCTAGATTTTCGAAGCTCTCTTAGCGCTAAGATAGTCGTAAGTTAATGTTAATGTATGGCACTTATGACTATCTTAGCGCTAAGAGAGTTTCGAAAATCTAGGCGCAGGAGGTGCCAAACAAGGCCATCAAGAAGTTGACAAGAACAATGGGTGTCCAGTCATCAGTGTATGTGGGATGCAAGTGAGACATTTCAAAGGTGAGGTTCGCATATCTATCATGCTTTCATGAATCTTGCCTATCACATTGTTGTCAGTGGGTCCAAATATTTAATAACACAAATAATTTCATTGCCTTCATCAAAAAGGTCAAGGACAGTGTCTACGAACGACCGTATATCACTTAAATAAACTCACTCACCTATTGTCCTTCACAGATACTCTACTGATGTGACTGACTACATGTTACAATGACTACATGTTGCTGTTATATTACTGAAAACTATACTCTATAAGACATCCTGACATTATCTTCTGTTGGTTCTGTTGGTTCCATACACCACGCCCGTTGTATTCACTAGTTCAGCATTGTAAACTACTATTTTCATCGTACACAAAACGGTATTAAAACAACATCAATGAACATGTTTATTAGCTAAAACGCATACATCATCGTGTATTGTAGACAAGTACTGTATGTGATATGTATCTGTAAACAGATTGAATTATGTGACATTGACAGCTGCTGTAATCTAATTAACTAAGTGAAAAAGTGAACATTAATGACTACTCACGTTTCGCTTCTAAGACGAGAGTTAGCCCCCTTACCAGACTCTTACGAATGGAAAGGCTGAAATAAGGAGTACGCAGAAAGATCTGACGTCACACGTAGTTACCCCAAACTAAGATAATTCATCAAAAATGGTAACGATTTTTCGATTGTTTACAATATTATTTACTTATTGGTTTTTCGTATGTTCATTTTTCTAAACAGTAGGTGTATATGTACATATTGTCTACGTGTACTTGGATAGGATTTCCGTTGTTTATGGTTTTGAGGGATATTTTACCTGTTAATGAGAAGATGTTCACCTGCCGTGCCGGTTGATCACAATATAGCGTGTTGTGAATCAATGAGGCGTATCCTATTATACGTGTTGGTTCATAATATTTTCCCAAGCCTTTAGGGGAGAAAGAAAACACGGCCTCAATAATCATTGTCATTCTTACAGTAAGATAAACTCTTCATTAGACCGAACGATTCTCGAGATTCAGTAGTGTCTGTCATTCTGCATACCTGAGGATAACCTCCTCTCGGATGACGGGATGACATACTACGTCAGGAACAGCCACTAAATTTTTATGTTTCAGCTGGATAACTAATGCATTTAGTACAGTTTGACAAATCGTTACCAGATCTCATCATGTTCATAACCCAATCACAGCATGATGATTTTATGATAACCTGCTTTGTTATTCAACATATTGTTTTAAGTTTAGCCCCAATTATTCACCATTTTAACAGGCAACAGTCAGATAGGTAGATAGATAGATATATACTGATGACCGTGTTGAAAGAAGATGTGTTTGTTTTGAGATTATGAGACAACAGAGACCATATAATATAATCTTATTATATGCTCTCTGGTCACAATCCCAAGCTTTGTTTGCATTTTCAAATGCTTATGTTTCTTTCTTTGGATCATCCTTCTGTTGCTCCAACCTTGCGATGCCTAATTAAATAATAGAAAATATATGACATTTTTTTCATGTTCATGTTTCATATCTTAACATTTGTCTTTTGTAATGAATGAAATACCATCATGTGCAAGATGTAGGGATGTCATCATATATCATGTATATCATTCAATCTATGGATAACTACTTTTCAAATGTTAATGCTGTGTTGATACTCATCTAAACTCACATTTATTAAGATTTCCTTGTGAAAGGTTGCTATGAAGAGGTAGAAAATTAAATTCAATCAACCAACTTCGTATTTAGCATCAGCTTTGTTAATTACAGGTCTACATCGGTATTGTTTTCATCTATTTTCACATGATATACAGAATAGAATAATTTTTGCGTCAAGATGCATCAGCATGATAAATACTGAATGCTAAAATATGCAGTCAATAACACTTCTACCCTAATGATTAGGGCTGCGCAATATAACCGGTTTACCGGTATTTACCGGTTCAGACATGAAAACGATACGTATTGCGATACGCTGATCGAAAACCGGTATTTTGACTTGCATTCGGAAAACTTCGTAACACTCGGAAATGTTCGGATATGTCCTTGTTTCATTTGTGCCAGATATTATTCACATTTTTATTTTATCATGATTAAAGTTGTTATTAAAGCTTAATCAAGCCTAGTGATTTGTTTATGTTTTTGCTCTATAAATCAAGAAGTAACTCGGTTATAAGTAGTTTTTTGTTTAAAAATACTTCATGCAATATATTGCAATACATATCGCAATATGAAAATTCTCTGCAATACCCACCCCTAATAATCATGGCAATATATAAGGAAGTGACCTGTGTTCATCAGTTGATCATGAAGAAGTTATGCAGGGTTGTTGCAAAAAAAAAGTTGTTATCTATGAAATCTTCCCAGATTTTCATCATGGTTTATGATTAATAATATCTTGTTCCAAAGACTGTTTAATGGTTAACTTCTCTCAGCCACTATCTGGTGCAGGGATCTAGACAATGTGATGGCAGAGGTGGAAATAACCCATTGCCCGATGCCCGAGTCCAGTGTTTTTTTCTGTTGGGCAAGCAAATTGGTATATCACACTGTACCGGTGTCCAGTTGACTTTCCAATATTAATTATGTTGTTTATTTAAAAAATCAACAAGAAAACGGCCGGTATAGTGGAAAAATGATCAGGACAAGTGATTTTACATGTGCCACTGTACCGGAGTACACTAGCAATTTTAAAGTTATTTCCACCCCTGGATGGCCATGTTAGCAATAATATTAATGCCTGTGATTCCCACAAATGATAACACAGCATAAGAGTGTCCCTGAATAAACATCCTCACCTTGTTTATATTAGTGCCAAAAGAACTGACAACACAAATTCCTAGGTCTGTTACTGACATGTACAATTCTAAACATTCTAACAAATCCTTCAGGGTCTACTTCAACTGTTGAGGAAGCTGAAGTCATCTCCTGACAGGGAACTAAGAATCTTGTTATTGGGGCTGGACAATGCTGGCAAGACAACTCTACTGAAGAAGTTGGCATCTGAAGATGTATCCCACATAACACCCACGCAGGTACGTCAAGTAACAAGATTGGCTGGTTTATTCTGCCTAGAGACTAGAGTATTTACAGACTGCTGTAATATAGCTGGAATATTGCTGAAAATGAGAGCAGCATAACCTTGATTGAAGAACAAATCAACCTGAGATATGTGTGTTTCTGTAAATGTAAGTGTAGTAAGCTTGTTAGGAACTGAATGAAATACAGTCATGAGGTGACTTACTTGATCATCATGATCCTCATCAATGATTGGGCAGTGGGGGTAGCCTAGTGGTTAAAGCGTTGGCTCGTCACGCCGAAGACCCTGGTTCGATTCCCCAAATGGGCACAATGTGTGAAGCCCATTTCTGGTGTCCCCCGCCGTGATATTGCTGGAATATTGCTAAAAGCGGCGTAAAACTATACTCAGTTAGTCAGTCAGTCATGCTGAAGACTCAGGTTCGATACAACATGGGTACAATGTGTGAAGCCCATTTCTGGAATATTGCTAAAAGTGGCGTAAACCTTACTCGATCAATCATCATCATCATCATCATCATCATCATCACCGTCACCGTCAATCATCAATCATCAGTATTTACAGGCTGCACTGATGAGAACAATTGTGAGGCAGTGTTGGGATGTTTAAGGAGACACATGTTTGTCCACTGTCAGTTTACTGCAGAAACTGATGATAATTCTACCGGCGTGCTATTCCTGGGATGCGTTGGTGTTCATTGAAAAGTTTGTAGTCTGTGATTGCCAGGATTCCTATTGAGATTCTAGGTTACAACAGTATCTGAACAAACCAGGTGGATTGGTAACATTTGGTGGTGGCAGCTGAGTGATTGTTAATATGTTCAATATGTGAATAAAGTAGTAAACATTTATCATTTATAAACAAATATCATTACATATCTTTTCATTCTGGCAGGGATTCAACATCAAGTCTGTGCAGTCACGGCCGGCTGCAAGCTGAACGTGTGGGACATTGGCGGGCAGAGGAAGATCAGACCATACTGGAAGAACTACTCGATAACACAGATGTATTGGTGAGTTATTGTTTTCATTGTTAACTTGGAACCTGAGCAATATGAATCCCAGTTTTCCTCATTATGCTTCTTGGTTTGTCAACACCATTATTGTTGTAAACGCCAGAGACCTGCATCACTTAGTATTTCCTCCCACATGAAACTGGCACATTATTATATACTGAAATACACTTCACTATTTTAGTTAAAGTATAAGGACACTTGCTTACTTTAATTGCATCTGTGATTAATGTAAGCCAATATCAACATTGCATTTCTACTACCAATGTAAGTTTAGAACCCTAAATCCAGATGAAGCTGACTAGTCATGTGACGTTCCAAGGATACATTGTGGGTCTGTAAACATGGCAAAGGTTGCCGTATGTCGCTGTTTAATTGTGAGTCGAGCTGAGACATTATATCCGGCTTTTAAAAGCATAAACATAATAATGTTTCGACCAGTGATGTTAGCTGAGTGAAGCAACTGCAAACCAAGAAACGGGTGCTCTGGAGTAGTTTACAGTAGGAGGCTTTACGATGTGACATCTGACAGGAATCGCGGACGTTGGGTACCAAGGGTACGCTTTGATAACAAGGGGTCAGACGACAGTGGTGAAGTGACGCCAATACAGTGTGACGCCATTCAATTTAAAAATTGTACTTTATAGCCTGATAAAGTACCTTCGACGCTTTGATCTTTTAGCAAAACATCTTTGAAACTGAAATACTGTTGAAAGCAACATTCAACCCAGCTCACTGTCACTGTCTTAAATATGTAGATCAGACCAGTCCCTGCAGTGTTGGTTTGCATCTTGTCAGCGTGCATTGTCAAGTTGATTGGTTAGAATCATTTTATTTTGCAGCTGTAATGTGATTGACAGCAGTGACAAGAAACGATTTGAAGAAACATCAGAGGTAAGAGGCATTGTGGAATGATTGTCTTTATGTCTTATTGTTCATACAGCTCAGATCTTGATATATTGAAACATCTGTTTGTACTTTTGTCAACTCCTCGAACTTATCTCTGAAGGGTGGGGGTCATTATGAGCACCCACTTAGTGGTTGGATTTAGCTATATGAATTTCCAGTATTATTAATATTATCAGTTGTATTTACCAAAGCCTAAAGGATTCTGCAGAATTGTGCAGTGAGAAATTGGTTATCATTTACCATAAAATGCTCTTCAAATGTGTGCTAAGATGTTATTTTAAAAGAAGGCAGAGGTTCATTAGAGGTTCATTTTAGTGGTTTCTTATGGCCACACCTTTTCCTGAGGGGTGTGGAATTTAAGAGTGATACATTTGGACATCTCATGTCATTCATTGTCATTCATTTGCTGGAAACATGTGGGTGACTGTCACAGGAACTGAAGGAGCTTCTGGAAGAAGAAAAGCTTAGCGGTGTCCCTCTTGTGGTGTTTGCCAACAAACAGGATCTGCTGACTGCTGCCTCCGAATCGGAAATCTCCAAAGGAATTGGTCTGCAGAGTATCCGGGACAGGAAGTGGCAGATCCAGGCCTGCTCAGCAGTCACGGGGGAAGGGGTTAAGGTAGGGAGTAGGTCTGGAGATAACACACATAGTTACCATAATTACTGTACATACCGGTACCAGCGATACATGGTTGATGTGATATACACTGATATACTGATATGGAGTCAAACTGTGATATGCAATTATCCACATTTGATACATAAGATGTACAAAGATGTACATCGATACATATATATATATATATATATATGACATAGGTGTACAGTAATATTCTTACAGACCTATACAATGATGCACATTAGACATACTAGAAATATACAATGATGTGCATTGCATATTTCACACACACACATGCACACACACACAGAGAATACTTGAAAATACAATATATATGCAGCTGGAATACAACGATGTACATTTTTTATATATGAGACATGTACAATGTGGTACATGTTGCAAATGATAAAAATGTGATAATACACATTACATATAAATTAGACACACACCACCTATATAATGATACACTGAATGTATAAAATGTGATAATACACATTACACATACATTAGACACACACCACCTATATGATAATGATACACTGAATGTATAAAATGTGAAGAATACACAGATATATGTTGCATCAGATATACACCATATGTACACCAAATATATGTTACAACAGATATACAACAGATATACAGCGGATGTACCTCAGATGTACCTCAAATATATGTTACATCAGATATACAGCGGATGTACCTCAGATGTACCACAAATGTATGTTACATGTGATATACTCCGGATGTACCTCAGATGTACCACAAATATATGTTACATCAGATATACAGCGGATGTACCTCAGATGTACCACAAATGTATGTTACATGTGATATACTCCGGATGTACCTCAGATGTACCTCAGATGTACCCCAAATATATGTTACATCAGATATACACCAGGATCTAGACTTTCGAAGCTCTCATAGTGCTAAGATAGTCGTAAGTGCCATACATTAACATTAATTTACAACTTTCTTAGTGCTAAGAGAGCTTTGAAAATCTGGGCTCATGTACACAACAGATCATGTTCACCAGATGTACACCATGTATGTGTTACACCAGGTATCTGATATCTGTTGTTGTGTTCCAGGATGGGATGGAGTGGGTGATGAAGATGGTGAAGAAGAAATGAAGACAGCTGTCATCTAAGACAATCACTCATTATTCTGTACATGGTTAGGGTTAACTGAGGGAAGGGGGGCTCTGTCCATCTTTATGTTACCTTGAGTTACCATGGCGATGACATGTCAGTGTCACAACACATGGCACAATGAATATCAAATTGCAAGAATATCAAATTGTTATCCTGGTCTGTAGTTGATTCTCAGAAGGGGGATGTTTAATAATGGCAGTGTATCATCTATGAACACAGGTGTGGTTACAAGGTAAAAGTGTTCTAGCACTCAACTCTCCACGGTCATAAATAAAATATTTTAAGGATTTAACTTAGGTATATGGTTATAAGTGAGTGAGTGAATATGGTTATAAGTGAGTGAGTGAATATTGCTTAACGCCACCTCAGCAATGTTGCAGCAATTTGCGGCAAATATGGTTATAAGACGCTTACATATCACTTTAGTTTTATGAAATACGTCCACAGTGAAGACATTTTAGTGAAGTTGAGTAAAGCTTTGGCATTACAGCGCGACTGTTGAAAGGATGAATCATTTACAAGCTTCACAGTTGATGGTTGCTGAAATACTGGACTTTTTGTGTCACACTCATTTGGATCATTTTCAGTCTCTACTTACAAGTTTCGACTGTCAGTTATGTGTTTTTGTTCATTCCAGTTAAGAGTTTTGTATTTGTATAGCTGATGTATATTTATTATTACAACCTAATAATCAGATGATGATTGCTATATGAATGGGACGTTCTTTACTAGAGAACAGGGAAGTGGGATTGTTGTCATTCATAATCTGTGCATAATATGGACAATGTCCCTACTGACAGTGTCAATAATGTTTGTGGCAGATAGGGGTGAAACGCCTTACCACGGTACGGTACATATTGCGGTACAAAGCCTTCGGTTCAGTCCGTTTCGGGTTTGGTATATGAGAACTTACTTCCGGAAAATAGCGGCCATCTAGAAAAGAATTTGACAAAATAATTCGATTTCTAGACATTTTAGAAAAGGTTTTAAAAGGTTAATAAATGACGGTACGAAAACTGAAAATACCAAATTTTGGATTGCATTATGGTATACCGAACCCAAGGCAAAATTCCATGATTCTACTAATACTGCGATATACCATTTCCCCCCTAGTGGCAGAAACAAATTCAATCATTGTTTTGTTCATCACTGCAATTTGATTTCACCATTCCTTGAACTAGAATGCACTTGTTTCAGCTCAGTGCCTTTTGTCACAGAGCTTGTCAGTAACTATACGTTGTCTTACTTCAGCATTTGGATAAGAAACAGCTAGGGGTGTACAAGGTGATGGTGCATTGTGAGAATGTTATCACAGCTTCTTTATTTTAGACATTTTTATCATTGTGATACTGGTTGCCTTGGAAACAGTCCAGATGACACATATCATTCCTGCTTGTGTTTGTATCCGTCCATGTTTCTTTATCTTGAAGTGCTCTTACTGTGGTCACACTCACTAACTCAAAACTCACTGGTTGGCTAGCATTCCCAACGTTCCCGTCCAACATATTATTTCCAATAGCATGCTGTTCATCGCTACTGGCAGATGAAGCTGATTAGTTCCTTTGGATGACACAACATCCAAGCAGAATCCCAGGGAAGAGGATCAGAAAGTCTGCCAGGGGAGACAACTGGTCACATTTTTCTTTTTCAACAAAATTTGCAAAAGCAGTGTTAAGCAGTGTTCAATAATGGATTATAGTCAAAGGGTGATTATCATGACCCAAATAATGATTTTGAATGAAGATAATTTTGTCTTAAACACATGTGCCGCTTTTATATTTATACACTCTGAGATAACACAATTAGCCTAGCTCTCATAAGTGTTGCAATTTGTGTAAATGCCTTCCATGTTTAATATTGAGACAGAGACATTCTAACCAAACACTTGGTCTGTCATGGGCTGTATTGTGTGTACCCCACCTCAGTATAGGGATCTCTTGGTTCATATCTACCAGGGTAAAGAGTGTCCAGATGGGGATGACTGTAGGCAGAGTAAGACCCTACAAATAGAAGGCAGTAATTATAATTACAATGGAGGTGAACTGATTTGGAAATAATTTATTTGACAATATATGGCTGAACAAAGCAATATCTCTTCAATATGGTTTAGAGTTTTTTGCTGTTTACCGAACAGTTTGCACTGATGCCTTATAAAAAAAGTCATCTTAACAAAGCAGCATAAAAACAATTGAATTTGATGATATTTATATTCAACACTTAGCATTTCACCACTGTTATATTTTACAACTCTCAGGACTCCTCATTAGAAGGAGCTTTGCCCAGTCATCAGATCAGTGCCATACCTTGTGCCTGGTGCAAGTATCTTGTAACATCTGTACATATGAAGGGTATTTTGCAAAGGATGAAAATGAACTGTACAGTAGTTTAGAAATATATAACAGGGCTCCGATCCATAAAGCGTTCGTAGTGTTACGACCTATCGTAACAGTGGGCGTACAAATGCGGATAGGGTTCCAGGTCTTCAGGTTCAGGTGTCTCACGTTTAGATATGTGTTTCAGCGAAGTCTGCTGTTGCCGTATGGTTCATATCCTCAACTAACTGTTGCAATGTGTAACTCCACGAAATGTAGGAATCCCGCCTTTAAACCCTTTGTACTAGTCTGTTGCCACGCCACTGCACAGGTTCTCTCATGTGGAACAGCATGAATTCCAGTGAATATTTTCCAATGTTCATTGTGATTAAAGAGCAAAATGCTTGCAAAAAATAATATTAATTGTAGGGCAAGTAAAACTTGTAGCTTGTCTTGTGCAGAGTGAAATGTATTTTGTCTGTCACAGCTCTACACAAGTCCCGTTTACAAATGAAATCCTTTTATTTCACAATTCATTGACTCAGGGGCTAATTAATTGAAAATATTAGAATACATCTCTACCGAGTGTTTTGAGGGGGGATAAGTACACCTCACCAGCTTCAGTGGCTGAGCAATACTGATGTAACTTGATTGTGACACCATGTTAACTGAGTTTGAATATTATTATGATTCAGTTTCTTTCAACTGTGGAAGCCAGTGTTGTATGACACAAAGTTGCAGGAAGTTTTTCAGAAAGTTTCTGAAGTGTTCAGTAAAAATGCTTCTCTATTATGAAATTATCAGTTATTAAGCAAATAATCTCAAACTTTCTTCAAACTAATTGCACAGTCCTCTGTATATTTCTTCAAGCTATATATGCATGTGAATGGTATTGTTCAGATATTAATTTTTAAGATAGAAGTACTATGAAAAGCGGTCCTCAAGTCCACATCCGCCAAGAATTTACTTTTGTATGTTCAACTCCAGTATAAATAGTATCCAGTTTAAGGATGTTGTTCTGTAGATCTGATACATTAAATTATATCTGCCTTGTTTTATTGATTATTCCTTCAACTACTTAAGCAGTGAATTGATGTTTGTAATATTTTGTCATGATTCCCAGAGTCATATCGGCATACTTGATCCGTCCTGTCACTTTCTGATGACACAGAATCACTTACAATGTCCTCTGTATGTTGAAATAAATCTCACATATTCTACTGGTGACTTTTGTGGTTTTCCTGGAATGAGTGAGTGAGTTTAGTTTTACACTGCACTCAGAAATATCCCAGCTATATGGTGGAGGTCTGTAAATAATCGTGTCAGGACCAGACAATCCAGTGATCAGCAGCATGAGCATCGATCTATGGAATTGGGATACGATGACGTGTCAACCAAGTCAGTGAACCTGACCACCCAATCCTGTTAGTCGCCACTTACAACAAGCATGGGATATTGAACCTGGATCTTCACGGGTCCGGTTTTCCTGGACCTCGTTCCTCAAAGTGATCGTAGCGCTACGACAGTCGTAAGTCTATGTTAAAGTATGGGAGTTACGACTGTCGTAGCGCTACGATCGCTTTGAGGAACGGGGCCCTGGACAACACAAGGATAACAAAAAGTAACATTGTTGCTTTGGTATATGTTTTATTAACAAAACAAAAAATAATAATAAACCATGAACAAATGGTGTTATCTACAATCTTAGCTTAGGCCATGATAAACTATTTATTAAATTTTCATTCCAATCCATCTGTATACAAAGTCTGGAGATCTAATTTCCACAAAAGTTTTTGCAAATGATAATCCCCAAATGCCTTCTACCTCAGCGTTTTACCAAAATTTGGATGAAAATCTAATAATTAACTCATCATAGCCTTTCAGTGGTATCTGTACAGGGTATAATGTAACAGTCTGTGTGCAAACAATGTACAGTCTGATAAATATCTGCATACATCATAAAGTCTGTAAATACAGAAAATAGATCTACTCTAATATAAGGGTAATGCTATTTGTTAGGGCATTATCATTTGCAGAAGCCCGAGGTCTTCCATTAACTGCCCGACGAAGGAGTGCAGTTGAAAAAGTCCGAGGGAAACCACTACTGGAACCTGTTTGAAAGTGCAACTAAAAATGCATTTACTTCAAATAATTATAATGTTACATGTGAATGAACTGAACTTAATGGCAGGGCTCTTATGGGATAGTATCAGGAACAGTTCTTAACCTTATGTGAATAGATACCGCTCAACTTTTGAACTTTTTAATAAAATCTATCATTCTACTGAAATATATGCTCGAAATATGAGAATCAGTTTTGTGTAGACAGCTTTTCTTCTGTATTCCAGCTACACAATGTCTGACTACACATACTGCGACTCTTAAACTTATCCATGCATGTGTTCAATGTGACATCTGAACTACAGAAATCTGTAATCTCTAAAACATTCAAAACAAAATGTTGAAATATCAAAATGAGATTCATCAGTGCTCATCTTCGTTTCATTTACCGAAACAGAAAAAAACCCGATATGGAACAAATTTCAACTCACAAAAATAAGATATTGCACATGAGTACATCATTCTGAAATGAACAGTTTAGATCATTTGTTTTTTCTCACCAGCTTGCTACGAAAGCTTTGGCCCAAGCATCAGCCTGTTTCTTCTCAAGCTGCAGGTAGTGACAGAGTAACACATTTTCACAGCCAACAGGATTTCATTATGACTAACTTCAGATGTACACATAAAATCTTAACATCATTACAATTCCTACAATTTTCTTTCAAGTTGCTATCATAAACTAGGCATTTAAATGTTGACAAACATGACATTTATGTTAATTTGACAAAAACAATAAATAACAAACAATATGAGCTTTGTGAAGACTCTACAGACTGTGGACGACGGCGCTGATGAATTCGCTGGTTGATCCATAACCACCCATGTCCTTCGTGCGGATCTAGGAGAAAAGTCAGATATTTAGACAACAAACTTAGGTTTTCACCTTCAGTTCCATCCTCTGGTATTCCGTACATCATATTTACTTGGTACAATGATTAATACCCAGGGCCATTTCCTATATGATCTGGGGCGGTGGGGTAGCCTAGTGGTTAAAGCGTTGGCTCGTCACGCGGAAGACCCGGGTTCGAATCCCCACATGGGTACAATGTGTGAAGCCCATTTCTGGAATATTGCTAAAAGTGGCGTAAACCTTACTCGATCAATCATCATCATCATCATCATCATCATCATCACCGTCACCGTCAATCATCAATCATCAGTATTTACAGGCTGCACTGATGAGAACAATTGTGAGGCAGTGTTGGGATGTTTAAGGAGACACATGTTTGTCCACTGTCAGTTTACTGCAGAAACTGATGATAATTCTACCGGCGTGCTATTCCTGGGATGCGTTGGTGTTCATTGAAAAGTTTGTAGTCTGTGATTGCCAGGATTCCTATTGAGATTCTAGGTTACAACAGTATCTGAACAAACCAGGTGGATTGGTAACATTTGGTGGTGGCAGCTGAGTGATTGTTAATATGTTCAATATGTGAATAAAGTAGTAAACATTTATCATTTATAAACAAATATCATTACATATCTTTTCATTCTGGCAGGGATTCAACATCAAGTCTGTGCAGTCGGCCGGCTGCAAGCTGAACGTGTGGGACATTGGCGGGCAGAGGAAGATCAGACCATACTGGAAGAACTACTTCGATAACACAGATGTATTGGTGAGTTATTGTTTTTCATTGTTAACTTGGAACCTGAGCAATATGAATCCCAGTTTTCCTCATTATGCTTCTTGGTTTGTCAACACCATTATTGTTGTAAACGTCAGAGACCTGCATCACTTAGTATTTCCTCCCACATGAAACTGGCACATTATTATATACTGAAATACACTTCACTATTTTAGTTAAAGTATAAGGACACTTGCTTACTTTAATTGCATCTGTGATTAATGTAAGCCAATATCAACATTGCATTTCTACTACCAATGTAAGTTTAGAACCCTAAATCCAGATGAAGCTGACTAGTCATGTGACGTTCCAAGGATACATTGTGGGTCTGTAAACATGGCAAAGGTTGCCGTGTCGCTGTTTAATTGTGAGTCGAGCTGAGACATTATATCCGTCGAAAAGCATAAACATAATGTTTCGACCAGTGATGTTAGCTGAGTGAAGCAACTGCAAACCAAGAAACGGGGTGCTCTGGAGTAGTTTACAGTAGGAGGCTTTACGATGTGACATCTGACAGGAATCGTGACGTTGGGTACCAAGGGTACGTTTGATAACAAGGGGTCAGACGACAGTGGTGAAGTGACGTCAATACAGTGTGACGTCATTCAATTTAAAAAATTGTACTTTATAGCCTGATAAAGTACCTTCGACGCCTTTGATCTTTTAGCAAAACATCTTTGAAACTGAAATACTGTTGAAAGCAACATTCAACCCAGCTCACTGTCACTGTCTTAAATATGTAGATCAGACCAGTCCCTGCAGTGTTGGTTTGCATCTTGTCAGCGTGCATTGTCAAGTTGATTGGTTAGAATCATTTTATTTTGCAGCTGTACGTGATTGACAGCAGTGACAAGAAACGATTTGAAGAAACATCAGAGGTAAGAGGCATTGTGGAATGATTGTCTTTATGTCTTATTGTTCATACAGCTCGTATCTTGATATATTGAAACATCTGTTTGTACTTTTGTCAACTCCTCGAACTTATCTCTGAAGGGTGGGGGTCATTATGAGCACCCACTTAGTGGTTGGATTTAGCGCTATATGAATTTCCAGTATTATTAATATTATCAGTTGTATTTACCAAGCGCCTAAAGGATTCTGCAGAATTGTGCAGTGAGAAATTGGTTATCATTTACCATAAAATGCTCTTCAAATGTGTGCTAAGATGTTATTTTAAAAGAAGGCAGAGGTTCATTAGAGGTTCATTTTAGTGGTTTCTTATGGCCACACCTTTTCCTGAGGGGTGTGGAATTTAAGAGTGATACATTTGGACATCTCATGTCGTTCATTGTCATTCATTTGCTGGAAACATGTGGGTGACTGTCACAGGAACTGAAGGAGCTTCTGGAAGAAGAAAAGCTGTCCGGTGTCCCTCTTGTGGTGTTTGCCAACAAACAGGATCTGCTGACTGCTGCCTCCCCATCCGAAATCTCCCAAGGAATTGGTCTGCAGAGTATACGGGACAGGAAGTGGCAGATCCAGGCCTGCTCAGCAGTCACGGGGGAGGGGGTTAAGGTAGGGAGTAGGTCTGGAGATAACACACATAGTTTTATATCTACTGTACATACCAACAATACATGGTTGATGTAGTCCATATACACGTGATATACACTGATATACTGATATGGAGTCAAACCATGATATGCAATTATCCACATTTGATACATAAGATGTACATTAACCCATTCAACACCGCAGGCCGCTTAAGCGGCCACAACGTTATGAGTCCCCAGACACCGGAGGCCGATTAAGCGGCCAGGCAGTAGTCACGTCAAAATGAGACATAATTTTAGGAACCTACCTGACTTATGATTCATATATTAAATCTATCACATTTCACAATGTCTGAAAACACTTATTAAATTTCAATTTATCATATATTATCAGCAGAATTAAAATTATAAACTATTTTTCGCAATATTATTGAAAATGATTCTCGGACACATGCTTCGGCAGCGGGTCCACAATAACATTGTCAAAGAGCAAAGTAACGATGTTTCGAGGAATTCATTAAATAAATTGAATAAACTAATGCATAAAATCAACAACAACATTCATAAGAGTTGTCAAAGGTACATATAAAATTACTATTTCCATCTTTTTGTGCGATCATGTAATGTAAGTCAAGTCACTGACAAGTGACATCTCGGCTCTCGCCGCCTCAATCTTCACGCTCGGACACGATGTTTAATGCGAAAATATATACATGAAGCATTTTTGTCATAGGTCATAACCTAGCACGATACGTCCAATAAGTTCCATAATTTACGTATAGGTAGCGATTTCTTGCTTAATATGTTCAGAATAGCATTATTTTACCCAAAACTTTTGTCTAAATCTAAAAGTTTTCGTTTACGAGGACGATATCCATTGCCGTAATATGATTGGCTGCCTTAGGTCACGTGTCTGATTTTGACCAATCACGACCCTTATAGCAGACTGTGGCGAAAAAGCGTCATTAGAAACCAATTTTTATCCAATAAAATCGCTTCTTACAACTGTGAAAATACTCTTGGCAAGGGTACAGTGATATTGTTGATGTTCAGAGCTTTCGAACGATGCCCGACATCAAACGATTCGCTTCGCATGTTATTCATACGAAGCTTCGAAAACGGAGGTATTTTCTGTTGTTATGTCATGTTACCGAGCGGAAAGCCACAGATATCGGGAAATAGGCGACCATACATATTATTTAAGAAATCTTTTTATAATAATTTTCTGATGACGTAAAAATGAAAATATAAAAGAAAAAGGCACGGGCATGTTATGACATGTCACAAATGGAAAAAAATCGCCATAGTTTTTGCTTCTTTCGTGGTTTATCTGGACATTATAAATGTAAGCTTGCATTTTCTTTCAAAAATACATTTATTTAAGTTGTAGTTGTATTATTTGAATAATATTATAAAAATAAACTTCATATTTATCAACAGTAGGATTAGATCTTTTAAATGGTGTATGGGATGTAGTAGCAATAACGTTTTGCAAGCTTATAATTTCCTTCATAAACATAGGCTTCATCTATGACCTCAGGGTCTCTGGGAACTCGGTGTCATGGCAGTAAATGCCTCTGGTTGACTGGTGTTGAAAGAGTTAATACCTATATATATATATATATGACATAGGTGTACAGTAATATTCTTACAGACCTATACAATGATGCACATTAGACATACTAGAAATATACAATGATGTGCATTGCATATTTCACACACACACACACGCACACACACAGAGAATACTTGAAAATACAATATATATGCAGCTGGAATACAACGATGTACATTTTTTATATATGAGACATGTACAATGTGGTACATGTTGCAAATGATAAAAATGTGATAATACACATTACATATAAATTAGACACACACCACCTATATAATGATACACTGAATGTATAAAATGTGATAATACACATTACACATACATTAGACACACACCACCTATATAATGATACACTGAATGTATAAAATGTGAAGAATACACAGATATATGTTGCATCAGATATACACCATATGTACACCAAATATATGTTACAACAGATATACAACAGATATACAGCGGATGTACCTCAGATGTACCTCAAATATATGTTACATCAGATATACAGCGGATGTACCTCAGATGTACCACAAATGTATGTTACATGTGATATACTCCGGATGTACCTCAGATGTACCACAAATATATGTTACATCAGATATACAGCGGATGTACCTCAGATGTACCACAAATGTATGTTACATGTGATATACTCCGGATGTACCTCAGATGTACCTCAAATATATGTTACATCAGATATACAGCGGATGTACCTCAGATGTACCACAAATGTATGTTACATGTGATATACTCCGGATGTACCTCAGATGTACCACAAATATATGTTACATCAGATATACAGCGGATGTACCTCAGATGTACCACAAATGTATGTTACATGTGATATACTCCGGATGTACCTCAGATGTACCACAAATATATGTTACATCAGATATACAGCTGGATGTACCTCAGATGTACCACAAATGTATGTTACATGTGATATACTCGGATGTACCTCAGATGTACCTCAAATATATGTTACATCAGATATACAGCGGATGTACCTCAGATGTACCACAAATGTATGTTACATGTGATATACTCGGATGTACCTCAGATGCACCCCAAATATATGTTACATCAGATATACAGCGAATGTACCTCAGATGTACCACAAATGTATGTTACATGTGATATACTCGGATGTACCTCAGATGTACCTCAAATATATGTTACATCAGATATACAGCGGATGTACCTCAAATGTACCACAAATGTATGTTACATGTGATATACTCGGATGTACCTCAGATGTACCACAAATATATGTTACATCAGATATACAGCGGATGTACCACAAATGTATGTTACATGTGATATACTCCCAGATGTACCTCAGATGTACCCCAAATATATGTTACATCAGATATACACCAGGATCTAGACTTTTGAAGCTCTCTCTTAGCTAAGATAGTAAGTAAGTGCCATACATTAACATTAATTTACAACTTTCTTAGTGCTAAGAGAGCTTTGAAAATCTGGGCTCATGTACACAACAGATCATGTTCATCAGATGTATGTTTGTTACACCAGGTATCTGATATCTGTTATTGTGTTCCAGGATGGGATGGAGTGGGTGATGAAGATGGTGAAGAAGAAATGAAGACAGCTGTCATCTAAGACAATCACTCATTATTCTGTACATGGTTAGGGTTAACTGAGGGAAGGGGGGCTCTGTCCATCTTTATGTTACCTTGAGTTACCATGGCGATGACATGTCAGTGTCACAACACATGGCACAATGAATATCAAATTGCAAGAATATCAAATTGTTATCCTGGTCTGTAGTTGGTTCTCAGAAGGGGGACGTTTAATAATGGCAGTGTATCATCTATGAACACAGGTGTGGTTACAAGGTAAAAGTGTTCTAGCACTCAACTCTCCACCGTCATAAATAAAATATTTTAAGGATTTAACTTAGGTATATGGTTATAAGTGAGTGAGTGAATATGGTTATAAGTGAGTGAGTGAATATTGCTTAACGCCACACCTCAGCAATGTTGCAGCAATTTGCGGCAAATATGGTTATAAGACGCTTACATATCACTTTAGTTTTATGAAATCACGTCCACAGTGAAGACGTTTTAGTGAAGTTGAGTAAAGCTTTGGCATTACAGCGCGACTGTTGAAAGGATGAATCATTTACAAGCTTCACAGTTGATGGTTGCTGAAATACTGGACTTTTTGTGTCACACTCATTTGGATCATTTTCAGTCTCTACTTACAAGTTTCGACTGTCAGTTATGTGTTTTTGTTCATTCCAGTTAAGAGTTTTGTATTTGTATAGCTGATGTATATTTATTATTACAACCTAATAATCAGATGATGATTGCTATATGAATGGGACGTTCTTTACTAGAGAACAGGGAAGTGGGATTGTTGTCATTCATAATCTGTGCATAATATGGACAATGTCCTACTGACAGTGTCAATAATGTTTGTGGCAGATAGGGGTGAAACGCTCTTACCACGGTACACGGTACATATTGCGGTACAAAGCCTTCGGTTCAGTCCGTTTCGGTTTGGTATATGAGAACTTACTTCCGGGAAAATAGCGGCCATCTAGAAAAGAATTTGACAAAATAATTCGATTTCTAGACATTTTAGAAAAGGTTTTAAAAGGTTAATAAATGACGGTACGAAAACTGAAAATACCAAATTTTGGATTGCATTATGGTATACCGAACCCAAGGCAAAATTCCATGATTCTACTAATACTGTGATATACCGTTTCACCCCTAGTGGCAGAAACAAATTCAATCATTGTTTTGTTCATCACTGCAATTTGATTTCACCATTCCTTGAACTAGAAAGCACTTGTTTCAGCTCAGTGCCTTTTGTCACAGAGCTTGTCAGTAACTATACGTTGTCTTACTTCAGCATTTGGATAAGAAACAGCTAGGGGTGTACAAGGTGATGGTGCATTGTGAGAATGTTATCACAGCTTCTTTATTTTAGACATTTTTATCATTGTGATACTGGTTGCCTTGGAAACAGTCCAGATGACACATATCATTCCTGCTTGTGTTTGTATCCGTCCATGTTTCTTTATCTTGAAGTGCTCTTACTGTGGTCACACTCACTAACTCAAAACTCACTGGTTGGCTAGCATTTCCCAACGTTCCCGTCCAACATATTATTTCCAACAGCATGCTGTCCATCGCTCCTGGCAGGTGAAGCGGATTAGTTCCTTTGGATGCCACAACATCCAAGCAGAATCCTGAGGAAGAGGATCAGAAAGTCTGTCAGGGGAGACAACTGGTCACTTTTTTCTTTCTCAACAAAATTTGCAAAAGCAGTGTTCAGCAGTGTTCAATAATGGATTATAGTCAAAGGGCGATTATCATGACCCAAGTAATGAATTTGAATGAAGATAATTTTGTCTTAAACACATGTGCCGCTTTTATATTCATACACTCTGAGATAACACAATTAGCCTAGTTCTCATAAGTGTTGCAATTTGTGTAAATGCCTTCTATGTTTAATATTGAGACAGAGACATTCTAACCAAACACTTGGCCTGTCATGGGCTGTATTGTGTGTACCCCACCTCAGTATAGGGATCTCTTGGTTCATATCTACCAGGGTAAAGAGTGTCCAGATGGGGATGACTGTAGGCAGAGTAAGACCCTACAAATAGAAGGCAGTAATTATAATTACAATGGAGGTGAACTGATTTGAAATAATTTATTTGACAATATATGGCTGAACAAAACAATATATCTTTTCAATATGTTTTCGAGTTTTTTTCTGTTTACCGAACAGTTTGCACTGATGCCATAAAAAAATCATCTTAACAAAGCTGCATAAAAACAATATAATTTGATGATATTTATATTCAACACTTAGCATTTCACCACTGTTTTATTTTACAACTCTCAGGACCCTCATTAGAAGGAGCTTTGCCCAGTCATCAGATGAGTGCCATACCTTGTGCCTGGTGCAAGTATCTTGTAACATCTGTACATATGAAGGGTATTTTGCAAGGGATGAAAATGAACTGTACAGTAGTTTAGAAATATAAAACAGGGCTCCGATCCATAAAGCGTTCGTAGTGTTACGACCTATCGTAGTGTTACGACCTATCGTAACAGTGTTCTTTATCGTGGGCGTACAAATGAGGATAGGATCCAGGTCTTCAGGTTTAGGTGTCTCACGTTTAGATATGTGTTTCAGCAAAGTCTGCTGTTGTCGTATGGTTCATATCCTCAACTAACTGTTGCAATGTGTAACTCCACGAAATGTAGGAATCCCGCCTTTAAACCCTTTCTACTTGTCTGTTGACACACCACTGCACAGGTTCTCTCATGTGGAACAGCATGGATTCCAGTGAATATTTTCCAATGTTCATTGTGATTAAAGAGCAAAATGCCTGCAATTTTTTTTATTAATTGTAGGGCAGAACACAACAAGATGTCCAAGTAAAACTTGTAGCTTGTCTTGTGCAGAGTGAAATGTATTTTGTCTGTCACAGCTCTACACAAGTCCCGTTTACAAATGAAATCCTTTTATTTCACAATTCATTGACTCAGGGGCTAATTAATGGAAAATATTAGAATACATCTCTACCGAGTGTTTTGAGGTGGATAAGTACACCTAACCAGCTTCCGTGGCTGAGCAATTACTGATGTAACTTGATTGTGACATCATGTTAACTGAGGATGTGACAATGGTTTGAATAGTATTATGATTCAGTTTCTTTCAACTGTGGAAGCCAGTGTTGTATGACACAAAGTTGCAGGAAGTTTTTCAAAAAGTTTCTGAAGTGTTCAGTAAAAATGCTTCTCTATTATGAAATTATCAGTTATTAAGCAAATAATCTCAAACTTTCTTCAAACTAATTGCACAGTCCTCTGTATATTTCTTCAAGCTATATATGCATGTGAATGGTATTGTTCAGATATTAATTTTTAAGATAGACGTACTATGAAAAGCGGTCCTCAAGTCCACATCCGCCAAGAATTTACTTTTGTATGTTCAACTCCAGTATAAAAAGTATCCAGTTTAAGGATGTTGTAGGGAGTGTCTGTTCTGTAGATCTGATACATTAAATTATATCTGCCTTGTTTTATTGAATTATTCCTTCAGCTACTTAAGCAATGAATTGATTTGTAATATTTTGTCATGATTCCCAGAGTCATATCGGCATACTTGATCCGTCCTGTCACCCTCTGATGACACAGAATCACTTACAATGTCCTCTGTATGTTGAAATAAATCTCACATATTCTACTGGTGACTTTTGTGGTTTTCCTGGAATGAGTGAGTGAGTTTAGTTTTACACTGCACTCAGAAATATCCCAGCTATATGGTGGAGGTCTGTAAATAATCGAGTCAGGACCAGACAATCCAGACAATCCAGTGATCAGCAGCATGAGCATCGATCTATGGAATTGGGATACGATGGCGTTTCAACCAAGTCAGTGAACCTGACCACCCAATCCTGTTAAGTAAGCCACTTACAACAAGCATGGGATATTGAACCTGGATCTTCCGCGGGGTTTCTGTTCCTTCAGTGATTTTCCTGGACAACAACGACAAGGATAGTAAAAAAGTACGACTGTCGAGCGGCTGTCACGCATTTGAGGAAACGAACCCTGACAACACAAGGATTAAAAGTAACATTGTTGCTTTGGTATATGTTTTATTAACAAAACAATAATAATAAACCATGAACAAATGGTGTTATCTACAATCTTAGCTTAGGCCATGATAAACTATTTATTAAATTTTCATTCCAATCCATCTGTATACAAAGTCTGGAGATCTAATTTCCCACAAAGTTTTTGCAAATGATAATCCCCAAATGCCTTCTACCTCAGCGTTTTACCAAAATTTGGATGAAAATCTAATAATTAACTCATCATAACCTTTCAGTGGTACAGTATTCATGTATACAGGGTATAATGTAACAGTCTGTGTGCACACAATGTACAGTCTGATAAATATCTGCATACATCATAAAGTCTGTAAATACAGAAAATAGATCTACTCTAATATAAGGGTAATGCTATTTGTTAGGGCATTATCATTTGCAGAAGCCCGAGGTCTTCCATTAACTGCCCGACGAAGGAGTGCAGTTGAAAAAGTCCGAGGGAAACCACTACTGGAACATTTGTAACCTGTTTGAAAGTGCATCTAAAAATGCATTTACTTCAAATAATTATAATGTTACATGTGAATGAACTGAACTTAATGGCAGGGCTCTTATGGGATAGTATCAGGAACAGTTCTTAACATTATTTGAATAGATACCGCTCAACTTTTGAACTTTTTAAGAAAATCTATCATTCTGCTGAAATATATGCTTGAAATATGAGAATCAGTTTTGTGTAGACAGCTTTTCTTCTGTATTCCAGCTACACAATGTCTGACTACACACACTGCGACTCTTAAACTTATCCATGCATGTGTGTTCAATGTGACATCTGAACTACAGAAATCTGTAATCTCTAAAACATTCAAAACAAAATATTGAAATATCAAAATGAGATTCATCAGTGCTCATCTTCGTTTCATTTACCGAAACAGAAAAAACCCGATATGGAACAAATTTCAACTCACAAAAATAAGATATTGCACATGAGTACATCATTCTGAAATGAACAGTTTAGATTATTTGTTTTTTCTCACCAGCTTGCTACGAAATCTTTGGCCCAAGCATCAGCCTGTTTCTTCACAAGCTGCAGGTAGTGACAGAGTAACACATTTTCACAGCCAACAGGATTTCATTATGACTAACTTCAGATGTACACATAAAATCTTAACATCATTACAATTCCTACAATTTTCTTTCAAGTTGCTGTCATACACTAGGCATTTAAATGTTGACAAACGTGACATTTATGTTTATTTGACAAATACAATAAATAACAAACAATAAGAGCTTTGTGGAGACTCTACAGACTGTGGACGACGGCGCTGATGAATTCGCTGGTTGATCCATAACCACCCATGTCCTTCGTGCGGATCTAGGAGAAAAGTCAGATATTTAGACAACAAACTTAGGTTTTCACCTTCAGTTCCATCCTCTGGTATTCCGTACATCATATTTACTTGGTACAGTGATTAATACCCAGGGCCATTTCCTATATGATCTGGGGCGGTGGGGTAGCCTAGTGGTTAAAGCGTTGGCTCGTCACGCCGAAGACCCGGGTTCGAATCCCCACATGGGTACAATGTGTGAAGCCCATTTCTGGTGTCCCCCGCCGTGATGTTGCTGGAATATTGCTAAAAGCAGCGTAGAACCAAAACTCAGGCAGTCAGTCAGTCCTATGTGATCTCCTTCAGGAAGTGACATCATCACAGTCACATACACTGGTATTCCCACTCTCGTTAACGTGGACGATGGGTCCGTGGTATTTAGGGTCCATTCATAAGTTATGGTTATGATGCTATTTATGGAGAAGCATGTACAATGTGAATCTCTCACAGTCTCTCACATGCACGCACACACATGTACAAATTAAAGCCCATTTCTGGTGTCCCCCGCCGTGATGTTGCTGGAATATTGCTAAAAGCGGCGTAGAACCAAAACTCAGGCGGTCAGTCAGTCCTATATGATCTCCTTCAGGAAGTGACATCATCACAGTCACATACACTTGTATTCTCAATCTTGTTAACGTGGACGATGGGTCCGTGGTATTTAGGGTCCATTCATAAGTTATGGTTATGATGATATTTATGGAGAAGCATGTACAATGTGAATCTTTCACAGTCTCTCACATGCACGCACACACGCACACACATGTACAAATTAAATGGACCCCCCTTCTCATAATTTTTAAGCAGAATACATTAAATTACAAAATTGATGACCCCCCTAACTCCCCATAAGAAAATGGGTGACCCTCCCTTAAAATCATCATCAACCCCCCTAGCCATATATTATGAACAGTCCCTGATGAAACTAACATGGAGATGAGACGCCTAAGTCCCCTACCTCCCCTGGAGTAATGAGGATGTTCCAGCATCAACTATGTCATTATTTATGAATAAATGAAGGGCTGGTTTTCCACCCTAAGATGACCAATCAAACAAAAGATTTTCATGATTCTAATTCAATTCATGATTAGAAATCAGGAATCCAGGAATGCTGATAAATCCAAGTAGGATGAGACAAATTTGAAATGTTCTGTCCTGTGTCTTATGATTCATGATTCTATACCCCTGTGAAAATCTGGGTTCAAATTAGTCAAGTAATCCAAGATTATATTGTCAGGCTGTCTTTTCTAACTGCATAAATCGATGCTTATGTCATTCACTGGATTGTCGGGACTTGATTACTTGCAGACCACCTAGTGTGGAGTGAGGCATTAACAGACAGCTATACTCATATCTACTGACCTTCCCACTCTTGATGACACGGGTGACAGCCTCCTCGATGAGCTTTGAGTGGTACTCCAGGTGGATGTGTTTGAGCATGTTACAGGCGCTCAGTAGGACCCCTGTTGGGTTGGCGATGTTCTTACCCACAGCCTCCGCAAAAGCATGGCGATGACAGGGATGGCACCCTGTTAACATGAAAGGGATGACATGGATAGATGGTGATGACATGGACAGAAAGTGAAGACAATAATAGAAAGTGATGAAATGGTCACAGGTGATTATATGAGCTGAGAGTGATGACATGTTCAGGAAGAGATGACAATAATGAGGTCACGTGATGACATGGACAGAAAGTGATGACAATAATAGAAAGTGATGATATGGACAGAAAGTGATGAAATGGTCACAGGTGATTATATGAACTGAGAGTGATGACATGTTCAGGAAGTGATGACAATAATATGTGATGACATGGACAGAAAGTGATGACAATAATAGAAGGTGATGAGAGAGTGATGACATGTTCAAGAAGTGATGACATGTTCACAGGATGGTGTTATGTACAGAGTGATGACATGTTCATGCTCAGAAGTGATGACATGTCACAGGGTGATGACATGTTCATGGACATGAAAGTGATGACATGTTCAGGAAGTGATGACACGGTCACACAGGGTGGTGATATGGTGAAATATGGACAGAAAGTGAAAGAATGATGACATGATATGGACAGAAGGTGATGACAGTTCAGGAAGTGATGACATGGTCACAGGGTGGTGATATGGACAGAAAGTGATGACATGTTCAGGAAGTGATGACTGGGTCACAGGGCTGCGGATACCCTCAGGAAGTATGGACAGTGATGACAAAGTGATGACATGGTCACAGGGTGGTGATATGGACAGTGAAATGTGTGAAAACATGGTTTGGGCAGAAAGTGAGGACAAAAAAGAAAGAGATGACACAAACAGGAAGTGATAACATGAACAGGAAGTGATGATACAGACAGGGAGTGAAGTAAAATGATAATGCTACTGGGCTACTCCCCTACCCTATCAACGTACACAAACCATACATGGTTAAAAAGTGCAAAATATTTTCTCTCAAGTGAGCGTCATACCTGCTCAAAGATGGCAACATCCTTGCTGTAACTCTCGCCGGGTACAACCCCTGCACCACCAACCAACCCTGCTGCCAGGTTGTCGAGGATGTTGCCGTACAGGTTGGGCATGACCATCACGTCAAACTGGTGGGGGTTTGACACCATCTGGAAGTGTCATTGAGCATGATTATAATGACATGTAATGTCTGGATTATACGAATGGGTTTTTACATCATCAGCTTCATGAGGACAGGGGTGGAAATAACCCATTGCCTGACGTCGAGTCCAGTGTTTTTTCTGTCGGGCAAGCTAATTTGCATATCACACTGTACCGGTGTCCAGTTGACTTTCCAATGTTAATTATGTTATTTATTTAAAACATCAACAAGAAAACAGCCGGTACAGTGGAAAAATTATCAGGGCAGGTGATTTTACATGTGCTACTGTACCAGAGTAAACTAGCAATTTTAAAGTTATTTCCACCCCTGGAGGAAGGGACAGACACACAGACAGACGAACTCACTGATTCACTGATTGATTGCTTACAAACATATCTGGGGGAAATGGTTTGAACCCACAATCAATAGCAGGGATGCACATAGAACTGAAGCACATTAGACGACCACAATATTACAAAAGTCACCATTTAGATCTATATACTAGTCATTACTCGTTGTCAAGTGGTAGGCTACGTCTATAAACACACATATTGACTGACTGACTGACTGAGTTTGGTGTTACACTGCTTTTAGCAATATTCCAGCAACATCACGGCAGGGGACACCAGAAATGGGCTTCACACATTGTGCCCATGTGGGGATTCGAACACGGGTCTTCGGCGTGACGAGCCAACACTTCAACCATTAGGCTACCCCACCGCCCCTATAAACACACATACAGAAAAGGAGGGCATGAATTACGTATTACATCACATACACAGTAGTCCAGCTGGGTAGCCTGTGGTCACCTAGGTAACACCCTATGTCAGTAACCAGCGTTCGGACTACTAGGGTCTGGTCTATTTGATCTTACAGTACTTGAATCTTGGGAGCAAGGGATTTTGAGGCATGAAATATCTAAGTATACAACAATTTTAGAGAAAATGACATGTTACCAAAATGTATCCTTAAATATATTTCTTTGTTGTTTATCTTGGCACATAGTGAGTGAGTGAGTTTTGGTTTTTTGCCGCTTTTAGCAATATTCCACCGGGGACACCAGAAATGGGCTTCATGCACTGTACCCATGTGGGGAATTGAACCTGGGTCTTCGGCTTGACGAGCAAACGCTTTAACCACAAGGCTACCCCACCGCCCCTCTTGGCACATAGCATTATTCTAAGCAATATGATGGTATATACACAATCGAGTCTGGGCCAGACAATCCAGTGATCAATACTGTAAACAACCATAAATGCCACTGAGGTACGTTATTAACCACATCTCTGAGTCTGAGTAAGTGACCGAGTTTAGTTTTATGCCGCACTCAGCAATATTCCATCTATATGGCGGCGGTTTGTAAATAATCGAGTCTGGACCAGACAATCTAGTGATCAACTGCATGAGCATCGATCTGCGTAATTGGGAACCGATGACATGTGTCAACCAAGTCAGCGAGCCTGACCACCCGATCCCATTAGTCGCCTCTTATGACAAGCATGGGTTACTGAAGATCAATTGTAACCCGGATCTTCATGGATCTCTGAGTCTGAGGCAGCCAGGTTGTGGAGATCCATCACAATAGCTGTAATATAACACATACCTGCATGCAGCAGTTGTCAATGATCATTGTTTCAAACTGTATCTTGGGGTAGAGAGCTGCAACCTCCTCACAACACTTGAGGAACAGGCCGTCACCAAGCTTCCTGTCATGTACCAAATATGACATGCAATGTGTAAAAATCCGGATAGCATTTACCAATTAACTAAATTTTGTACATACAGTCAAACACTGTTGTAGCAAAGTTGAACTGATCAACATAAATCCTTCAAGCTATCCAAGGTTTGACACAACCAACAAATGATGAATAAAGAAAGCAGAGGACAAGGCTTCGAGGCAACCATAAGGTCGACAGATCAAAGTTCAACAGAACAGTTTTCCACTGGTACACACTCTAGTCTTGAAAGATGGAGAAGGCAACATATGAAAAAACATACAGAGAGTAAATTGATTTGAATTAAGAGAGAAAAAAAATCATCTACTAGATATAACTTGTGTGAGATCAAGTCAGATCTGTTGAGATTTTTTGCTAAAATGCAATGGAATTTGATGTCATGGTTACCATGACAACAGAGTCAACTGACATCACTTATCTCTGCAGCACTAAAGCTGGACAGATAATGGGCTTCTACTAGATATATCACTTGTGTGAGATCAAGTCAGATCTGTTGAGAATTTTTGCTAAAATGCAATGAACTTACAATGAGTTAACAGGCCATTGTGATGTCACTGGTTACCATGACATCACAGTCAACTGACATCACTTATCTCTGCAGCACTAAAGCTGGACAGATGTACTTCTTAGAAGACTTATGACTATTTACAAACATGAGTGAGTGAGTGAGTGAGTATGGTTTTACGTCGCTTTTAGCAATATATACCAGCAACAACACGGCGGGATCACCAGCTTCCACAAACTTAAAATAGGAAGAATGACTTTGGATGATAAAGAAAATCACACTCATGTGTGTTTTGACACCATGAAGTTCATTACGCAACTCACATGATGTTGGCTTTGTGAACTGCTGTGACCTTCTCCCTGTTGTGACGGAGGGCGTAGTCAAAAGCAAACTTGGCGATTCTCATGGATTTTTCTCTGGTGATGATCTTGAGACACTCGATCACTCCTTCGACACTCTGAACACAAGATTTACACAATGAAACTAGAGATTAGCATCCTATTCAATTGTGACAAATCTTCTCTGATCCACATTTCAGCTACCTTTGTCGGTATGACTATGAGCATGTGAGAAACACAACTTGTACAACAAGTAAACAAGGTGATGAAATGTACTTAAGATAATAACAAATGGTGGGTCACTTTAACCATATATAGTTGCCAACATGTAGTATGTCAATGTAAAACGTGATAGTAGAGTGATCTCCCTTGGCTCCAGTGTAATGACTGCCATGCTAACCACATGGTTCAGAATTAAAACACCGTTTACATTGATGTACTTGTTGCTAAGACTACCTCAAACAATAACCCTGAAGTAGTAATCCCTGCCAACCAAATATTTGGTAAGAATCTGGTATTTGATCCTGACAGTGAAGGGAGGCAACTCTGCAGTTTGTTGCCATGGCGATGTTCTCTGGTGATGTGACACAAGCTTGGGATCACCAAGTTGAGACAAGCTTTGGATATGACCTACTTAGCTCATCATGGTGAAACAAGTGTAGGATTTCACTCATCTAACTTACCATAGTGTGAAACAAGCTCGAGAAATGACCAACTTATGGGAGGCAAGCCTTGGACATCACCTACTTCAGTCATCATGGTCAGACCAGGGGATATGACATACTTAGTTACTGTCCCATGATGAGACACAGTTTGTGCCACCCACCTCATGCTCCAGCGCACTGTATTACCCCCCTCTGTCTGTTCACTTATGATGACAAAATCCAGGTTGTTGTGGCGGGTCTTGTAGCCCGGCAAGCTCCTCACCCACACCACATTGGCAAACAGATCCAACTCTCGTCTATCACCAGAAAACAATATGATAACAGGGATGAAGAGATACAATGAATAAAGAAAATGAACAGAATTCAACAATATTTCAGCTACAAGACAGACGTCTGTAAGTAACAAGGTAGGGGATCAGACAATGAGAAGAGCTACTGATATCAAAACAATCACACTCAATCCACCTGACCCAGATAGTCACCTATGTTGACAGTTATACATTACCAAGATTACCAGCAACCTTCTCCAACCAGGTGAGGTGAGGTGAAATTGGGTTTAACATCGTGCTTGAGAATATTTCGCTCATATGACGACGTGCATGCATGTGTATGTGCAGCTGCTTGCCCAGACTAAGCTGGTTTAATAGTGCTAGCCCACTGAGATACCATGCCGCAGTGAAGCATGAATACCCAACTCAGACACATTATACTGACTCCGAGCCGACCAGTCCTTGTTGTACCCATTAATGCCGAGCGCCAACAAGTACCATATTTTAACGTCTTTTGGTTTGATGTGGTCGGGGATTGAACCCACAGCCTTCTGCTCTTCGGGCGGACGCTCTAGCCACTACACCACGGAGGCGGTCTAACCAGGAATCATGAGCTATCCAGTTATCAAAGCAAAAATGAGAGAGGACCATGGTTACTAAGCACCTAGTCTAACCAGGCATCATGAGCCATCCAGTTATAATAGTAAGAAATGGAGATTACTATGGTTACAATGGTTGCCATGGTTACTTGGAACCTAGTCTTACCAAGAATCATGAGTTATGAGCAAGAAAGAAACATATATGACCATTTTTGTCTGTCAATATGTCTGTCAAAAAATGCAAAAGGTTATACAACTTCCATTTCAGTGAGTTACACTCTTATGAGTATTCTGGGTGTGATGACAAAGATACAGGTAGGTATGCTTGTTTGCTGTCTCCTAGCAACACGCTCAGCTATGTTCAACAGTCTGTAAATAATCGATTCTGGACTAGGCAATCAAGCGACTGACATTATGAGCATTCATCCATGTAATTAAGATACTATAACGTGAAATCTGTAGTGATACACTGAAAGGAAAGGGTAGGTAACTCTACCTTAGCCTCATGTTGAGTGTACGCAGTACTCCGCCCTTGAAGCTGCTAGGTGTTGTGATGATGCCCTTCAGCCCGACGCCGTTCCTTACAAACGACTCAATGGCTGTCGAGAGACTGGCACTCTGCCCGGGTTGAACTTCACTGGGAAAGAAAAAATAAAAATAAATTCTGCATATGTAGCTATAAGATATATAATCACCTCAGCAACAACGTCTGGCACTTTTATCTCTGCCATGACAACTTGTTTTCTTGTAAAACAGACTTTGTTACTCAATATGCAATGTCAGAGGAAAATTAAAGAAGGTCACCCAAAAGACAAGGTGAGGTGGGGTGAAATTGGGTTTAACGTCGTGCTTGAGAATATTTCGCTCATATGACGACATGCATGCGTGTGTATGTGGGGCTGCTTGTACTAGCCCAGACTTAAGCTGGTTTTATAGTGCTAGCCCACTGAGATACCATGCCGCAGTGAAGCAGGAATACCCAACTCAGACACATTATACTGACTCCAAGCCGACCAGTCCTTGTTGTACCCATTAATGCTGAGTGCCAGGCAGGGACCAACAAGTACCATATTTTAACTTCTTTTGGTATGACGTGGTCGGGGATCGAACCCGCGACCTTCCACTCTCCGGGCAGACGCTCTAACCACTACACCACGGAGGCAGTCTAAAAGACTAGACAACAGTGTCAAGGGTGCTGTAGCCTGTGCCATGAATCCACTTAGTAGTCACTGTTGTGAATAATACTGACCTAAGTTACAAATATCGGAGAATAAACTTGAGTAATTCAATATGGATTTGTTGACACTATTTCCGATGACTGATCACAATGAAAAGATGAGCGAAGGTTGGGGTGTGTGTGTGTGTGTGTGTGTGTTTGGGGTGGTGGTGTTGGCTTATCTATGAGACCTTCTGATCTATGGTAATACATGGTAATAGTTTTCTGATGTCCTTGTGCACAACAGATATATTCACTTTGTTTAACTTTGAGCATCATGAATCTTCTGAACAGAATGTTTCTAACAACATACATTTCTAACTGTTTTGTGAAAATACAATAAGAACCTAGCTTTTTCATAAAATATGACGTCATCATATGGAAAACCAATTAGAGCTAGGACTAGTCTTATTATGGTATCAAATATGGTTCCCCCTCCTCTCCCCCCCAACCCCCATTTTATGTAAGATGTATTCAGGGTCTCCTGAAAATCAGATTTAAACCTCTTGAAAACATTCAGATTTTATCACTGGTGGAAACAAACACATGAAATTATTGTCTTAATTTCACTGTGATGAAATGCAATTTGAGAGAATTTGAAAAATTGTGCAAACTTTCAGCCAATGTAAAAATTCATAATATCACATGTAACAGATCACACACATCAAGCCCTAGTACTAACTACACAGAAACAACCTTCATGATTCTTTGAACCAAACTGACCAAGTAATCACCATATAACATGTAACATGGCAGCTATTGCACTTGTGTTTTAATTATTGCAATACCTGAGGAAGATCTCCTCAAAGTCCACCGGAACACCAGCAGCCTGAAACACGTCCAAGACGCCGCCCATCATCTCTGGGCCGAGGCCGTCTCCGGGCACCATTGTCACAACATGGCGACCAGCTGGCTTCGATACTGGCTCCGGGATATTCTAGACATTCAAACACACTTTAGTAGGGAATAAAGTGTGACAGAGCATTTAAACAAGAGAAACTAAAAAAATTTATTCAAGCGCAATAAACAGTGAATGTGTCAGTGCTATGTTTTTATTTGTGGGAATTACAGCCTAAATCTATGAAGAAGTGTTTGTAAATTAGTTTCAAATCTGATTGTTTCATACTCAAATCTGATTTGTGATTTCTTTCTGACACGCTAACTGTTACAGTTACTATGGTTACACAGGGTATTCCAAAGTTTTCTCTCCCTTTGCGCAAACATTCTGCATATTTAACCTCTCTTTATTCTAAGTCTGTAGACAGTATTATTGTTTTGAGTCAACAGGATAAATACTTGGCCCCAGTCTAGTTGCAGAAATGCAAAATTTATTCTTTCATATCCATTAAATAGTAATTTACCTGACTTATCTTTAATATCGGTCTGTACGCCATAATAGTCTCTTTAGTCAACAGCATAGATCAGGCTGGTAAGGGACTGTTCTTAATTTATGACTAGGGGGTGTGATGATGATTTTTATGGAGAAGCATTTACAATGTGAATGACGCGACCTAACATTTATTAGATTTGTAACTCATCTGTCTTGTCATTCATTGTAGCTTGCTCATTGTTTGCTCAATATATTATTGAATATTTTAGCCTTGTCTGTGTTCTATTTTGCTGGTTCAAAGGGGACTCTTAAACCTTTTGTCAAGGTAACTTATTAACCATAACAAAATAGAAATGTCAGTTGTGTGCAACAAGAATTCTAAGAGACCTTTAGTAGCTTCAATTATGTGAACTGTCAGGTTGCTTGTGTACCTCCAGCACTCACAACTTACATATCTGCGTCCATCCTCAGTTTGCATAAGACAAACACAAGTTTAACCCTGCAGTTCAGGTCCACTAGTTACCATGGCAACAACAAATTTGTAAAACTAAGGGACATTAGGGCTGGCTCAAAAGATCGATAATCAGAAATGTGAAATGCGCTGAATTCTTTCAGATATTTAAGTCACTTTTGCTCGAAGTTACTTCTCTGATATTTAACAATAATCAATCGAGATACATTTAACGATGATCATCTCTATGATCTGTATCAATAGCCAGCCATACCATGGTAACAACAACATTGTAAAGCTATGACATGCATGATCATAATGACACTGGTGTAACAACACATACCACATTTTTGTGAGGGGATGGAGTCGATGTGGTAGCCATTGCTGGCAGGAATTTTGCTTGCACTAGGCTGTGACAACAAAAATACAAACAACAAAATGAAATCATTACAGACTACAGAATACAAAATAAAATATAAGATGGCTACAACAAACATCACAATACCTGGTTATATATTGTTGAACATACTGAAGCTGATTTGTAAATTTACATTGATTGCAAAATTGCATTATAGTCTTAATTTGATTCAGTGATTCAGAATCATCAACGACAACAATTATAATGTGTGTGTGAACTTAAGTGTGTGTTGTTTATCAACGCACTCAAACATATTTCAGCTATTTGACTTTTGCCTGTAAATAACTGAGTCAGTTCAGTGACTGAATATAAGGCCAAATAAAAAAAAATGTTGTGGTTCCGAATACATCTCTATAAACTTTAGGGTAGGTAGGTAAATATTTTTTTTACATTTTTTTAGAAATAAAATACAAACTAATAATACATTTATCAATGTGAAATTGTTTATTTAATCAAGCTTGCGGCCATCATGTCAACTTTGTATATCAGAATGACCGATGACCGTCAGTGCCAGGAAAACAAAATGGTATCTGAACGCTGATTTTATTCATACCGCTTGAAAAAAAAGGGTCGGCACCAGAATTCAAGGGTCGGTCGGGTAATCGGAACCACAAAAAAAATTGTTTAGGCCTAATGAGCAACACCATGCCATCTGGGTATATTGACACTTAATCAACATGTAGGTTGCTGGGGTCCAATTATAGCCCAGAATCAACACAATAAACAACAGCAGCAGCAACATCAACTCCCAATCACATAATTTCTTAAAATGTTTAGCCAAATATCATAATTAATTCCTAAGACATGAGTAATAAGGAAATTAATTCTTCCGAATTGATCCTACAACAGAAAGATTAACATGCTCATTTATATTTTCAGTTTTGGGCATCTATATGTACTAAGCTTTAGACTCATTGGAGGTACACACAAAAGTTCAATACAAACAGAAATGTAACTCAAACTGTGCAGAATCGTTCAGTGATCTCATGCCCATGAACTGTCATAAAACGTGCATGGTTACAATGTCAATGTCAAACTGTCCGTCTGCAATTCTGCCAAAAAGTTCATCAAATACGAATGTGATCTGCAAAATACCTCATGACGAGATACATTAGACGCCACTGAACAAACGAGTCACGGCAATTATGGATAAACTCACATTGCTCAGAGCCCGCAAACTTGAGACCAATGTCTTTCCGATGTTCAAAGTCGTGGATAACCTCGTGGTAGCCATGATTGTATCTGTGACGTCATAAGGGGATTTCCAGAAATGAGCATAAAGTATATATTTTCATTCAGAGTTAATGAAGCACACTTTTAGCGATAAGCAAATTGTTTGTTGTGGTACAAATTAAGGTATATATTCTTATCATTGTGTATTCTGCAAAACCAGCGTTACATTTTCACTTTTAGAGTAAGTACATGTTAAATGAAAGCCATAAGAAATAAACGGTCCCCATGAAGTGACCCTATTTATTAAACTGGTGTCCAAGTCTTCACGTTCGGCGCCTATTTGTGATATGTGGAGACAGCACCAAGCTCATAACCATTCTAACAATCAAGCAACCTGTGGAAAGGCGCTACCCTGTGCAGAAATCTGTGACAGTAGTATCAGCTGATATCTCTTTATTAAGAAGCTGTACAAATAAATACAGAAATGTTTTTAAAAACTAAATTGCAGTATCTGAGAAGAATAGCCATAGTTTTGAAGAATCAGGTATGACTGTCATTTTGCATTAAGATAGTACATTGGAGTATTTGTTTTAAGTATCGATACGTTTGACAAGACAAAAGTTTACAGTGCAAGCCTGACATTCTCATTTCACTGATATTGTTTTCCTTTAATTCTTAGTCCATGAGTCCGATCTGTATTTTCATAGGGTTCAATAATCTTCTAGTTCTACTTAAATTAGACCTTATCTGTGTAACTGATTTAGGGTTTGGTGCTTTGTGTAAAATGAAATGGCCAGATAAATGATATATGTCAATATATTAATTGCAGACAAATTCATGTCGAAGAAGTATTACCTCATCAGGTGTGCTACTGAAACATGACGAGTCACATGAACATCCCATCAGCCGATTCCCTGTACCCGATGTCAAGGAGTTGCCAGAGGATCTCAGGGAAAAGTTTGGAAAGGTCAGTCAGTATGAGTGAGTGAGTGACTTGATTTTTTATTCTCTTTACAATATCACAGCAATATCACTGTGGGGGACACCAGATATGGGTTTCATTTGCCCATGCCCAGAATCTTTGGCGTGATAATAATAATAATAATAATAATAAATGGATAATGCGCCATAACATCCAGAGCATCTTTGGCTTGATGAACAAACACTTTAACCACTTTTTACTCAGGCATTGCTAATTTGAGTTAATGAATTTGGTTTACTGCCACTTTGAACAGTATTCCAGTCATATCACAGTGTGTTAGCTTTATGTGGGAAGAAAACCTGAAGTGATGATGTTTACTATGCTTATGATACATACATAATGTTATTTAATTCAACTTGATTCTGATGTGTAGAATCCGGGAAGATCCGGGTTACAATTGGTCTTCAGCAACCCAAGCTTTTCATAAGAGGCGACTAACGGGATTGGGTGGTCAGACTCGCTGACGTGGTAGACACATGTCATCATATCCCAGTTGCATAGATTGATGCTCATGCTGTTGATCACTGGGTTGTATGATCCAGACTTGCTTATTTATAGACTGCTGCCATATAGCTGGAATATTGCTGAGTGTTGTGTAAAATTGAAACTTACTCTGATGTGACGTCTGTGTTTACTGTAGGTTACAGCACTCTGTCTGGTTGTGTGGTGTTTGGTTTGATGATTGTCTTGTTTGCTATTTTCCAGTCAAAATTTCTACCAAATGTATTTGGCGCTCTGTCATATCGACCTGATGAACTGCGAGCATTTATCAACTACCACGAAGTGCTGATGAGAGACAGTAGTAAGTAGTTGAAGCATATCATGTCAAGAGTACTACTTGGGGATAACTTGTCTTCTTGTAGATACAGACCCGTGAAGATCCGGGTTAGAATTGATCTTCAGTAACCCAAGCTTATCAAGAGGCGACAAACGGGATCAAGTGGTCAGGTTCGCTGACTTGGTTGACACATGTCATCGTAATTTGCAGCTGCATTGCATAGATTGATGCTAATGTTGTTTATCACAGGATTGTCTGGTCCAGCCTCGATTATTTACAGACTGCCACCATATATCTGGAATAGCTGTAGCATCTTATGACAAGCATGGGTTACTGAAGACCACGAGGTCTGCAAAAATGTCAGTTCACATGAACTTACTAGCCAAGTGAGCTGAAAGGTTTTTCGGTCCTCTTTAGCTGTGAGACTGACTGACTGACTGAGTTTGGTTTTACGCCGCTTTTAGCAATATTCCAGCAATATTCTGGGACACCAGAACGGACTTCACACATTGTACCCATGTGGGGATTGAGAACCAAGTGAGCTGAAAGCTTTAACCATTAGGCTACCCCACCACCCTTAGCTGTGAGAACCTTTATGGGATAAGTTATATTGAACCCTAAATCTTCATTCGAAATAGAAACTCAAATGAATTAAGTTGTAATTTATTTTTTTTTTTGCTCATATAATCCTTCACTGATGAGTTGTCTGATGGACTTTTCATACCCAGGTAATTTGACTAAAGCAGACAAGGAGATGATTGCTGTGGTTGTCAGTGCGGACAACCAGTGTCTGTATTGTGTGGCTACTCACAGCGCCCTCTACAGGCTCCACTCACGCAACCCTGTCTTGGCAGATCAGGTAAGCCATGGCTCAATTGTGATTTGGTATGCAATATTCCCACCATGTCATAACGGGGATGTCAAGAGCTGACAAACATGGTACAATTAAACAAATATTAAGAATTATTACTCAAGGCTGTTTCCCCAAAAACAGGGCCCTTATTCTCAAACGTTCCGTAGCCCTAAGAATTCTAAACTTTGATCGTAGCCAACATGTTAAGAATGGGCTTAACAAGTTCGTAGGGCTACAAAAGCCAGGTGGGTAGCAAGCCAATCTTTTCGTGTAAGCCCAATAGGTTGCAAAGCTATATATTTAGATATTATTGAGGGCTTGTACAACCTTTTTAGCAACAACATAACAGTGTAAGCTTCTGAAAACAGTTGTTTTTCTATAACAGTAGCTATGCCCCTGAAAACAGTTGTAACTGTAAAACACGTTTATGTTAAAGTATGGAGTTACAATCACCCCCATGCTACGATCACTTTATTGAATGGGCCGCTGAGGTGATAATTTTCAATATTTGTCTAAATACGAAAATCAAATTATTTGTGGTTAGTGTGGTAACAGGGCCTGTGATATTAGTGGTTGAGTTGAGTGAGTATGGTTTTATGCCACTTTTAGCAACATTCCAGCAATATCACATCAGGGGACACCAAGAAATGGGCTTTACACATTGTACCCATTTGGGGAATCTACCAAGGGTCTTCAGCATGACTAGTCTATGCTTTAACCACTAGGCTACCCCACCGCCCCTAGTTAAGACAATGTTGATAATGTTTTAGGACTATTCCTGGTAGTGTGATCCACCGATTTTTCTGGCCTAGACTTGATATTATAGAGGACAAAGTTGTAGTGCTCTCTGTAGGGCTGCTTACAATGGTCACAACTGTCTGGATGGTTGTTCTGAGGTTTCTATGGTAACGACAGTCAGGATGGTTTCTCAGCAGTTACAGTTACCACGGTAACTGCAGTCTGATTGATTATTGTTACAAAGGTAACTACTTATTTTATTGCTGTGGTGCTGTTACCATGGCAACTACTCTCAAGATTTGATGATGGTCCACCCCTTTCTTCCAGCTGTCTACCAACTGGAGAATGGCAGATCTGGACATACGACAGAAAGCAATCCTGGACTTCGCTACCACTGTTGCCGAATGCCACTCACCAGCAGACGAGCAGTTCGAGCGGCTGTACGAGAATGGCATGAACCATGATGATGCCTGGGATATCGGGTCACTGGCATCCTTCCTGAGCATGTCCAACAGACTAGCTCACTTCCTGCGCGTGAGACCCAACCCAGAATTTTATTTAATAGGTCGAATTCCAGCGGCTGAAAAGAAAGACAAGTGATAGTTGGTAGTGGGTGCGGTGTGGTTGGACTATCTGAATAATCGGAACTTCCCAACAAAGATTCAGGCTCACCAGATTTCCTTAAACAGATGTATTTCACTGACTATTTTCTGATGATAACACAAGTTGCAAGTTTCTAATTATTACAATGTCTCTTGTTTTGTTTTAAGATTTGAACAGAAAGAAAATATTTATAGGATGGAGGTTTCTAAGAATATAAGTTTGACCTGTTGAGAACAAGTCTTCTGCTGTAAATTGATGAGTGAGTGAGTGTGTGTGAGTGAGTGTGTGTGTGTGTGTGTGAGTATGGTTTTATGCCACTTTTAGCAATATTGCAGCAAAATCACAGTGGGGTACACCAGAAATGGGCTCCACACATTGTACCCAAATGGAGATTTGAACTCGGGTGTTTGGCGTTGTGAGCCAACGCCTCAACTTCTAGGCTACCCCACCGCTCCTGTAAATTGATGAAAAACCATAGAAAATGGCAGTAAACTGATAGGTTCTGAAACTGGGAGTCAGGCATACTCATCATGAGTTGGCAAGATGTAGAAGTATATACACTGAGGAGATGTGACTGGCTGATACTAGTTTATTATCCCCAGCCACGAAGTGGGAGGGGGATATTGGTTTGAACTCCGTCCATCTGTCCATGTCCGAGATGATGGGGACAGATTTTCTCAAAAACTGTTATAGATAGGGAAACCAAATTTGGTATGTGTTTTCAGGACATGAATGCCTTGATGGAGTTCCAAAATGGAAACCATGTTACGATTCTTTACAGAGTTATGGCCCTTGTCATGCGTTTCTTGACAATGCACGTTATCCCCAATGGGAACAGATTTTCTCATTTAACAGCTAATGTACCGCCATTTGCAGGAAGAATGAATAGTTGTCAAAATAGGAACAGAACACTGTGGCAGGGGATATTGATGACCATGTCTTCTTGTGTTTTGGTGGCACTAGAGACATCAGTTCAAGGTCATATCTGTGACAAAATGCTGAGTCAGCGGTTACAGCTACCAAATCAATATTCCTCTGATGCTGCTATCCTGTAGACTTGGAAACAGAGTGTGTCACATACATAAGATGCCCACATGTTAGAATGTAAGAAGTTTGAGAATTGAATTGTCTCTTCTGCTTGTTGTAGAACGTATTGTGTAGATGTGGTCTGAAGTGTAAATCTTATTCCAAATTCATAGTACTGTCAATATGTGTATAGGCAAGAGACACTCACAAGGTTGAAGCAGCTCTTCTGTATTGTAGTTGCATGACAAGTGCGTGTACTAAACATTCTCAAAGAGTGAGTGAGTTTGGTTTTACGCCGCTTTTAGCAATATTCCAGCAACATCACAGTGGGGAACACCAGAAATAGGCTTCACACATTGTAGTATTGTACCCATGTGAGGATTCGAACCTGGGTCCTCGCCGTGACGAGCCAACGCTTTAACCACTAGGCTACCCCACCGCCCCATTCTCAAAGAAATAATAAGTATTGTGTTCAAATGATGCACTATATGAGGCATTAGGAATGACAAGTCTTTATGGATGATCAACTTCTTTATTGTACAATAGCAATGTTTCGGTATAGATACTTATACCGTTTTCAAGTCATTATTTGCAAAATACCACAAACAATAAAAGAAACTCAAGAATGTATAATGACTGAGGACAGTTTATTTTCACACATGGCATGGAGGCCGATTCAGAATATTGAAAATACATAACCAAGTGACAAATAGCCTGGGCCGAGGGCCAGTTAACATGAAAGGTGTCTGAAGGAAGTGGAGTTGTACACCCTCCTCTGGATCGGTCCGTTGTTACTAAACATCAATATTTACAGAAAGGCGATCCTAAACAAACCCTTTGATTGTTGTTTCCCAATGACTATTATCACTGATTGTGACCAGGCAGGGTTCGATTTATGGAAATGTACAAATTCTCTGAGAGGCATTTAGAACATGGAGCAGTAAGGAAGGATAACAATATATGGATGACTAACTATATTGCAGTGAGAGGGACGTTTCACTTTCAGTGTAGGCTCTAACACCGTTATCAAGCAAGCTTTTCTATCCTCATGCTGTTCATCACATACTTGATAACGGTGTTAGAGAGTACACCAAAACATTGCTCTCACTGCAATAAAACATGAGTGAGTGTGGTTTTACGCCGCTTTTATAAATACTCCAGCAACATCACGGCAGGAGACAGGAGAAATGGGCTTCACACATTGTACCCATGTGGGGAATTGAACCCGGGTCTTCGGCGTGACGAGCGAACGCTTCAACCACTAGGCTACCCCCCGCCCCTGCAATAAAGAATTTGTTCATCCATATGTTGTTATCCTTCCTTATGGAAATGAAACCTTGTACCCATTTCAACCTTGCGTAATAACCTAGTTGCACCAAACAAAAACAGGTTGCACCTGCTGCTCAATACAAAAATATACATAATGCTTGATTTTTGGTATTGATGATTTAGAACATCATAATAATGAAATTACATGTGTATTCTGTATCTGATGGATCATATTATCTTACAGGGCTCGATTTAATGCTTTGTTACTTGCACTGGTGCAACCCAAAATTACAAAGTGCAACCTAGTTATTAGTCTAACTTGCACCAGGCGCAAGTCAATTTTTGAGTGGGTAACCTTATGAATAAAACATCAAAATAATTCAATAGCATATTTCTGATATTACATATTGCAATAAAAACAGTACAACTGGAATTTGACTGGTGCAAGTAGGTTTTTATCTTAAGTTGCACCTGGTGCAAGTAGGTTAACATCTCATAAATCGAGCCCTGTCTTATTTCATTCAACTTCATGACATGAACACTCATTCAATCACTGCCTGTGTAGTCATCAGTCACTGCTCCCAGACAGTTCATCATACTGTTTTCCAGCTGAAGTCTGTGCTCTTTGAACATCAAAATATTAACATGCAGGGGTGCTAGTTGGTATAAATAAGAGGTTGCATTTTGTAGTTTCAGGTTGCACTTCATGTAAGTTCCAAATGCTTAAACTTAAAGGAAGTCTTGTCAGGTAATGGGTTGTGTTTTAATTAGATGTGGTTGGGTGTGAAATGGTTTGGACCACTGTAAGAATATGACCATGCCTTTATTAAGTCAATCCATAATGAAATACTTTGATGCAACAGGGCTGCAGATAATTTTTCAACATCAGGAGTACGTACTCCTTATTTTTTCAATATAGGAGTACTGGAAAAACTTAAGAGTACATTTAGAGTACAGAATGGAAATTAGTAATCAGTATTCTTGTGTTTCGTTTGGTATATGCACCACAACATTGCTACTTTTGTGTAAACAGGCCAATAAACAATAAAACAATACTTTTTCATATAAATATGTCTGTAAATGATTCATACATCATTGCTGTGGTGCATATCTGCTACGTTTTCGAAATTATTTCCTATCGTATCGTGCATATTTTTTATCCGTACATACGTCGATACGGCCCTTATCTGGAGCCCTGATGCAACTTTGTATGTTGAATGCAAATTTGTACCGCAGTAAACAAATTTCCCACATATATTTCACTTCTACCAATGAAAACGATGAAAGGTTGACACGAAATCAAACTGAAAAGATTTCCAGTAAACACGGTATTACTACTGTGGGCATGTCCAATATTTCACTTGATTCTTACCCCAGTGATTACCTTTATACTAGGTTAAAGATTTTTCATATAATTTCTTTCTTTTATGAGTCCATGATCTCAATCTTTACACTCAACCCCATACATAGTAATTAGGGCTGGGACGGGTAACCCGGATACCCGGGACGGGTGGGTAATGAGTTGAACCCGGGTACCCGTCTCAATACCCGGACTCGTTATGATCACGTGACCAATAGATTATACAATGTAATATGTTATTCTTTCATGATCAAATGGTTGTGTTGACTTTGAAGATTTAGACATAATTTACAGTCACCTGTTTTGAATATAATACATGGTTAAGAGATTGAAAAACTCAAAATTTTAGCGTTAGAGCTGAAGAATATATTGCCATTTGTTACAAAATTGATGTCAGGAATTAACATAACAGGTATCCGGGTAGGGTAGGGTAATAGGGGGTGGGGTACCCGGGTAGACAATTTGGACCCGTCCCAGCCCTAACGGTAATGTCTCCATACATACAGAAAGAAAATGAGATGGGAAGTATACCGACCAAAGCTGTTAGGATGTGAGTTTCTGTTTTGAACTAATGCAGACGCAGACTGTAAGATCTAGACATGAGACCAATGTTTTGTCTTGTTTTATGGATGGGTCTCTGAGACTACTTCACACAGGTTTGTATCCACAGTTTTCCTCCATCACCCAAGGATTCAAAATGATATTTCTGGGATAAAATAATTCGTCAACTAATTACAAAAAGCTGTGTATATTTCAGGGAGGCCATATGAGATGGGTGATCTTTGAGTGAACCCCACCATTGCTGGACACATGTAGATTAGACGTCGACAAGGCTCTGGGCATGTTGCACACAGAGTCATACAAGAAACTTGGTTGCTAGTGCAGACATCTGCAAAGTTCTTGCACATGTTGCACACAAAGTCATACAACTTGGTTGTTAGTGCAGACATCTGCAAAGTTCTTGCACATGTTGCACACAAAGTCATACAAGAAACTTGGTTAGTGCAGACATCTGCAAAGTTCTTGCACATGTTGCACACAAAGTCATACAAGAAACTTGGTTGTTAGTGCAGACGTCTGCAAAGTTCTTGCACATGTTGCACACAAAGTCATACAAGAAACTTGGTTAGTGCAGACATCTGCAAAGTTCTTGCACATGTTGCTACAAAGTCATACAAGAAACTTAAAGTGCAGACATCTGCAAAGTTCTTGCACATGTTGCACACAAAGTCATACAAGAAACTTGGTTAGTGCAGACATCTGCAAAGTTCTTGCACATGTTGCACACAAAGTCATACAAGAAACTTGGTTAGTGCAGACATCTGCAAAGTTCTTGCACATGTTGCACACAAAGTCATACAAGAAACTTGGTTAGTGCAGACATCTGCAAAGTTCTTGCACATGTTGCACACAAAGTCATACAAGAAACTTGGTTAGTGCAGACGCCTGCAGTTCTTTGCAACATGTGCACACAAAGTCATACAAGAAACTTGGTGTTAGTGCAGACATCTGCAAAGTTCTTGCACATGTTCACAAAGTCATACAAGAAACTTGGTTAGTGCAGACATCTGCAAAGTTCTTGCACATGTTGCACACAAAGTCATACAAGAAACTTGGTTGTTAGTGCAGACATCTGCAAAGTTCTTGCACATGTTGCACACAAAGTCATACAAGAAACTTGGTAAGTGCAGACATCTGCAAAGTTCTTGCACATGTTGCACACAAAGTCATACAAGAAACTTGGTTAGTGCAGACATCTGCAAAGTTCTTGCACATGTTGCACACAAAGTCATACAAGAAACTTGGTTGTTAGTGCAGACGTCTGCAAAGTTCTTGCACATGCTGCACACAAAGTCATACAAGAAACTTGGTAAGTGCAGACATCTGCAAAGTTCTTGCACATGTTGCACACAAAGTCATACAAGAAACTTGGTTGTTAGTGCAGACATCTGCAAAGTTCTTGCACATGTTGCACACAAAGTCATACAAGAAACTTGGTTAGTGCAGACATCTGCAAAGTTCTTGCACATGTTGCACACAAAGTCATACAAGAAACTTGGTTGTTAGTGCAGACGTCTGCAAAGTTCTTGCACATGCTGCACACAACAGCAAATAAGAAACACTGCTGCTAGCACTACATAGCCTAAACACTTGGTCCACAGATTCTCTCTCGATAATTCATTAACTATGTTACAGCATATTTACGTATTCACCTCTGATCGAAAAACATAATGTATACAAACCCTGAAGTATTGATGAAGCTTTTAATGATATTCCACCAATATTGCCACAGAGGCTCCCAAACATTGCTTTTACATGCTGTACTCATGTGGAAAATCAAACTATGGACTTGGGCTAAACCAGTGAATACTTTCACCATAAGACCCTTCTGCCCAATGATCCAACAACTTGAATATCTATGCAGCATCTCAATCACACAGAAAAAACTGGTGATGAAGAGTCGAAGACAGTGTTCATAACATAACATAATACATGAGGGTATAATCTTAACAATTTAAACGTCATGATTTATGATTTGAATCTAGGGCTGCAACGATTCTGTTCGATTCATTGAAAATCGAATCTGACACCTTAGATTTTTGATAACCATATCACCATTTTGATTTGATATTTGAATATATATTTAAATTATTTCCACACAGCAAGAATGTAATTTTGACTCCAACTCGAGCAGTTTCGAGTGCTGAAATAAGGCGAAACGTGATTGGTTGAACTGGGCTAATTATCCAATGAGAATTGTTGTTGGTAGACATCGCAAAGTTGACTGTAGAGTTCACACTAAAAAGCTGACTCACTTGAACTCTGAGAGGTAAATGAAATCTGATGTATTTACTTGTATGAATCGAACCGAAAGTGATCGAATCGAGGGTCTAATATGGAAAATTATTTCATACTTAGAGGCAGTTCTTCACTATGTACACACTAGTATTTGACAATATGACCATGAACTTAAAAATATTTATCCTCATAAAACTGTAAACAATATGTATCTGAGAATCATGCTGCCAAGTTTTGACTACAATGCTGGATGTGCCAACCAAGACCGATCTGCTCACATTTATACTACTCAAAAAAGTTAAAGACCACCTGATTTATACAATAGAATATATGTCATGACTGATTAATAACAGTAGTATGAAAAAGAATCTGTGTTCCTTAACATTTTTTGAGTAGCATATAACCCAAAAGAATGATGACGAGTTCTACCCTCACTCTACACAGGACTCCATACACTGATACAGTGAGAGTGAGTGAGTATAGTTTTACGCCGCTTTTATTCCAGCAATATCATGGCGGGGGACACCAGAAATGGGATTCATTGTACTCATGTGGGGAATCGAACCCGGGCCATGTGCGTGACGAGCGAACGCTTTAACCACAAGGCTACCCCTCCGCTCGTAGGACAAAGTGACGCTTGACCATGTGCCTTGTGTGTCATTTCAAAACCAATTTCTTCTGGTGTCTCTTTTGCAGGAGCTTTTTCAGAAATTTGGAAAATATTTGATCAGGTCTTTGGCATGACGAGTGAACGCTTTAACCTCTAGGCTACCGGCCCCTCACTGATTCAACACCACAATACCAAATGCTAATACATCCATGTTTCAGCAAAATTAATGAAAACAATTATTGAAGCTTGAATTGAGATGATATCAATAGCAACAAATTCATATCAAAACAGGTGAACATGGTGAAAATACGAGCAGTCTGTAGTCAATATTAGAACCATTTCGTAGCATATTTTTCAAAAGGTACATTTAAAAAAGAGACAAAAGCATGTGTCTGACAGACAGAATGGTATTATTTCAGTCATACCCACCATGTGTCGGTGATTAAAACCCACCCCCACCCACAAGATGCCCCGCCCGCCCCCCACCCCATCCCACCCCCACAAGTTGCCTCACATTGCGGGTGTCTTGTCCCTCCTTCCGTCCAAGCCCTTGGCGATCGTTAAGCTTCATATCATCATCGCCACCCTATCCCACCCCACCCCAAGTTGCCTCACATTGCGGGTGTCTTGTCCCGTCCTTCCGTCCAAGCCTTGGCGATCGTTCTCTTCATATCATCATCGCCATCCTCGTACATGTTCTGCATCATCTTCATCAGGCTTGCATTGGGGTCTTCCTTGTCATCGATTGGTGGTCTGAAAGGTTACCATGGCAACATGTTTATCAGCAGACTACTATGTATGATATGCATGATTTATCATCCAAAACTGTGTTCCACAGGAGATATCGCTTGTGTGAGATCAAACGATATCTCCTAGGAGATATCGTTTTGACAGTAGATTTTGTACAATGCCCTGACAATGCTATGACGTCATGTACTTGATGACGTCACAATGCTATGACATCGCTGCACTGCAAGTCTAATGGCAGTACCATGTTCAGAGATGTACATTTTTCATTGAAAATTAATGAAGAGTGATTTTGGATGATAAATAGAATCTCACCCTCGTGTCTTCTGATATCAAATAAATCAACACTCGTTGATAAAAGTAAAAATATCCTCGGCAAGCCTCGGATATTTGTAACTTTATCAACTCGTGTTGATATAATTGATATCAGAAGACACTTGGGTGAGATTCTCTATTTCTTGCATGAAAAGTGATTGACTTTAGTTTTATGCCACTTTTAACAATATTCCAGCAATATCACAGCGGGGGACACCAGAAATGGGCTTCACACACTGTACCCATGTGGAGAATTGAACCCAGGTTTTCAGCATGACAAGCAGACGCTTTAATCATTAGGCTGCCCCACTGCCCCTTGTATGAAATGATAAAATGTCACCTTGGATGCATATGAGAATGAAGTTTCAGGATTGTGTCCCACCAAACGATCTTGGCATTAAGATAATCATTACTCCCTTCTCAAACAAACTGGTGATCAAACCACTGAGTCTGGTTTGCAGAATGGGCTCAGGTCATTTTAGGTGTAGTTTGTTTACAAACTTCAGTAAAGATGTGAATTGGTTATAATACAGATTTTACCAGTCTTTCCACCAGTCATTGTTTTCATGACACATACTCAGTGAGTGAGTGAGTGAGTGAGTAAGTGAGTGAGTGAGTTTTTGGCAATGACGCAGCTTTTAACACCCAGGGGACACCAGAAATGGACTTTACTCAGCATGTCTAATGCTAAGTTACAGTGACGCTAACACCATCCCATCTCGCATCCATGTTACGTGCCCTACTGGTTAAGAGCACTTTATAATAGAGCAGCATAAACAATCAGTCCGTTACTAGCCCTGACCAGGTGCCTCTTTACCGGTTCCACAATCATGCCATGACTATCATCCATTTCCACTCAAGCGTGATCTCACCCACTTTCACATAAGGACAAACTTTATGGATGAACAATGTCGTGTCTTCACCATAATCGACCATAGTCGATGACAGAACAACTTACATTAACGTGACCGCAGATATGTTTATTTCCCTGGGTTACATGCAGGGGGTTCCCAAAGGGACGTCACTCTGGTTTGTAACTTGTTACAGCGACAAGGCTTCCGGAGTTGTCTCCCTTATACCGTTGAAAGTAAAGACTTAAGTGTCCATATACTACACACAATTTCTTTATTCAGGTGATGCGACGTTTCGATGCAGATGCTTGTATAGTTGTGTCGAAACGCATCACCTGAATAAAGACTTTGTTTATCCATAGTTTGTCCTTATCTGACTATACAACTTCAAGAAATGCCACTCAAAGAAGACACCCACTTTCATTCTTCAACACACGTTTTTGCTTTTCTATCTGACTGTATTTATTTAATGGTTTTGAATCAGGAAATTCATTTCAAACAACCCTGACAATCCTTTTCTTCTGCTGCTGGCATTATGGCATATCAACAGACAATAAGTGTTTGCCACCAACATGGCAATGTCCCCCAAGATATTTCAGGAATATAGTAGATTTGAATGTATAGATGCAGATGCATATATCCACTGTCAGTATCAGTGTGTATTAGGGCTGGGATGGGTCCAAATTTTCTACCCGGGTACCCCACCCCCTATTACCCTACCATACCCTGATACCCATTATGTTAATTCCTGACATCAAATTTGTAAGAAATGGCAATATATATTCTTCAGCTTGGAGGCTAAAATTGGGTGCAATGTTTTGTGAGATATCGCATTTACATAAGTTTGAAAACGGGTCAAAGAATCATGGTGACCTTAGAGATAACATCAAGGTCACCCAAATTCGCTGGTGTCTTTGCAATCACCCAATGTAGGCTGTCACCAAATTTGAAGACATTGGGTACAACAGTGCATGAGATATTGCATTAACAAGAGTTTGAAAAGTGGTCAAAGTGTCAGGGTGACCTTGAAAATAAAGTTCAGGTCACACAAAACGACTGGTGTCTGCGTAATCCCCCAATGCAGGCTGTCACCAAATTTGAAGACATTGGGTACACCAGTGCATGAGATATCGTGTTAACAAGAATTGGGATGTACATACGGATGTACGGACATACGGATGCTGCTGAATACATAGTCCCCAGTTCCGTGTTGCGGTGGGGGACAAAAAAAGATATATCTGGCACAGAGAAGAATGAGTGGAAATCTTACTTTTTTACTCCTTTGGCTTTTTTCTCTGCCTCCGTGACGTAAGCCCAGGTGATGGACGAAGACTTCTTCATCATGAGCAACACACAGTCGGTCTTCACCTGGTACAGAGGGGAGTCACGTCACAATACACTCATGGAGAGACTTCTGGTGGGAAGCTTTAGAAGCTTTAAACTGGCTTAATGTTGAACACTTAACTTACAGTAACTGTAGTGAGCGAGTTTTACACCTCTCTGCAATATTTCAGCATTATAAGTGGGGACACAGAAATGGGCTTCACCCATGTGGGGAATCGAACCTGGGTCTTCGGTTTGACAAGTGAGCACTTTAACCACTAAAGTAATGTCGGAAATAGAAAAAAACTGTTTTTAGTTTTTTCCCTAAAATTTACACAACTGCAAATAGCATATGTCGGAATAACCCACATTGGCCTAACTGGGCGTTCAGTGGGATGCATAATAGGATATCCAGAAAAGCATGTTTACTCGTAAAATCGGGCAAAACTTAGAAAAAGTATGAATGGACACCGAAAACAATAGATCAGACTATAGATGGCAATTAGGTACTCAGCCTAGTATGACCACGGACCGTCGAGTCACCTGGCATGAAATGCATGTGCTGCCCACAGGCACAAGGGGTCATCTCAAACATATTTTATGCTTTTTCATGTGTATTGAATATGTCTCTATTGATTAACATCTGATGTGCCTTTGTTTCCTAAGGTTTATGTTGAGATATGTAAAAGAGTATGATACCCATAGAAAAGCTTAAATCAGCCATTGTATTATTTCAAAATATATAGGTGGTATGAACACCCAAAGATCAACAGGACTGGATATTATTTGTATGACATGCTGTTTACTTCTCCAGTTTATTCCCCTAAAGGACTATCTTATCTTAGCTGATATCTCTATGCCCCAGCCCGACCCAACCACCGTCTGCGACACCCATCCTGGTTTTGCTTTTGAGACGGCCCCTCCTACCTGTTTCTTTTTATAGTGATAGTGAGGCTTAATGGTGTCAGTATCAAAGTTATTATTTTTTACGTCTGCTATCGTTAATAATGAAGCTAAGTCTAATTTCAAAATGGGCATTTAAAAAGTGCCCTTTGTCATGCCATATCATCGCACACTAATTTGCATAAAACCATGGTCTGTTCTAAATACGTCGCTTTGGACTTCGTCTTTACTTCAGTTCTGGGCCCCAATCAAGAAAGCGTTCATAACTCTACTGGCTACCGAACAGCTATCACCATATTTTAGCGGTATTTACAAAATTACTCAGCCGTTCGTTAATTCAGTGAAACAGAATTAATTAAGATACTTAATTAGCTATTCACCGATGTGTCCAGCCCCTTCACTGCCGCCAATCATGTTTTTATATAACCCGGCGGAAGGGAATCATGGCAGTATAAATAGTTGTTTTCTCACAACTAACTGTAACACTTATCGCCATTCAGAATTTCTCATGCCATTCGTGAAATAATATATATTTATACCATACAGTAACCTCGAATAATTGATTGTGTGACTATTTGAATGTTTCTTTTACAGTAGATTGATAGGGAATGAAACAATTAATGACTTGTGAACTAGCACTTGCTATTATATAGGTTGACGGACATCCCCCTGACTAAGTTAAAATTTTTTTATAGGGTTCATAACTTTATCTTTATTTTTTCTCTTATGTTACTTGCCGTGAAGAGTTTTCTTTTGCTGTCCTTTATTGTTGTCAAATACCGTGGGGAAAAATACCGGAATTGTAATTGACCTGAACTGCGCACGTGTGATACTGATGTATTGGCGATAACTGTTAGACGGCGACAAATGTTCAGCTGGCCAGTATAGTTTATCATATGCTTACGAATGTTGTAGTAACCCACAGACACAACCTATGGTAACTGGCATTTACTACTATTCTGTGATTCAACTTCCAGTAACTGGCATTAAATACAGCTCTGCGATAAAACTAAACTTACGTTAAGTGGAACCACTGGTTATACATCCAGCTCAAGTCAGCTGGTGTCAGGAACTACTGCGACATTAAGCAGGCTCCTGGAGGCAGTTCTGACACTAACCTTATGGTAACTGTTGTCTGGGGTGATCTCCTCACAAAGTCGAGCGATGAACAGTTCGTGGCTCTTATTGTTGAGGCCCTTTACAAGAAGCCTCACCAGACCTGGTAACAGAAGGATTCTTTACATGGCATTTAAAAGTTGATATGATGAGCAAGGGACATGATTCCATGGATATTACAATGAGTTATACTTTATCACAGGGACATCACTGTTAACAGTGTTTATCCAGCCTCATGTAAGAATGTCGAGTTTTGATTGGTTCACGTGACTCTGATAAAATACCATGTACACCCGTCACGATCCACAAGCAGGGAGTACAAAAGTCATATTATCCCGCCACGCCTCGGTGACCACGCGAAGTGAGAAAAGCGTGCATCGCCAAGCCTTTAGTAAAGTGCGCTGCATTGAGGTCAATCGATCAGCTGTTGTCAACATGGCAGCAAGGAAACGTTTTGCCACAACAACTGAGAATGAAATTGAAGCAAAACATTTGGCTAGATAAATGCGTTATCACATCGTGTCTCGGGAAATACAACCTTACTCAGGACTGATAAAACCCTGTATTTCCCTCGACACGATGTGATAACTTATATAGTATCTACACTGAAGCATCCCACACACTATATTAAAATAGCTGTAGATCCATAGAGTTACCTCCCTTGTTCACCTCATTTCTTCATGGTCAGAAGGGTTAGACAATTGTATATACAGACAGATTGTTTATTATAGTCTCACCTCACAGTCATTTTAATAAAAACATACATACATAATATATACATGTTATAAATTGTACATAACTTAAGACAAAATAAGCGTAAAAGTAACATGCCACCTGTACAAAGCATAGGCGCCTGACTCTGATATATTTATAAGTATGACCTATATATATATATAAGATATAAGAACTGTGTGTCAGTAAATCGAAACAAAATGGCGGCCCGGCTCGACTCGGCTGGGTTTTGGTCTGACAAACGCTTCCATCGCTTTGACCGTTGGATAAACTGCACAATTTATGCTCAGCTGACCTCTGTAAAGTACCTTGCGTATCACTAACCTAGTGATTTTATTCTCATTTAAAGCTTTCAATAATTTTGCCGTCCATTCTCACACGAAGTCAGGACATATGCCCGGAAGTAAACAAATCTCAGGCTACAGACCCGCACCGAATAGTAGAGCGAGTCTCTGATTGGATAATATAGTTGCACGTTAAAAGAGGTGGGAATAATAGAAGACGCATCGGTGCTCATGACGTTGGTCACTGGATTGTCTGGTCCAGACTCGATTATTTACAGACCGCCACGATATAGCTGGAATATTGCTGAGTGTGGCATAAAACTCAACTCACTCACTCACACATTGTACCCTTGAGGGTAATCTAACAGAGGCCTATGACATGACAAGTGAACACTTGACCACTAGGCTTAGCTAACATGACTGACATGAGACAATGCATTCTCTTCCCACAGAGGTTACTTGTCATATCTTCCTACGAACCTCCGGTTCTCGTAAAATCCCCTAGCGGCAAAAGATCGCAAAACGAATTATCTCCCTTCTTTCTATCCAATCAGAACACGTGTTACATCGACCTAGATTCAACTTGACTAACAAAAGCAAATGTGGGGCCACAAATATCCCCCCATCTGCCGGGGATTTGTGTTGATGTTACACACAAGACGTTTAATGGCTAGCTTGTCCGTTGTCAACGAGGGCGATGGAGACGCAACTGATCCGCCATAACATGACTGAGTTCTGTCTAGAAGAAACGTTTGCGCATCGCGCAGGGGAAGAAGTTTAGTTTTCTCGAAGCATACGGAAATTACTGAGGCCTTGCGAATGATCACTTTTGAAACAACGTCGCTGATTGCACAACTAAATCTGATTGCCTCCAATCACGAGTTTTGAACGCTCACACCATGAAAGGGCCGTATTAGAACAGAGGTTACGTAGGAAGATATGACAGGAGTAACCTCTGTGGGAAGAGAAGTGAGACATTGAGGAAGAATGTGGATCAGTGGGTTACCTGTCTGTAAAGGTGGACGTGACATTCTCAGCGGGGGATGCCCTGGACGCCATCCAGTGTCACATACAGCTTCATGAACTTGTCTGACTGGTCCCAAGCTGTCATGGAATACAACGTAAGTCAACACACACAATTCTCTTTCAATGAAATTTCATGCAAAATTAACAACATATTTTCAGTGGCATATTAAATGGTCATTGATGTGAGCACTGGTTGTTGTTTTGCTAAAACATTTTCTCATATTGAAATACCTTCCTCATCCTGCTTTTTGAAAAATACTAAAAAGAAATCCAAACAATACATCTGTGGGATAGTGACAGGTACAGTTAACTGCGTAAATATCAATGAGATAGTTTGGTTTTATGCTGCTTTTAGCAATATTCCAGCAACATCACGACAGGAGACAAGAGATATGGGCTTCACACACTGTACCCCGTGGAAATCGAACTCTGGTCTTCGGGTGTGACGAGTCACTAGGCTACTCCACCGCCACACCCTCATCCTGCACACTTTGGCAGGGGTTTAAATTTTTTTTAAGAAAGTAACTTGTCCTGACTAATTTTCCACTTGCCCTGATTTTATGACATAATCATGATGATGTAATTATGAAAGAAGAAATCAACATGGTATTTGATGTTAATGTTTACTGGACTATTTATTGAAAAGTGATAAAAAGCAAAGAAAGATAACTCTACTTTATTATCATTGCGAAATTGAATAGCTACATTTTGAGCAGATATGAAATTAAAATCCAAGTTTATTTGCAGTTTGAAACCATAAGTAGAAATTATCTAGTAGCCCACGGACAAGTAAGATACCATTATTTGATTGCCCGAAATGAAAACTGACTTGTCCCGGGCATCGGGCGATGGGATTTTTGAACCCGTTTGGTAACCAAGAACATCACTGTATATGAATGCAGTCTGAGCACATACTGGCCACAGCACTTGCTTGAATCTTTCTCATTGGAAGCATGCGAAGATTTGATTCATTGCTTGAAAAACGCCCTATGATGTAAAGTGGATGTTAGGTGATGGAGGTGAGGTGAAATGATGTTAATACCACATTAGTGAGTGAGTGAGTTGAGTTTTACACTGCACTCAGCAATATTCCAGCTATATGGCGGCGGTCTGTAAATAATCGAGTCTGGACCAGACAATCCAGTGATCAACATCATGAGCATCGATGACATGTGTCAACCAGGTCAGCAAGCCTGACCACCCGATCCCGTTAGTCGCCTCTTACGACAAGCATGGGTTACTGAAGATCATTCTTCTAACCCAGAACTTCACGGGTATAACATCACATTAAATACTAACGCACTTTCAAAGCAACAAGCCCCAGCATGTGTGTATGTAGTCTGGACTTATGACTGAATGCCAGTCATAAAATGGCTACCCTACTCAGAGACAGTAGACCAGTCAATGTTTTGTCCATTCAACATCAGGCATGATGACAACATGTTCCATCTTTTAATCTCTTTTGGTACGTGAGAAAAGCAATATTTCAGCAATATGATAATAATAATGCTAATTTTTGCGCCTAAAATCCAACCCAATGCTTCTTTCGTGTTACATTATTACCCTGACGGAATTGTACTTTCAAAGCTGCTACTAAGCGCTCCGCCAACCGTATAGGTCCATACATCCACTTCTCAGGCACCCATTTTGAACAGCTGGGTGGACTGAGTGCAATGTGGATGAAGTGCCTTGCCCAGGGACACAACACAGTATGAGACCCAGGTCACAAATTTTGGTGTCTCCACCGGGATTCGAACCTGGGCCTTTGGCATGAGAGGCCAGCATGCTAACCACTACACCACTGTGCTCCAAATGGCTGGGGACACCAGGAATGGGCTTCACACGTTGTACCCTTGTGGGGAATCAAACCCAGTTCTTTGGCATGATGAGCCAATGTTTTAACCACTAGGCTACCCCACCACCCCACTTTTGGTATATTGCAGCTGAGGATCGAACAAAAGACTTTTCACTCTCTGTAAATCTCCCATTTAGCAAGTTTCCACTTTACAATGAGTCAGAGATAGTTGAGATTTTAAGTCACATCCGCAATATTTCAGCCATATTGTGACTAAAACCAGTCATTAATTTATGATAAATACATATTATTTATAAAACCCTGTCAACGAAGGACAGTATTATTACTAGACTATCACAGATCTGTTAAAACTAGATCAGAGAAAGTTAAAATCAGATACGAAAAATTAACTATACGAGATAAAAAGTGGCAAGGGATCACTAGCTATAGCAAAGGAAGTGAGGTCACCATACTAGGGACCGACGGGGACTTACAATATGTCTGCTTCCTGCATCCATTTTGGGCTGGCTTCCTAATAAGCTGGCTGGGTTTTATACCATCCCTTCAGCTGCTAACGATTGTAGAGTAATGGCATGTGGGTGTATGAAATAAGTGGGCTTTTTCTGTTCCGATGTGCGTATTTCAGTCATTTTACTCACCTAAGATGCCATTGAGTAAGCTAGGATGTTCTGCCGGACGGCAAAAAAGTTTACAGCTAGCCAGCCCGATGGTCTGGTAACAAACAAAAGTTATAGATGCAATTAAACATCACTAGACAAGATTATTTATAAATCTGAGTAAATTCACCATATCTTAGTGTCAAGATCTGGTTAAATCCATTTTGGGCTGGTACCATTTTGAAGTTACCACTAATACCAGCCCTGATGTCTGGCTGGGTTTCTGGCTTATTTCATACACTGGTAATGGTACTATATTGGTAGCCATGTATCTAAAAACTACAAATATTCTACGATTAAACATGATGGTAAATATGAATATTCATATTTTACCCGGATACACAGCTTATCTGGGATTCTGTGATTCAAGTGGACTTACATACCCTCTCAAGAGGACAGTAATTTTACAGTACTTCAACCCCCATTAAGGGTACCGCCACCCACTTTATAATAAAGAAGACCAACAAATTCACAAAATAACATCACCAGAGGGACACTCCAAGAACTCACCATACTTCTTGATCTGCTCAGCGAGCACCTTGACCTCCTGTCTAGTGGTGGACTGTGGGGCAAGTAGGTTGACAGGGGCAGGGTTTTCTTGCAGAGCTATCGCTGACTCGATCTTCTGTATTTCCACAGACAATGCTTTCTGGACCCGGGGACGGGTTGACTCATTCTCAAACTTCTTCAGCTCCTCAATGTCTTTCTTCAGCTACAACATATTGACAGATTCCTACAGTGTTCTCCAAATGTATGTAGCTGTTATTATCTCAACAAGCTCAAGGTGTATTCTGTTATGTCCTGTATTAACGTACCATTGTTTCTGTAGTAAGGTGTATTCTCAACATGCCCAATGTATAGTGAGTGAGTTTGTTTTTACGCCACTTTTAGCAATATTCCAGCAACATCAAAGCGGGGAACACAAGAAATGCGCTTCACACATTGTACCCATTTGGGGATTCGAACCTGGGTCTTCGGCATGACGAGCCAATGCTTTAACCACTAGGCTAGTATTAAACCACCACCCCCACCCCCCAATGTATAGTGAGTGAGTGAGTTTGTTTTTACGTCACTTTTAGCAATATTCCAGCAACATCACGGAAGGGAACACCAGAAATGGGCTTCACACATTGTACCCATGTGGGGAATCGAACTTAGGTCTTCAGTGTGACGAGCGATTTGCTTTGGTTTAACAACTAGATTAATCAACCACCCCTTGCCCAATTATAACTGCTTCTACACTACAATGTATATCTGTTTCTGTGTCAAGGTGTATCATCAATTCATATGTGTGGGTGAGTGAGTTTAGTTTTACGCCGCTTTTAGCGATGTTCCATCATCATCAAGGTTCGACACCACCTCCAAACGATGACAAAATAATGAATATACCTGCACCAAACGTTATTTTAAAACAAAAAAAGTTCGACACAATGGTGTTTGACGAGTCAGTCCGTATGGCTTTACGTTGCTTTAAGCAATTATATTCCAGCAATATCACGGCGGGGACACCAGAAATGGGCTTCACACATTGTACCCATGTGGGGAATCGAACCCGGGTCTTCGGGGTGATGAGCGAACAATGTGTGTGTAATTTCAGAGTAAAAATATTATATAATACTTATTCTGACTCATACTGTTTGCCTCGATGTCCCATAGCCAGCGATACAGTTTAAACTGAGAGAGTGACAGTCGTTGGCTGGTCACATGGGAGGCCGGTGTGCATGTGCAGTGGTGGGGTTCTATTTGGGTGACATGTATGATCAACCTCTTTGGACATGTGGACAAAGTGTTGACTTCAGGCCAGAAGGTTCATAATTAAATCCCTTCAAGCGACTTGGAGGTTATATACCCACTACATGTACATACAGTACTTTACCATGTTTACAGAACTGCCTCTGTCTTATAATTGACAGTTATATCAACCACTGTTTCTTGTATTTGTGTTTTGTCCAAAAGTTAAACTATCCCATTTGATACAACAATAAAGGAAGCATTTTCCATATTCACTTTAGGAGTCTTTAGTAATATGTCGTTAATCTAAAATATAAAATTTTAAGTTTAGAATATAACAGTGTATGAAATAAGGCCTGTCCGACTGCCCAGGTCTGACGGACGGTCTAAATCTACAGCTAGCCAGCCCGATGGTCTGGTAATATTTTTAGATAACATATTCCATTAATCTGAGTAATTTTCTTTGGATTGTCTGGTCTGGTTAAATCCATTTGGGGCTGGTAACATTTTGAAGTTACCAGCTCTGATGTCTAGCTGGGTTTTTGTCTTATTTCATACACTGAATATAATTATGGAAACATGTTTATATGGCTACTCTTCAATGGCCTTTCTCCTCCACAATTATTACTTAAAAATGCCAGAATGCCAGCCACTCTGGAGCATGTTTTACAATAGCTGATATCCCTGAATCAGAGCTTAATCAGTGAGTGAAGTTTCTGCAGAGTACACTGTGCAAGAATGGGCGGAATTCAGCATATTAGCAGGTCAGCAATAAGCAACATGATTAAGCTTAATATGACCGAGGTATGTATTAACACTGGCTTTGATTCCAATCAATCTGTCAATAAGTCTCCATAAGAACAAGCTTTCTCTATAATTTGCCAGTTTAATCTGTGCAATGCTTGGGTTCTCAGCTTTGTTCTGAGGAGCTCTACTGTTTGGTAGACAGTTGAACTGTGCATGAGCTGAAATGACACCAAACTCAGAAATTGTGAATGATTTAAAAACACCTAGCAGGTCCTTTAATTCAGATATTTTCTTAAAGCACAGATGGTTTCACGGGGAAATTGCTCTCATTTGGATTATAATGAACAGGATAAACCATATAATTAGTGTTGCTTTTCATGGATTGTTTTAGGCACAAATGGCCGATCTCGAGAACTGTACAATTGTTCTTGGACACTCAGCCTCTGGTGCACAGACCTACATGAAGACAGAAAATACTTCTAAAAATTGTTTTTAAAATATGTGCCATTCAGCTACCGGTGTTCCAAAATAAGCTTACTGCTTAGGTCTGGCGGTCAGAGGTGATGTGTGATATGTTGATTGCGGTACCATTTGAATTCACATTTCGGCCGTATTATTACAAAAGGGTGGCAAAGTTGTTTATCAGCTGTCCCTCTCATGGCTCACGAACCCTTTCGTTATATAAACATCAAACAATACAAAGACTTAAATTCAACAATGAACATGCACGTTAAAGAATATTCTAGAAACCCTGCATGAAGTAAATACACTTGCGTCGTGGTTTACTTTCATCACCGTAAACTGGATCTAATACAGAATACCAAATATTTTCATCTAGTTCAAACACAACTTACCTCTTCTATCGATGCCATGGTTACGGAATATAAGCAGAAGTTAACACAGTTGGAAATACCTGGCTGTTTGGCCTCACGTGGGATTCCCCACTGTGGTTAACTTCCGGTATTCCCGCGCTGAAACATTCGGATCCTCTCGGCAGTATGTTAGTTATAGACTGGTATCCTGTCCTCCTTCGCTTTACAAAATTGAAGTGACGCGGTGCGCAAGCGCTTTTATATAGCCAAACCAGTCTAGAGAGTCATTCCCAATCCTCACCATTCGTATCTTTCCGTGACTTACATTTGGCTCATCCCAGAGTAGCGAAAGTAGGTGAAATTTCTGAATGATTCAGACAGGCTTGTTTTAGAAAACAACATGCCTACTTTACTATGGGTTCGAAATATTGCCATTTTCTAATGCGGACAACATTTTAAAATTTATTAAAGTTTTCATATCTCAGAAATTATGTATCGTTCCGGATATTTAGTGTATGCATTTGACTAGTTTTTACATGTCTATAGGGGCGGTGGGGTAGCCTAGTGGTTAAAGCGTTCGCTCGTCAGTCGGTTACATGTCTATATTACGAGTGCATGATCTGTATCACTTTATCCACAATGTATTTATCACTTTGGCTTTTTAAACCAACCGATGAAAATAATTATACTTCTATGTGGTTTTAGGTTTCAACCATCTATTGAGTGTGTATTCATGTGTTAGAGAAGTCATAACAGTCATCAGGGCTCGATTTAGAAAGTGAAAACTATACTTGCACTCGGTGCAACCTAAGGTAAAGATCTTGTTGCACCAAACAAAAACAGGCTGCTCAATATAAAATATAGCATTATTATTGGATATTTATTTTGCGCACATATCCACGCACTAGTGAATGCTCAAGGCGCTGGTATTTTCCCCTCGATCATTGGATGTCAATCTCAACGGCACATCTTATTATCAATCTCAACTCCCTGGGGATCATACAACTCTTGCTGCCACAAGGCGCACCGAGTTATTGCGGCTTTCCCATCCTTACGAGGTATTCACAGCTGGGTGGACTGGGACACATAGTCACAGTACTTTGTCCAAGTTTACTGCACGTTGCTGTACCCGCAACTAGGTGTTTGCACGTATTCATGTGGCCACCATCTGGTCAAATACCAACGGATTCGTGGGTTCTTTTAAGTGCACATGGTGTGTACTGTACACTAGGGGTTGTGACAACACTGAAAGAGTCTGCACACAAAGTTGACTCCAAGGTTTTTACACCCGGTCACCGGTGGGCTCGATCCCGGCACCTCATGCTGGATCACTAGCCTGGCACCTTAGCCAGCTCGCCCACCACGCCCACCATTATACACAGTGCTCGAGTTTTGATGATGTAGAAAATCATTACAACATAATTATTGTGGCTCTGGCAAGATCATATTATCTTACTTAGTACATGAACAGTAACAGTTATTCAATCATTTTCTGTCTAGTCATAAGAATCACTGTTCCAAACAAGTTCTTCTTCATTCTGTGTGTTCTTTGAACAGCCAAATATAAACACGCACTTGGTGCGGTAGGTTATCCTAGCGGTTAAAGCGTTCGCTCGTCACGCCGAAGACCCCGGTTCGATTACCCACATGGGTACAATTTGTGAAGCCATTTCTGGTGATCCCCGCTGGAATATTGCTAAAAGCGGCGTAAATATCAAACTCACTCACTCTTAATATTTGAGTCTTGCTTTCAGCCAGTAACAAAGATCTGTTGAAAATATTATATATTCGCAAGCTAAGCTATATGGGTTAATTAAAGTGTTGTAATACTGTTGGGTTATCAATTTTCTTCTTGCAAGCAACTCAAAGTTAAATGAGCTCCTTTTAACAAATGGAGTTTGAGTACTTTATGTAAATACGTCAGCTTAATTCGAGGCCTGGAGAAGTTTTAATGCTCTAATAGATACCTCCCCTTCATCCTGTGCTTCCACTACTCTATGGGTTATTGGGGAATATAATGACAAACAGGATATAATTCACATACAGCACATACAATGTACATTATAAGTTGTATGCTTCTCTCCAACATACAACGTATTTATCTTACCGCCATGTTAAATGTACAAAATATCATTTCATTTTATTTTGAAGATCGCTACCCACTATATGACATGTAAACAAAATGGCGTCTGCCTCTCGACTGGATTTTTACAATCAGTGAAACATATTCTGACAAGCTTAAAACTGCTATTAAAATGGTTAAATGTGTTTAAGCTGAGTTTGCAAACGATTCAATGTATAAAATAGTTTAAATAAAGTAATGAAAGTCGGTAAAATAAATGTGTACATAGTGAACTTAAAAACAACTAATCGAACGGTTTTCGAACTACGGGCACTTCATATTATGACACGGAGACTTGTTAACGCGTCATTGACCAATGAAATTAAAGTATTTTACATGAAGGTAAGATAATATAAGTTGTATGCTTCTCTCGAAGGTAATACGGTCTGATGTACGCCTCTTTGTAGCAGTGTCACCCGAGTCGGTAGGCGAGGGATGACACTGCTACAAAAAAGCGCATTAAGAACACATGTTGATCTGACTACAGTGCAAGCATTATAAGAAAATAACCATGATTGTTCCTCAAACTAATAAATAAATCAATATGTGTATCACTTCTAAAGTCGTTCAAAGACTCCATGATTGAAGAAGCATTTAAGTGTGTAACATACCGTCAATAAAGAAAACAATCTGGAAGAAAGCAGGTTGCCCATCTTCTTTAGGAACCATACTTCTTGGGAACAACAGCCATGAAAAAGTACATGCTGACGAGGTGTTTAACAATAATTCCTCAGTCACACCTTAGAAGTAATCATGTACACTTTTACCATACACACAAACAGCATCAGGGCTCCAGATAATTTTTCAACATCAGGAGTACGTACTCCTTATTTGTTCAATATTGAGTACTGGAAAACCTTAAGAGTACATTTAGAGTACTGAATGGAAATTAATGGACTATCAGTAATCTTGTTTCGTTTCATATATGCACCACAACATTGCTACTCTTGTGTAAACAGGATAATAAACAATAAAACAATACTTTTTTTCAGATAAATACGTCTGTAAATGGTTCTAAGACCGTACACATTGCTGTGGTGCGTATCTGATACGTTTTCTAAATTATTTCCTACCTTACCGTACATATTTTTTATCCGTACATACGCCGATACGGCCCTTATCCGGAGCCCTGAGCATGTTATAATTCCATGTGTGAGTGAGTGAGTATGGTTTTACGCCGCTTTCAGCAATGTTCCAGCAACATCACGGCGGGCGACACCAGAAATATAGGCTTCACACATTGCACCCATGTAGGAAATCAAACCAGGGTCTTCGGCGTGACGAGGGAGCGATTTAACCACTAGGCTACCCAAACATGCCAAACGCCCCTATAATTCCATGAAATTTGTTTTATGGAGCACAAAGCAACTTTAGACATAAGTGTGCGTTAAAACCCAGCGATAAACTATTACTTAATATTAAGAGTGACTAAAGCCTTCATAAAATATGATATTTTCCATATGCTGCTTAAAGTTGTTTGAAATGTTCTCTTGCATTCATTTTTACTATTTATATTGTATTTGTACCATTTGTTTGTATTCATTCACTTTGGCAACAGTATGCTCCAGTAGACTATCGCAATAGTTGTTTCCATCTCAATAGTCTGTTTGCAGTGAAAACGTACCGATGAATTTCACTTTAAACAAGAAAGTAAATCAAATAAACTGAAATTTAGATTGCGAATCCTCATAATTTTACCTTGCCAACTGAACATTGAATCTCAGAATTTTATTCAACTTAGGATAAAAGTTGTTTAACAAACGATCATAGATTCAAATCGCTATTATTGGTTTGTATTACAAGGGGATAAGTGCGGTAGTTGGAACACTGAACTAAATCCACGTGTGGTACCTGATGAGCGTTAACTTAGACCAACCCTACTTGTTCTCGGTGTTTCATTTAATGTGCATACACCCTTGTTATACAAACCAATAATAGCGATTTGAAACTGAGGAGGAGGACTTCGTATGGAGAAGCATGTACAATGTGAATCCCCCTCTAAAATGTATGCACAAAGTAAGTGGTCCCCCCTGCATGTTCAAATTCAACAGTGAGGAGTGAGGCATAACGAGGAACCCAGGTGTTGAACAGTGTGAGGAATGTTCTCTTGCATTCATTTTTACTGTTTATATTGTATTTGTACCATTTTATTTGTATTCATTCACTTTTATGTAAACCGTCTGTGAAAGGAGGTTTGTCAGACAAAACATGTACTTTGGGCTGGAGGCCTCTAATACTGTAATACAAATCTTGGATCTTGAAAGTCTTTTCCCTAATAATATGTAGTCAGTATACTATCAGTTACTGTCAAGAAGTACCCCTCAGTCTGCAGACACTGTTTAGGTTGACGGCTAAATTACTTTCCACATATGTTTCAGTTTTCTTTCGATCCATTCCTCTGACCTTCCTTGTTGTCTCAGGGGTGGTGTAGCTTAGTGGTTAAAGCTTTCGGTCGACACGCCGAAGGCTCGGGTTCGATTCCCAACATGGGTACAATGTGTAAAGCCCATTCCTAGTGTCCCCTGCCGTGATATTGCTGGAATATTGCTAAAAGCAGCGTAAAACCATTCTCACTCACTCACTCCTTGTCTGTACTTGCTCCTCTTGAGATTTAGATGATGTTGATCCGTCTCATGCACCCGATTCCAAATACATGTACGTTGTAAACCAACATTTTGCCACTCGTTGGAGGGTATATCATTCACTTTCCGTTCCCTATGGACAACACCGCTACGTTTCTGAACAGGGAGCTGTTCATTTTCATCACTTTCGTCATCCTCATATCTAAGGTTTCCTCTTTGATTTCAACGCATTTTCTGGGCACCATGACTTGATATGGCGCTGCAGAACATGCATATTATCTATCAATAGGCTGCAGTCAGCACAAGCAGTTGCCATGGTGAAAGGCCCAGTGACGTCACAGGAGATGGATGCTGTTTCGCCGTCAAGGCTGAGAGATCTTTCTTTGGAATCTAAAGTGAGATTCTCACGAATGTCATGACATGTCTGAACTAGTGCTGTAACGATGCATCGAACTATGAACTATCGATG